AGATTATACTAAGGCATTTGACACCTTGGGGCATGACCTTTTACTGGCAAAGCTTCATTATTACGGGTTTTCGGAAAATGTTGTGGAATTGGTTGGCAGTTATTTGTCTAATAGATGCCAGTGTGTAGTTCTCGATGAGGCTCAGTCGGATGCTTTACCGCTTTCTAGGGGTGTACCTCAGGGTTCCATTTTGGGACCACTCTTGTTCCTTATTTACACCGCTGATTTGAAAAATAATGTTGTGGATTGCGAACTGCATCAATTTGCCGATGACACGCAAATATATGCAACTTACACTGCTGAAAATGCAGCAGCTGTTTACAATAATATTAATTCTGCTCTTGAGAAAATAAGTAAATACTCATTGAATCATGGTCTTCAGTTGAATCTTGGCAAAACTCAAATGATTTGTTTTGGTAAGGTACCCTTAGCAAAGGGATTACCTGTTAAACTGAATAACGAAATAATCCATCCATTAAAAACTGTCAAGAATTTGGGTTTGGTTCTAGATTGTGATTTGAGATTCCGAAATCATGTCAATTCGATTGTGCAGAAAAGTTATACAGCATTGAGGGGATTGTATAGGAATAAAAAAATTATGAGTCAAGCATTGAAACGTAGCCTATGTGACAGTTTGGTTCTTAGCCATGCCAACTATGCTGACATTGTCTATGGACCTTGTCTTGATGTGCACTCCTCTTCCAGAATACAGAAGATTCAAAATTCATGTGTACATTTTATTTGTTCTCTGGATAGAGGGGAGCATATCTCACCTTGGCTTAAAGAATCGAAGTGGCTTAATATGTATGAACGCCGTAGACTGCATTTGGCTACCTTTGTACACAATCTAATTAAATTACAGACACCATTATATTTAAAATCTAAATTAAAACTGCGCCAAACTGTTCAGAGCAGAGACACTCGAAATATTAATCAGTTATATCTACCTCAATATAAGACCTCTTTATATCGACGATCATTTACGTATTCTGCGGTCTCGTTATATAATTCCCTGTCAAGTGCTTTAATAGCTAAGTCCCTCGGTTCATTTAGATCGGGGTTCAGAGATTTATTATTCCATAATTGGAGTTGAGTATACTTTTTGAAACCAGCTATGCCTCTCCTTGGCTCTCTCTTCATCAACACCACATACATGCCTGTTGCCTTATGTTATTGCGTAATGTACTTATAAGTATTAATTGTTCTCTATGTGTGCTCAATGTGTTACACTAATATTTTGTTAATACTTTATATTTTTTTGTATTTTTCATTGTTTTTTTTTGTTATTATATTTATACATTTGATATATTAATTTAAGATAAGGTAGTAGATATTGATATTATTTGTTAGGTTATACTGTAATGGTACTCGGTTAACTAAGCAGTTATTTACTGAAATTCGCCGAGGATTATTAAAATAAAGACATATTATTATTATTATTATTATATACAAGGGGGTCGGATATTTCGTAAAAATATCGGAAAATTCGTAGAAAAATGGTCGTACTTACCCTCTCTAAGAGTTCAGCTGGGCTCTAAACACAATTTCCAGGCACAATTTGTAAGGAAACGCACTTTTCACACCCGCACACACACAAATTCTGGAGAGCGAACGAGCGTAGATACGACCTCTGCGAGAATGCTATCAACACTAACGCGATCCTGATAAGGATCGACCTATTTGGACCAATGATATCGAGTATTGGCGCTCGGTTCCCGATTTTCGCCGCTAGAGGCAGCGCCAACTAGCGTTTTTCATCTGTTTTTTTGCCGATAATATGTAATTTTATGGCCAAATTTTCAACTTTAAACGAAAATTTAGCAATAAAACACTACATTGGAGACAAAACTACTACCAGGGAAATATAGCTACATGTTTCCCGAATAAAATGACCCTACACAATAAACGAATAAAGCAAAATTAACAAATATATGGCATTTTTTCTACCCTAATGTCCGTAAATTGTTAGAATCAGAAAAACTACATTTTTCCTTTAAAATTCGTTTAAAACCGTAAAAGCAGTTTAGGAATTATAGATTATCATTAAATATCTCTAACTATGCAGTTTCAGGCAGTTTGAAACCTATCTAACGTAATTAAATTAGTAAAAATTACTAAAACATGGTGGCGTTCCATTAGCCTTTGGAGAATTCAATTAATATAACTTTGTTGTTCATAATATAACTTCGTTTTTCTAAATAAGGTAATATTTAGCTAAATAGAGTCTTATTATACCTATAAATTATAAAACACGATAGTAATACCGCAAAATATAACTCCTGCAAGACATTTTTTTAGCCAATGTAATGGCCGGTAATGGCCAAGCTTGTTTACTTTTATTTTGCCTTGAAATCATTAAAAAACCTCTTTTGACATTATTCTGAGCTAAGCTAATTATGTTTTTGTAGTTTTTTAACAATTACCAAGCCCCAAAACCAGCTAAAAATCTATTAACCTCTTTTAAATTAAAAATATTTCCAACAATATGGTGGAGGTTCAGTAGTATCCAAAATATTCAATTAATATAATCTTGTTGTTCGATATTTTCCTTAATAAGGCGGTATTTAGCTAAATAGAGCCTTATTACATCTATAAATTATAAAACAAGATGGTAATATTCCAATACATAACTTCTACAAGACATTTTGTTAGGAAATGTAATGGCCAAGAATTTTTGCTTTTATTTCACTAATTTTGCCTTGAATCAATAAAAAAACCTCATTTGACATGATTCTGAGCCCTACTAGTTATGTTTTTGTAGTTTTTTAACTATTTCCATGCCCCAAAACAATACAAGACGAAACAAGAATGTTGCCAGTCTTCGAGACAAAATTTGTTCGATAAAAGCTTCGATCACTATGTATAAACAGGATGCTTCCAATATACAGCCTAAAACAATACAGGGTATGATTGCTCATGTGTTTTTAAGAAAAAAAGCTCATATAAACATAGGGTCTAAAGTTATTCCTTTCTGATCTACAGGATGTTTTAAATCTAAAATAAAAAAATCATATATCAAGCAATATCTCGGAGAGTACTCTAGATATTTTCTTCAATTTTGGTATGCGATTTACAGGTAGAAAGGGGTTTGATTTCCATGAAGTGGTGTTTTCCTACCTGAACCAGTGACGTACGTACGCTCACCCCCCCGTACTATTTGATTAAAATCAATAGTACGCTAGGGTTTTTTTTAAACATTTTTTTTTCTCAATCTTGCTTTTTTAACAAAATTGATTGTTTTTCTCAAAAGCCGTTCAACGTACAGGAAAAACTCAAGAGATGAATATTGTTAAAAAAGTACTGAAAATCACGAAAAAGAATTTGTTTTCTAGAAAAGACGCAGCGGCGAACAAAAAAGGTGGCACTTGAGCCGGTCCCACACGATGTGCCAAACACCTTCCAACGCTGGCCAAATGAACATTTGTAGAAGACACACTTGTGAATTGTAATATTTTCGAAACCTATGCCAAAGGATGCGTCCAATGTTGGTTCCAACGTTGGAAGCATCGTGTAGGACCGACTTTACAGACCCCACGTTCATATAAACTTTTTTCTTAACAACAAAATATAATGAATCACGCCTTAATATTTTTAGACGACTTTAGAAACACCCTGTATAACAAAATAACTCGTTTTAATACAAAAATAAAAAATAATAAAAATAAAATGAAATAAAAATCACCTTAAATACACATAGCTATATTGCATTTTTTTAAACAATATATACAACAAAATTTATAAACTATAGACCAGAGAAATATTATAACAAATCCTCTATAAAATTAACAATTAGAAGATATGTTTGTTGATGTAAAATTATGATAAACAGTATGCAATATTCTTAAAAAACGCTGGTAAATAACTATTTAAAAAATAATTTTTGGTATTGAAACACCACCTGATTTTCTAGGGATGCCATATGAAGATGGCATGGATTGTTTTAAAATCCATTTTACTATTTGTGGCTTAAGCACAAAATCAGTAAAGACAATGAAAATGTTGAAGTCATTACTAGTCCAAATAAATTTTATTGCAAGGCCATCAAAGGAAAAGGCGCGGAGATCTTGGACATAGAGGATACGTTTCTGAGAGATATTTTTCAAAATTAAATTTTTTATTTATTATATAAAACTGATTTTTCCTATTTTCTTTAGTTAATTATTTTCTAAGATTTACTTTTTACCAAAGAATTAGTAGAGTACGTTATGTTTTTTTAGTTATGTTTTTTATTTAAATATGTTGTTATTTATATACAGGGCGGTCCAAACTGTATTCTGGAAACTTCGGCAGCATATTCTGCACATAAAAATAAGTAAAAAAGTTGGTAAAAAATTATGTCCTAAAATGCTTAGTTTCGGAGATACAGGGTGTAGAAGTTTCTTTTTACCAAGAAACATTTTTTACGTAAAAAAGGCACAAATGTATATTTTTTCACTCAGTATAGGGTAATACAGAGACGAACGAAAAGTCATTACTCTTCAAAACGGTTGGTTAAACATCAAAATGAAATTTTTCATGTTGAAGAACCCCCAGATACTAATTTTCATCTAAATACCGAATTTAGTGTAGAAAATATTGGGAAAAAATCGAAATAAAATTTCTACACCCTGTATTTCCGAAACGAAGCATTTTAGGACATAAATTCATACAAACTTTTTTTACTGATTTTTATGTGCGGAATATGCTGCCGAAGTTTCCGGAATACCGTTTGGACTACCCTGTATAAAAAATAACTGGATAATAGTCAAGTGCTGCTTCACAACCAAGTAAAATAATTTATATTAATACTAAATTTACAAACACTTGCAAAAGATCAGAATTATTTTAAATGTACTTGCAATAAAATAGCACGGCAAGATACAGGGTGCTTCAAAAAAAAATTTAAAAAAAAAGGTTTTTAAACGCCCTGTATACAGAGTGTTTCTGATATTTTTTTGGGTGATTTCTGACATATTTTTAAGTTGGAAAGTTCATATAAACACATGTTCTAAAATGTTTCGTTTTCGAGTTACAGGGTGTCAAAGTTTTTTCGCCGATTTCGCAATGCATAAATGATTTTTATTTTTTTACGCAAATCCGTACGTCTGACAAAAAAAGCCAAGAGACATAATTTGTTCCAAAAAGACTGGGGATTTTAGAAATAATTTTTATTTTAGTGAAAAATCGTGACGTACCATTTTTTCTTCAAAAATATTCAGTCCAGACGCCATTATGTACGAACGTCGCTGGTGAAAATTGGGGAAAATATTTTTTCAATAAAAAATGACCTTTAATTGTAGGAAGACCCATGTACTAGACTTTATAAAAATATCTGCAGTCGCTCGGAAGACATTATAAAAAAAAACATTTTTTTTTCCAAAAATTGACAACCCGTATCTCACGAACAAATCGTTTAAAAATATCTGAGAACTCACGTTGTGGCACTTCAATCAAAAACACTCTCTATATTATGGTTTTTCAACACAGATTTTCTCTATACAATGCAATATGATTATTTAACTATCTTCAATGCTTATATGGTAAAAACTTTTTGTGTTCAACAGATGTTTTCTCTTCTCCATGCGACTGATCCCCCTTCACCACGTGAATCATCCTGAGCATGAGCACCGCTAAAATGGCGTCCAGTGGATCCATAAAGCCTCTTTACATCCATTTAGGAATGGTGGACGTGAGTGCGAAAAACCAAGTTTTTGCAGGATATAATCGATCTCTACAATTTATTACCATTAAAATAATATTAATCAACAAAAAAAAATAATATGACCGAAAAAAAACCGCGTCAGCGATGGCTATGAAATGAAGATTGCTGTCATTTTATATGTAAAATTATATGGAGAAAGTCACTGATGTTTATTTCCAAGTCAACTGGACGCCGTTTTTTTTTCGATCGTACGGTACAAAGTACAACTATTGTTTTTCAATACAGCCCTATTTGTAGAGACATATAGTCCGTTTCACAATAAATTAGTATTCAAGGTAAACCTGTAACTTGAAATAAAAACAGCAACGTGTTAGACAAAGAAACTTTGTATTTTCGTGCATTTCAAGGGATGTGATTAACTAAAAAGTTTCTACTAGATTTAGTATATTTTTAATATGTATAATATATACAAATATTACTTGTATAATGTTTTGTATCATCTTTTGTTTGTTTGTTTGTGTACCTTGTTTTTTTACTTTGTTTGTAGTTTACCTTTGTCTACAAATTGAAAAAAATTTTGACAATAAAGGCATTTATTTATTTATTTATGAAAGAAATGGTGTTAGAACAGCTCTTAAATAAATAATTAATGTATTAACTTTTGAAACAGTTATTTACCAGCATTTTTTAGGAAGACTGCATACTGTTTTCTGCCATCATTAAGCATTATTTATTAATTCACATGGGCTACAAAACTGTTATCTTCGTTAAGAGTGCCATGGGCTCCAGGTATTCTGCCAGAATTCTAAAATAATACAGTATGAATATCAAAAGTAAATTAAAAATAACAAATTAGGTATTTAAGGCACTTACTAGTAGCTTTCCTCTTTCCTCTATCAGTCCGTAGGCAAAATGATTTAAAGCTATTGTTCGAGGCAGCGCAACTCCTTGAAATCTATAAATAGAACCGCCTTCGATATCAGTATCTAATTTTATTACATTTGTCACAGTTATTCTTCCTATATGATTGGTATTGGGTAACATTGGACCTCTACTTATATCTATGTGGGGTCCTGCCTTAAATAATGTTATTTTATCACTGTTATGTGCAGCAATATCTGGAATTTGTTGGCTCTTATGAGGATTATTCTTAAATATTTCTAATGCTATTTTTTTGTCTACATTAAGACATTCAATGGGATATTGTTTCTGACAAAATTTAATGAACTCCAATGATAATACTTTAAGTTCAGAATTTTTGGGCTCCCACTTATCTAGACCTATCTGAATGTCATATACAAAGCTACCTGATTTAACTAAAAAAGATATTTTTTTCTACATAAATTCAATTTAATACTATATCTTACCATTAGGACTAGGAAAACTGTGTAAATGTATTTCAATATTATCTTTAAAGGCATCACTCGCTACGGCACCCAATACAAAGCTGCAAGTTCTCCAAAAAACTTTATTTGCAGCAGCTGGATTAGGGAAGTTATAATGTAAAAGTTCAAGTATACATGATTCAGATAAAGGTCTATTCATGTGCCAAAGAGTTTTTCCATTCAATAGCGCTACAACAGACCTATCTCTTATTTTATCACCCAAATCTAAAAATATTCAATTAATATTGTCTGTTTGCTTCTCCCAAATGAAACATACGTTTTGCACAATCATAAGGTGTCGATATATTCTTGTTCATTGAAAAAACAGAGTTTTCTGGTTGTCCTTCGTATTGTACTTCGATTTTTTCTATTCGTCCAACACTTTCTTTTTGCTTTTTCTGTTCAGTTGCAAATATTTCACATTGTCTAGCACTTTCCTCCGAATAGGTAGATAAAAGTCCTAAAGAAATATTTGACTAATAGGAAATAAATTTAGTCATTTTTACTTACTTCGGTACGACAAAATTGTACATTTCTTAACCGGTCGTATAATTTTTCTTAAAGAATTCATTATGAAAATTTCTGGAAATTTAAAATCACAAATTTAAAATTTTCTAAGGTTATTTTAGGGATGGCTAGAATCGCATCGATTCATGGGTGAATCGATTCTTTAGGCCGATGCATGGACAGAACTAAATCGATATCGATACATGTTTGCGCTGATTCTATTGGCTGAAATTTTTGACGGAAAAATTTCAGCAAATAGAATTGCTGGAAATCGATTCAAGGTCGTTACGCCGATACGCCGTTCCGCTTTTTCTAGCATGATGTGGATGCACCTAGGACCTGGGATTCTGGGATGCACCCTGAATTAAAAGTAAAGGCGAAGGTTCCGTTTCTATTGGTGACTCTGCTACGTTTAGCTTATTTCATTATGACCAACTTTGGCATATCCCTAACTTGTCCCTGTGACTTGTCCCTAACCGATGTTTTGGCCAGACTTTTATTTTTGTTGGCGACCATGCACCCACGAATGACATTGACACAACACTGACATCAATTGACATCTGAAAATATCTCATCGCAGGAAGGGTGCGCCGAAAAGTATGGTCTATAAACATGTTTTACAATATTAGTAATTCAATCAACATTTTTTGACTATGTTTTTATATATTAGTGGGTGATAATTGACTCTCATACTGTAATTAGCAGTAACTGTAGTATGTTCGTTATTTACTTGTTGTAAAATCTTGAAGGTTCGCGAAACAGTACAAGTATTTTATCGAAAAAGTGATTCAACTACAATCAAAATGGCGCATCAAATGGCCCCATCGGTGAATTGTTCTTTGGATGATATCGATTTAACTGCACTAAAGGTAAAATAAAGATATAAATTATTATTAGATACAGTTCGTAAAATTATTATTGTGTGTTTTTTTATTTATTCCACTACACGTATTTTACCAACTATTATATTGGGTGTGTTTCTTTACACCCTAGACGTTTAAATGGATGATTATTTTTCAGGATCCTGCAGGTATTTTTGAACTGATAGAAGTAGTTGGGAATGGAACATACGGACAAGTTTATAAGGTAAAATTTTTGGGATTTATGGTGAAAATACCAATTTTTTTCAAGTCTTTTCTAAAGACGTTCATTTGAGTATTTCTAATTGATTTGTTTTTGCTTTTTTCTATTCACTACGTTTTTATTATTTGTAGTTAAAGCAACTTGTGTAAAATAATTCCCACAATTTCTATTACCTTTGTTTTTTTTCATTGTTTAGATGCAAGGTCATATCTAACTGAAATTTTAAATACAAGTTGTATCTGTATATTGGTATTTAATATTGGCAGTCTAGTTATTTCATGTTAATAAAACCAATAACTTTAGGGTAGGCATACTAAAACTGGCCAGTTAGCTGCAATTAAAGTCATGGATGTTACTGAGGACGAGGAAGAAGAAATAAAGTTAGAAATTAATGTTCTTAAAAAGTTCTCAAATCATCGGAACATCGCCACTTACTATGGAGCGTTTATTAAGAAGTCCCCCCCAGGTACTTATTATATTAGGATTTATGAAAACCAATTACAGAGTAAATTATTTGGTTGATAGGAAAGGACGATCAATTATGGTTGGTAATGGAATATTGTGGCGCGGGATCAGTGACTGATTTGGTTAAATCTACTAAAGGACAGTCTCTAAAGGAGGAATGGATCGCCTACATCTCTAGGGAAATTTTAAGGGGGCTTTCCTATTTGCACTCAAACAAAGTGATTCACAGGGATATCAAGGGTCAAAACGTGCTCCTCACTGATAATGCAGAAGTCAAATTAGGTTTCTGTCATTTAATATGAGTTAATCTTAATTTAATTTTTCTGTTGTTTTTTTAGTTGATTTTGGAGTATCAGCTCAACTAGATAGAACGATAGGCAGAAGAAACACTTTCATTGGGACTCCTTACTGGATGGCTCCCGAAGTCATTGCATGTGATGAGAATCCAGAAGCTACATATGATAACAGAAGTGATCTTTGGTCATTGGGCATTACTGCATTAGAAATGGCCGAGTCACAGCCACCACTGTGTGAATTACATCCTATGAGGTTAATTTTTTAATGAAGTGTATTTAATAATTTTAACTATATTTTTTTAGAGCATTATTTCTAATTCCACGAAATCCGCCACCAAGGCTAAAAAGCAAAAAGTGGAGTAAAAAATTCCATGGTTTTATCGAGACAGTTTTAGTAAAAGATTACCACGAGAGACCGTACACTGAACAGCTTCTGAAGGCTGCCTTTATAAAGTATTTGACAGGTATATAAATAGGAATACCCATTTAACTAGGCATAATATTTGCAGGGATCAGCCGACTGAGCGCCAGGTTCGTATTCAGCTGAAGGATCACATTGATCGGTGCAAAAAGAGGAAGCAGGAGAAGGAGCGCGACGATTACCGGTATTCGGGTTCGGAGAATGAGGAGGAGGAGCCCCAGGTGGCGGGTGAGCCGAGCAGCATAATCCAGGCGCCAGGTGGAGATACGCTGCGTAGAAATTTCCAACAGATCCAAGAAGGAAGAACCCTTGTAGAACCTCCACCAAGGTACCCATTTCAGCAAAATAACACACTAATTTACCAAAACACTTCCCTTTTGCACTAGACGCGCGTTTTGCTAACCATATTAGCATCATCAGCAGATGATTAAAACTAAACTAATATTTACAAATTGAGCGTTTATATAGATGCTCACATAGCACTCATCAAGCATGGCAAAACTAGCTAAGCGAGTCAAAACCAACCGAGTGTAACAATTAATTACCGAGACTAGAGTAATAGGGAGAGAGAATTGGAAGGAATTGGACCCTTTTCTCTGTTCATATTATCTTTACATTTATTAATTTGGAGGCTCTCATATGTATTTATTTGCCTGTAATTTGAAACTTGTTTAATTCATTTTAAATTAATGATATCTATATATTGATCTTTATCAACAGTCTGTTGAACAAAGAAAGATTTATCCATCACCTAAATGTTCTTTTGAATAATAATCATTCTGGATATGTAGGTTATCGATTAGGGACCAGTGCGCAGTGGAGGTGTTTTATCTGTAGATTACCTAATAATTGTTATAATTTAATATTAGCATTATACACAAGTTTATAATTGGCATTCTTGTAAATTATTTTTAAACTATGGGATAACTATCAAATAGGAGAATGTCCGTTACACTCAGCTACATTCCTAATGTAATTCCTTTTTATTTCATGTCTTTCGTTAGTAAGTGGAAAACTAAGTATTCTATGAACTAAGAAAGTTAAACTAGCCATTTTATGTTCAGCACTGTGATAAGCCTCATTAGGAATATATCTGTGTGTAGTGGTCCATCAAACTCCAGCCAGTGAATTTAATTATCTCAGTCTTTAGGACACAAACAGAACAAAAGTCCAGAACTAGTATCCTGATATGTTTACAATAATATATTGTATGCATTTGAATTGTACAATTTGCTTGTTGTAGTAAACTTGAATTTTTAAGGGTAGCTTGCTATTTATTTTTTATTTTTATATGGTTTTATTGAATTGAATATTTTCTTTTTATAGAAGTGGTAAGAATAAGGAAAGGGAAGAAATTCCTGAACCCGGTCCTCCAGCTAGACCACCCATTCCCCAGAGAATGGTTGTGGTGCCAGATCCAACTCCTCCTAGAAGGTATAGTGTACATTTTTAAATTACACTTTTTTTTTTTTTTTTTTTTTTTTTTTTTTTTTGAATTATAGTCTGTCCAACAACAAAATCCTTGACCGGGAAAAATGGGTCTGTCATTTTAACTTCACAGTAGTTTATTTTATTTTACGAAGGAATAAGTTGATACAGTTGAAAAGCAGGAAACTAATATATTTAAAAATTTATTGACGGAAAAAAAAACTGAAAAAATCGAACTTTATTTTTAAATTTTTTTTTCAGTTTTGCAGAGTTATTAGAAAGAACTACGTATTACTTTCAAACTTAATAATAACACAAACCAAAACGCAAAAGCAATTCGCAAATGTTTATGATTTTTCAGAACGCAGGCTATTTGACATAATTTGATACAAATTATAACCTATAATTTGGCAAAATTTTAAGTTGATTTTATACCCATTTGCTTAGAAAATTTGTTGCATTTAAATATTAGAACCTTTTTTTAGTGAAATAAATGAATTGGTATGGACGTCGCCTGCCTTTTCTCTGTCATAGTCTGTCGAAATCATACCTGAGTAAACCTTAAGGTGATATTTGAGCAATTAGATGCTTTATTCATTCGCATTTTATTTATATCCATATTACGAATTATATTTGTTTCAGACCACTACCACCTCCTCCAGACAATAATTTCGCTGCTTCCAGGCCTCAGTCACAGCAGCCCCAAAGAAACTCCCAATCGCAAAACATGTTTAAACCTATGGTAAGAGGTTTTTTTTTTAATCTTTAAGACTACTTCTAATTATTCTTTTCTTCTTTTTTTTTGTATTTTCTCATTCTCAAAAAGTCTTTCAGTTTTTCCTAATTTTGTTCTTCTGTTTATTTCATGTCCATGTTTCACATTTCACACAGGCACCTGCACGTAAACCTGAGGTAGGTTAATTGACTGAAAATTCCTGGTATTTTTTTTGTTAATTTTTATCAATTTTTGAAATAATGGCAGCTTAAAGGATGCTTTCAAGATCGTTTACATAATTTGTTTAGCTTAATTCTGTGTCTGTTATGGTTTTATTATTTTTTAAGGAACTGGATTCACTGGCTGCTCACTTGAACGAGCTGGGAATGCAACAGACATCGAGTAATGGTGCCCTTCAGCCTGAGGCTCCCCCGCGCAATAACAGGAATAATTCTCGTATTCAGGTACCTCTCAGTTTAGAATTAAAAACGATTAGAAAACTATGCACAGTATGATCAGAAAGTTTATTATAGCAAGCCTGCTCTACAGGGTGGTTCGAATTGTATTCGGGAAACTTTGGCAGCATATTCTGCACATAAAAATAAGTAAAAAAGTTTGTATAAATGTACGTCCTGAAATAGTTCGTTTCAGAGATACAGGGTGTAGAAGTTTTTTCAAATTTTTCCAAGTACTTTATGAACTATAGTCGATATTTGCATGAAATTTGATGTCTGGGTATATTTTGATATGACAAATTACATGATTTTTAACTGTTTTGAATAGTAATAACTTTTCGTTCGCACCTGTATGAACTTCTGAACGAAAAATATACTTTTCCCTCATTTTTTACGTAAAAAAGTATCTTGGTAAAAATCGCTAGAAGCAACCGTTCTCAAGATAATTTGAACTGGAAATTATAGTTCAGTCATTAGGGATCAAAAAAGGGGCCTGCTTGGAAAAAAGTCCGGAAGTTTTGAAACTTTGTAGGTTTATAGGTTTGGGGGTCCCTAACTAAAATCCATAAAATGCACATTTCCAGACTTGCCGCCGGCGCCGCCATCTTGCCAAGATGGCGCCCAAAATCGGTATTTTGTAAATATCTCGAAAACTGCGTTTTTCGCAAAAATTTGAAGAGAGCAAAATTAAAGAGAATAAAATTTCCTGTTGAAAAGGTTCGCTAAAGTCAACCGTTTAGGCACAAAATCTCTGGAAATTTTACAACTTTGCGTAAAGTATGATATATTATGTATAGTCGATTTTTCGAAATCAAATGTCATTTACGGTTGACTAAAACTAGTTTTAGTTTAGTTTCTTCAATTTTGTCATGAAACAGTGGCGTATCATTAATTCACTCATTAATTTATGAATAATTAATTGTCATGCTGGACAGCATTCATTGCGAACTTACCACCAGGTTCAGCATTGATCTGGTTGTACCAAAGATGCCGAAGATTGGGGCTACACCGCCCTGTATCTCCAAAACGAAACATTTTAGGACAAGAATTTATGTATTTATATTATGAACTTTTTTACTTATTTTTATCTGCTGAATTTTTCCGCATACAATTCGGGCCACCCTGTGTAGGCACTAAAAAGTGCGTTGAAAATCTAAAAATACTATCAGATAGCCCTAATAAAGTGGCTATGAGAATGTGCAATTAGTTTTTTGATTTTCTAAAATGTAACGACAGGAAAAAATAAAATTAGTTTTCAAAAAAAAACGTTTTTTCCAAAAAACTCAGCAATCCTTGAAATTTTTAAAACTTTTTTGATGGCATCTTGGTGAACAGTCCAAGACGCAACTTTGCCCAATTTAACCATCTTCGCATCTATTACTGTTTCCGAGATACCAATGCTGTATATTATATGTATATTATAAAATATTAAGATATAATAAGATATTAACAGTTTTTCTCGAATAATTTCAGTCTACTAACAACAACAATGTTTCGTCCCCGAGCGCCTCGAGCGCCGCCAACGACCGTTCAGTGGACGCGTTGGTGGACAGCGAGAGCGATTCCGAGCCAGAGGAGGGAGGTCGCGGGGCTCGAAACGACGGCACGCTGCTCGCTAGCGATCCGCCGAAACCCCTGTAAGTAAATGTTACAATATGTTTTCGATACTTTTTTCCTTACCAACACTCTTCTTGAAGATCTAAAATTACATTTTTCAATAAGAATAATTATTTTCATGGTAATACACTGTATAATTAATAACATTTGTTTTTCAATTTTTATTTTTTTTTCTTTGTTGATTTTTTTTTTTCGATTATTATTTTATGTTTACTGTTTTCGTTTCATTATTTTTTCATTTTCATTTCTGTTCCGTTTCACTTTTCGTTTCCGTTTTTGTTCTGTTAGTCCGGAATTTTCTTACAGGGCCGGTCTTCCAGGCGTGCCCGAGGGCGGTACCAGCGCTCCCAGTCCCGGTACCACCGCCAGCTCCGGATCGGGAGCGCCCAACAGGCCTCTGCCTCCCACACCCGACGACGAGGAGTCTCAAGGAGATCGCACACTGGTCCTGCGCAAGGTAATGTTAAATGTGACTTTTTGCGTTGCTACAGTGATTTATTTAACTTTTCTTTAAGCTTTTTATTTTTATATTTTCGACTTTTTTTAATCATGTCCTGATTTATTAATTTGTATATTTTCATATGTTCCACATTTTCTATGGCTTTACTCAGTGTCAGGACCACTTGTGTTTCTAAATACGTTTTCTAAATATTTCATTAAGAATGATAACGTAAAAGTTTTATTACTGTTTTCTAAGAATTTCTGAGCAGGCGGAGATATTTAACAAATAACATTTTAAGACATATATCAGTAGGTTAGAGTTCTATTGATTTAATATAGCAAATTTTAATACTATGCAGTAATTTATTAGGAAAAGCAGAAAGAAAGTTGTTAATTTGTTACACACCCATTTTAAAGATTAGTATAATTATTTTCTTAAAATTTTATTATACAGTGTGGTGCATCGGAACACAGGGCAAAAGAAATTCCATGTAAATTTTGAAAAGGTCAAATATTATTTCCCCAGATTATATTACGTAAAACTTGTATTAGACTTTTTCAATAGGCGTTAAAGAACAAACTGAGCTGCGAACATATCTAACACAGCAGGAATACTATTTCCAGCAAAATGCCACTTAACCATCGTAACTTTTTCGGAAGTTGCGAAAATCATATTTTATACAAAATTACTCTTATTTGTTACCTTCAAATTCTTGTAAACAAAATGTAACATCGAATTTGGCAATGACAAAATAATATTTTTGCTAGTATCTTAATTGTAGCTTTCTCTAAGCCGTATTATGAAATTTTAGTAATTTAAAGGTAGCTTTTGTAAATAACATCAAAAAATTCTAATGCAGCTATTGCATAAAATCATCTAATATTTGAGCTTTTCAAATTTTACATGGGATTTTCTATGTCCGGTGTTCCGATGCACCACACGGTATAATAATTGAATTCCTTAATTAAAAAACTGTAGCCGAATATATAACATTCATTGCAAGTTGACTATATCATTAATATTTTTTCCTTCATTCAATTCCACACCGAAACATTTTAATCTTTCGCGATGGGCCACCTTTTCTGCTCCCCGTTTTAATTTTCCTGTATTACCAAAACGGCAGCAGCCCGCGGCCAAAATCGAGGACGTGGACGAGGCCACCCTCCTCAAAGACTGGGACTTTGACAAGTTCTTTCCCACGAAAACGACGAAAGGGACGGCCAGCGAGAAACAGGGCGGCCACAGGCGTATCGAGAGCGACTCCAAACCACTGTTTCGCGGGTTCCGTCGCGAGAACTCGGACCTGCTGCCGTTGGGCTCGACGCGCCACAGCGCCATCTACCCGGAGCAGAGAAACAAGCCGAGCGCCCTGTTCAACAGCAGGAGGGGCTCAGAGGCGGGCCTGCCCAAGAAGAAGACCGGCGAGCCGGTGCTGACCGACTGGAAGAGGACGGACTCGCTGCTGGGACCGGTTCCCGTTAAGAACGAACAGAACAGGTGCGCTCTGCTCCCTGACACTCCTTATTCGATGTTAACAACGGTCTATTTTTGGTCCAATTTAATTTACAACGTTTTAAAAACACACAACCTAATATCTAACCTAAAATTCAACGTTACGTCAATTCGTAACGTACAATTCTAACCTAATCATTCAACGTTACGTCATCATATTTGTTAAATATACGTTTTAGGGTGTGTCTGAGATCAGTTCATATTGTTTAGAAAATTTTAAGTACATTCTGAAATTGTGTCAGTTCCATTTTTCCTCTTGTTAAAGATAAGTAACGTAAAAACGAAACCTCTTTACGCGCGCCGATGACATGACGTTGAACGATGGCTGACCAAAGATTACTTAAGTTCATCGACATGGCTATAAATGACGGAACAAAAATAAACTGGTATCGAAAAAACGTATGGCAAGTGTCAGGGCGCAGAACTGAGCCGAGATTGACCTCTTAGAGAGAGCTTCCTGCGGCCTCGGCGCGAAAAGACCGAGTCGGACATCGTGCTGCGCCACTCGGAGGCGAGGCGCAGCATCAGGGAGACGCTGGAGGCGCGGCGCCGCGACGTGGAGCGCCAGTTCGCCCGGGAGGCGGAGGGAGCACGCAGGCGCAGCTCGAGGCCCATAGAAACGGGCGGAGGTACCACGATTCGCTCGGTGGGCGGGGACGACGAAGACGAGTTCGCCTTCCTGCAGGTAAACAAAGGGGTCGCTGCCGTTGCTGCTGCTCATTCTGACGCTGCTTGTCGCCCGCATCACATAAACGCACGTCCAAAAGTTACGGAAATTTGAATTCGTACATGCTCCAACTTTAAGAGAAAAATCGATGCCCTGACAAATTGCCAAAAAGAGTTTTTCTCTGGAAATTCTTTTTAGCGTTGTTATTTGCCTTGAATTCTTTGTTAAAGTTTAAATTTGTCACACGTTTTCAATATTCCTAGCTTTTAGACATGTGTATATTTCGACTACTTCATCTAACACATTAATACGTCATTGTAGATTATAGAGTGGACAAGGTGTAAACCTTGTATTTGTATTTAGTATAGATCGTTGCTTAGACATTGGAAGTTTAATTAACAGTTTTCTGTGCCGCATACTAAATCTCATAAACTGCTACTAGGGTAATAGGAATAGACATTTAAAATTAGTATTTTATAGGCAAGGAATTTTGACTAGTGTTTGTAACTTGTCCTAACAATACTTTACTAATATTTTCTCGTTTTAGTTAAGCATTTACTCATTATCGCAAATTTTATATAACATATTTTTACAATAAACATTGTTACACAAATAAATCACTATTTTTAGTATGTATTGAAGGATTTAAACCAAAAAAAGTGGAAATCACTAATTTTATTGATTGACTAATTGATTATTTGCGTGGGTTAATTTTGAGATAGGGATTTTCCTGTATTAAATAAATAAATATGCACGATAATTTTAGATAAACCATGACTCAGATAGATAACACACATTTTTTGGGCTGGGCAGTTTGAATAAATTGGTATTTGCTTTAATAAAAAATATTATTGCTAAACTTTCTTAATTCGTATTTCAGCTTTTAACATTTCAAATGCTTGGAAAATTGTATTCTTTCGTGGTTCTATGTTTTTACTAGATACTTTACTTCAACTGTTCTATCAAATATTAATTAAAAATTAAATAAAGCAAAAAATGTTAATTTAATATTTTAAGTCTTCGTAGTCCGTTATATAAAAAAAAAAGAAAATATGTAAAACGGTTTACGAATGACACGATGTCTCGTATTATAAAACCATATTATAATCTCAAACATTTATTTCTTTTATTCTTATATTTAGTTCAAATTTCTTGACTTTTTTCTCTCAAAGATTATTCTACAATGACAAAGTTTGTAATACTAAAAAATAACGACAATAATTTTACATTTAATGATGATTTTCTGCAAACCAATAACACTAATATATTGTTTGAGCTTCAATTTAAGAGCAATATAAAATAATAAAAAGTTGCTTGGAATATTTCAATTTTTTGTTAATGTAGAATAATGTTCAGAAGAGTAACTCTAATAGACCAATAATATAATTAATTGCTGCTCTTATTTTTTCTATTGTATTTTGAAAATTGATTCAAAATCACGTTTCATCACTTTTCGCCCTATGTACACTCGCCGGCACGATAAACGGGCACCTTAAAATTTTGATTTGTATTTTAAAGATATTTCGTTCTAGCGGGTCAATTTGGATAATTTTTTAAGCAATTTGTTAGGTTATTTGACTTTTTAGTATCTCTTTCTAAATTAAAAATCAAAGTTCCCATTTGACAACTATACGAGGGAAAACAAAATGTTGATATTTTGGTGAAACTTTGAAACACCCTGTGGAATGCGTTAACAAAGCAAGAGAAGATCAAAAGCAAAAGCATGGCATGTAAAAATAACGGATAAATGTTAGTGTCTTCTTCAAAAAAGAATATCTCCAAAAAAAAAATTATTGAGATGAACCAAAAACCAAATTATTGAGAAAAGATGCACCTAAATGATAAAATGATTTTTAAATTCTTTACTTTATTAACATACTCCACAGGGTGTTTCAAACTTTCACCAAAATGTCAACATTTTGTTTTCATTTTGACACATGGGAATATTCCTTTTTAATTTAGAAAGAGAGAAAAAATCATCAAATTCGGTCCAGTAGAACACAACATATAAAACTTTAAAATACATGAAAATTTTAAGGTACCCGTTTATCGTGCCGGTAAGTGTATATGTATAATAGTACTAATCAGATATTCTTTTTGCGTTGACTAATCACGACCTAACCAAACTTTTGTGAAGAGCAGGGCGTCGCGCGTCGTGACGGATGTGCGTCGTCGGCATGCCGTCGTCGAGCATGGAAGGGAATGTCGATCAATTTTTTTCCGCGGGCTGCTGTCGTCGTTATCAATTTGACACGTAATCATTTCTGGTTTGACTTGATTTGCTTTTCGATTTTTCTCTTTTTGTGTTTTTTAATATGTGTTTGCATTTTAGATTTAGTTTACATAGGTTGTTTGTTTTTATTTTTTTAGAGTTTGTGTTGTTTTCAATTTTAGATTTAGTTTTTTTTTAATTAAATTAAAACCGTTTACCAAGTTCCTATAGAGTTATTTGATGAGACATTATAATATCTTTATTTGACAGATTTTTTATTAAGTAGTTTTCTTACTAAATGTTTTAAATATTCGCTCTCTTATATCCTACATTATTATCAATTGTCATGTTTCTTTAATTTTTTTGCCACTTTATACACAATACCAAGTGTGTTACAATACCTGGTGTTTCTCAAAAGTAGCTCACCCTTATAACTTTTTTATTTTTTCAGATAAAAAAACGAGATTTGGTAGTATATGACAAATCAGAATTGATTGACGTATTCAGTCGCTTTCTGTTTCAACGTAAATGAATACAACTTTTTATTTTTAAGCGGCACCCTCGGTATTTTTTTTACTTTATTCGATAGAACTTGACACTCTGAATAGAATGACATATCACATGTCAACTTTTGACATTTTCGCATACGGTTTATTTGAAATGGTAACATGCGGTTCATAACGATAATTTCACTCTAAGTACCAAGTGTGTGGTACCAAATTATTCGTAAAAAATGCTTTTTCCAAATATGCTAATGAGCCACCCTCGTTCCATTTCAAAAAATTGAGATATGATTAAAAATCCGATATGGGCATATTTTAACCGACCAGGACAAGACACGAGGAACATTAGACGATCAAATCTATTTTTCCAAGGCTCCTTGATTAAAAATTAGTGTTTTTAACACAGCCATGGCACTCTAGATTGAAATTTAAAATACAATTTTGTTTTAAGCCAAAATGTCAAAAGTTGACGTATGATATGTCATTCTGTTCAGAGTGTCATTTAAAAATCAAAAGTTGTAGTAATTTCCGGTGAAACAGGAAGTAACCTAAAACAATAAAATTGAATACGTTAATCGATCCTAATTTATGTCATATACTAACATACCTTATCTGGTTTTTTATTTGAAAAAATAAAACAGTTATAGGAGTGAGCCACTTGTGAGATACACCCGGTATATAGTACTTGAGAAATGATTTTGTTTCAGCTATATCGCTAATGTCTATTAGTTTTAACTTTATTATAATAATATTATATTATACTTGAAACCTTTGAATAACTCTATATACTTTGTTTTACAATTGACTTTCTTATATTTTTAGTGTTTTACCGTATTAATAAGCGTATGATTCTAGAATGGGAGAAGTAGCGACCACTCCAGACAAATCGGCGTGTTACCGGATCTGCTCAGTCAGGCCAGCGGCAGTCCAGGGACCCCGTCATCCAGAGACAAGTCACAAAACGAGGAGGTACGTGTACCTTTTTATTTTCTTTTTGTCTCCTGTTCAGTCAGTAGAACCTCCATCGACATACATTATCATAAATCGCTAGACTCATCATGTGTCACTTTGATATTCATAGCTACTTTTGCACATATACCCTCACATATTTTTTATTCAACTTATGTCATATATTATTCGTTAAAGTTCACAATATCATTATCACTATTCATTTTCCTCCCTCCTTTAACCCAAACTGTCCATTTATAATAATACTAATACCTGTACTATAACACGTATTTTATTTTTGTTTTGACTTAACCTTAAACACGATAATTAAGATTATACGAAATTAACTTCCGATAATTAATGTCTTTCTCTTTGGTTTCTGCCTCTAATGATGTGACGTCTGTAATCCCCTGTGTATCTTAAATGTAAGTATAACTTTAAGTGTTTTTTGGGTAGTGGTTGCATCGAATGCATTAACTGTGGCTCATCCTGTCTTGTCTAATTTCGTCCAATTCAGTACATTTCTAAATGTTAATCTCCAGAAAATACATTTTTTGTTGTTACTAATGTCATACATCACAGCTTGATTTACAGGGTGGTCCGAATTGTATTCGGGAAACTTATTCTGCAGATAAAAATAAGTTAAAAAGTTTGTATAAATTGATGTCCTTAAACGAGATACAGGATTTAGAAGTTTCATTTTTATTTCGATTTTTTCAAAATAATTTCTCAAACTTCAAACTATGGCCGATATTTGGATGAAAATTGGCCTCTAATAATAAATTACATTTCGTCCTATTGCTGCCAAAAGTCACTAAGTAACATTTTTCTGAACCTGAAAATTCAATCACTAACTGTATTTTGAAGCGGAGAATCGATTGAAAAAGTCATTAACTACGATTTCTGGCTATTTATGTTGTATTTTAATACCGAATAGTTACTAACTAAACATTTTTATGCAATGCAATTCATCTTTAGACGCGTTTTTCTCGGAAGTCATAAAAAGTAAGTTAGTGACTTTTGGCAGCAATGGGACGATTTCTACACCCTGTATCTCCGAAACGAAACATTTTATAGGAACATTTTTACTTATTTTTATTTGCAGAATATGCTGCCGAAGTAACCTTTCGGAGCACCCTGTAATATAGAGTTTAGAAATAGATAATTTTTCATTACTAATACCACTTCACTTAACAACTAGTACCTTATCATCATTTTTTTAAATAGAAAGCACGTTTTTCATCAGATCTCTTAAATTAAATTTATTTCCTTATCTAGATAAAAATTACATTTTTTTTGACACATAGATTTTTAATGAAGTACCTACAAATGTTAAGTTTTTATAGGATGAACCATAACACGTAGACATCTTAACAAGAACGGTTTTGTAATACTTACTAACCAGACTAACAATAGAATAGCTTTTTCCATTTTGTTCTGTACTAACCAACTTTTACTTCATTTCCTGCGATGCACAACTTGTAGCTTTGAATGTTTTTTACTGTAATTTAATATTAGTTTAAGTTTTATACATATACTTACATCTTATAGAATCAGAAAGTTTTTATGCAGAAATAAATTGGAAATGTATACTGTTTTTTTTATAAACGCATCTGGAGTCTTCTGGAATACATAACTTTTTGGTTTCATGATGTATCTGAGATATTTTATAAAATAAAGGTGTATCTTAAACCATTTAGAGTTAGTAGAGAAAGTAGTCTTGTTGAAGTAAAACTATAGTAATTTTGATTTCTTTACTCTAAACACGTTTAAATGAGAAACACCTGTGATTATGTGTGAAGAGAAAAAGTTGAGTAGATAAACTTCCACCTTTTTTTCTACACGTGGGGATATCCGTGGCGGCGTTCATCGGAGATTGTATCTCCCGGCGATTATAGTTTGATGCAATTTTTCAGTATCGTCCCGATCACGCGACGCCTCCCTCCTCCTTCCTGCACGCTAACGCTCTGGCTCTGCAACAGAAGCAGCGCTCGTTCCTGGCTTTCGGCTTCGGCGCCAGCTCGCAGCCGTCACGCAGGGAGTCTCACGTCAACGTCAACGTCACGCCCACTTCGCACGACATCTCGTCCGACACGCCCGAAATACGCAAGTACAAGAAACGCTTCAACAGCGAAATACTGTGCGCAGCGCTTTGGGGTAAGTCGAAAGTCATTAAACTAAAATTTTGATGTATTTTAATGTTTAATATATGTTGTTCTACTGCGCCGATTTTGATGATTTTTAAGCAATTTGTAGCTAAATTTTTTGAGTTTTTAGTATCTCTTTCTAAATTCAAAATGAAAGTTCCCATCTGTCAGTTATACGAGGGAAAAGAAAATGTTGATGTTCACAAACACTCTTGAAACACATGAAACACTCTTGTGTTCTGAAACACTCAATATATAAAACTTTAAAAAACATCAAAATCTTAAGGTGCCCATTTTTCGTGCCGGTTAGACCAGTGATTACTGTATTATAATGAGTCAGTAAAACTAAGACACTACAATTTTTTTAGGGGTAAATCTTTTAATCGGAACGGAGCACGGTTTAATGCTTCTGGATAGAAGCGGCCAAGGCAAAGTGTATCAGCTGATCTCGAGACGTCGCTTCCAACAGATGGAAGTGCTGGAAGGTCAAAATATTCTCGTCACGATTTCGGGAAAGAAGAACAGGGTACGCGTGTACTACCTGAGCTGGCTAAAAAGCAAAATCCTGCGTACAGACGGAGTTAGTGACGTAAGACTTACTTTGATAGTGATAAGAAAGAAATATTAAATGTGCGAGTATTTTAATTTGCAGCAAGTGGAACGAAGGAACGGCTGGATCAACGTGGGTGATTTACAGGGCGCCGTTCACTTCAAAATCGTCAAGTACGAGCGGATCAAGTTCCTGGTGATCGCCCTAAAGGACAGTATAGAGATATACGCGTGGGCGCCCAAACCTTATCACAAATTTATGGCCTTCAAGTCGTTTTGCGATCTGACCTACAGACCGCTGCTGGTCGACTTGACGGTCGAGGAAGGGACCAGGCTCAAGGTTATCTACGGGAGTTGCGACGGATTCCACGCGGTCGATTTGGATTCCGCCAGCGTCTATGACATTTATCTGCCCAAACACGTATGCTTGAATAATAGGTTATGACGTGTTTTTTTTAGCACTAATCGGCTGTTTATGTTTTTTTAGCCGCAAAATGGAATCGCTCCTCATTGCATAGTGACGCTGCCTAATAGCAACGGTATGCAGCTGTTGTTGTGCTATGATAACGAGGGGGTTTATGTAAATACGTATGGACGTGTATCGAAGAATATGTTATTACAGGTAAATTAATTATTAATATTATTAATAAACATTTTTATATATAAATATTTCATGTCGCATTATTTAATCGCAATGAACTAAACTACTAACCAATTTTTATCAATTTTTTTTTTGATCCCACTTGAGAGATAGAATAGTTTATATCCCAATTTGTAGTCGCAATATTTTTTTACTGAAATTATTTATTATATGACTAAGGTTATGACAAGTTCCATAAGATTCTAACAGATGGCTAAGATAATTTATCGGCTGATTGAGTAAGTATCCAATAGATGGTGCTATGTTAACAGTCCAAACGTTTCATTTATGCTACAATTTATTTCACGTCACACGCGTTTGTTCAAAATTTACTTACTACACAAACAGACCCGGCTACGCATTGCTGTAGCTAAAGTAACTTTATTGTAAATTCTCCGTTATATGTCTTTATTCGTAAATAATAATTTTATTGTATTGAATAGTTTACTACAAGGTACACCTTAGCCACAGCAATGCGTGGCCGGGTCTGCTAGTTTACAATATTTTATGGAAGTTTGACTTCTTGTTGTAAACATTATAATGTCCCATACAATTTGTCTTGTTTAACTTAGTGGGGCGAGATGCCGACGTCCGTGGCCTACATCGGCACCGGCCAAATCATGGGCTGGGGCAACAAGGCCATTGAGATCCGCTCCGTGGAGTCCGGCCACCTGGACGGCGTGTTCATGCACAAGAAGGCGCAGCGCCTCAAGTTCCTCTGCGAGCGCAACGATAAGGTGTTCTTCTCGAGCGCCAAGAGCGGCTCCTCCTGCCAGATCTACTTCATGACACTGAACAAGCCGGGCATGGCCAACTGGTAACCACTGACTGACGGGAATGGCGTTATCACGTGGGACGCGCGGGCCGCGTTGGTTTGGTATCAGCGTCGTTTTCTCTTCTCTTATCTCGTTTAGTTCCATCGCTAGTTGTATGCCTCGTGATTTAAATGAGTATAGTGTCCGCCGAAACGTTTACAACAAATGGGGAATGCATTTTTATTCGGTTTTTAGAAAATCAATTTATACTGAACCAAATCTAAATCAATTTTTTTGACATACATACCGAACTTAACAATAAACGCATGACATTTAAGATACATTTTTGATAATTTTAAGGTTTTGTACAATGTCTATTTGATTGGTGTATATTTATTTATACATATATCGTTCAGATTTTATTAAGCCAAGCCACTATGCTCGATTATTTTTTGCAACCTATTTTACTGTGATATATTTTTTCTGCAACTATTACTAACTTTCAAATGGTTTATATTATTTTAATTTTTGCCATTCAACTACATTTTTTCATATTATTTAATGATAGTAAAATTGACTTTTCTTCAGATATATTTATTCAAATTGTAATCCGTTTGGCTGTAAGACAAATATCACCTTTAAATTTTAAAGGGTTACTTTTGAATTAGAGTACACAGGTACTTCAGTTACCTTCTGTTTTTGTTTTGTCTCGCTTTTGTGTTTTTATTGGGTGCAGAAATAGTTTTTTTTTGTTGTTATTATTAGTGGAGTTTTATTTTTTAAACTAAGTTAGATAACCTAAAATCTGGAGTTCAAATATTTTTTTCTATTATAACACTATAAAGAGGTGGTTTAATTTTAACGAAATAGACTTCTAATAGGTATAGAAGTCATGTTGAAACAAAGGTTTAAATCTCCTATCTTCGTTTACTGAACTAGAAAATAAAATAAGGAGCCGTTATTTTTTCAAAATTACTTTTATCATCTATCAAAGTTGACATTTTTACCATTGAGTCACCTCAACTATCATCACTGCCACGATAAAGTATTTTTCAAATTAAGAAAAAAAAATAGAAAAGACGCTTATACCAAAGCCAAAGGTCGGTCCTAGCCTGTTCTTACGAAGAAATTGAAAATCTTTCAAAGAAACGCTAGCGGTGCTAAGAATTTATTCTCGACTTTCTATCATATTATTATTTTTATTTATTGTCGCTCATTCATCACTCACATTTCATATTTTTGTTCTATTTATTATATCACTCAAGAATGAATCTTCCACATTTTTGTATTTATATTATTGAGAACTAATACTTTGTAAAAATATACATTCAAATTAAAAAAAAAAACCTGCGTGATAAATAAAAATGATAATAAATAAATAATACTGTAACCATTAGAGAAAAGAGTACAAGTTCTCCATATTTATTTCTTTTGTTGGATTATTATAATATACTTATAGGGCAATCAGAAATTTAGTGCCATTTGCAGCTATTGTAATTTAATCTTGGCTTATGATATTCGGCGTGCACCTGATGTAGATTATTGTCATGGCCCAATGATGCCTCAAAATTATCTTTCTTTTAAATTAACTTCAGTTTTAAGGAAAATTTATGAGTGGATCAGAATTTAACCTGAAAGATAAAATGACACGCTGATGCCCTAAGTGTCTTTCTAGAAGCCTAGATTAAGTTTCAATTGGTGCAAACAACTGAATAAAAGTTCCATTATAATGTTGTACTGTCTGTTGTCTCTCATATTGGCATTTAATCATTAAAATAATTTCTTTTGTCATGTTTCTATAACATAATTTAAATTAATATGTCAAACGTACAACATTAAACTCTCCTGTATATACCGGTAGCATCTGAGAGAATTCTCTTAATCTAAATGTCATCATCAAGGTGTTTTTTTTAATAGCGCCACCGGTTCTGCATTTATTACTATGATTAAGTTTGGTGCCAACCGATAATTAGTGACGTAAAGACATGCTCACTGAACTGTAGATAGATCCAAATGCCTGCGGCCCAGCAACTTGGGTCGCCCTGTATATATACACACTTTTGCATAAACGTTTGTAATGCAACTTATTCCTCTAGCACACAGTAGTTTGCTATTGGACAAATATTGAGTAATAATTTAGGAACCAATTAGCCTTACGGAAAAAATCGTATTTGTCTGTTTTTTTTGGCGTACCTGGTCAGGCTAACTAATATGGATACATGTTCATACTAAATTTTGTGTTGTCTCCATATCATTGTTATTTTATTGCAATTAAAAATGAGACTTACAAATTACCAATGATTATACAAATTTGAAAAGAAATACCTTTATTTGTTAGCCTAATGAGGTAGTATTGATTTTTGCAAGATGTGTCAAATTTATATATGCGGCATTATAATATGATATTACATTTGAGACACCTTGTAACGGATGAACGAATTCATAAACCATGTTACTCTGCTAATAATATAAAATATCTTGTTTTACACAGGAGAGGTGAGGAGATTCATAACGTAAAAATAAGATTTATTTTTTATGACTATTTATGTTGATATAAAAAATAAATTTTATTTTTACGTGAGGTATCTTCCCAAGACAGATGGCACGTTTTTTGAAACACCTTGTATATATTAAGTAAAACAAAAGTATAAGACTTTGTTAAAAGATTCTCTTTGGCAATTCTTTTAAGGTTTTAAATAAATAACAGTTATAAGAATGTAAGATAGTGTTTAGAATTCGTTCATGTTCATAATAAATTTCAATATCTTGATTGTAAATAGCTGAAAGTACGATATGAAATAGATGTCTGTGTAAAAGGGGCATCGCTGCGTTTCCGAGACAATTCGTTATCAGGAAGTCTCGTTCGCAGGCTCAAGTTAATTCTTAGACGTCGATGAGAAGAAAAAGATACAATTTTTTACAGTACTTAGCCATAAGGATATTTTTAACATACTTAGCGAATATAATGACGACGGTTTTGTATTGTTACTCTTTCTTGTCTAATGGTGTAAATTACGTTTCGTATCGATAATTTTGAATTTCGATCGTTAGATTTTTTACTAAATTTTACGTTAGTAAAAGTTTTTTATATTTTTGAAATGCGGTAGTAGATACATATTTTTGTTCTATCTTGGTGCAATTCAAGACTGTTAACGGTAACAGAATAAATTTGTATTTTATCTTTAATATACTGCAGATGTAGTATAGTTATATTATATATTTTTTATTTATATAGATGATTATTATATCCATGTCAACATTTTTCTTGTTCTCTTTTTAATTTAATTTCCAAAGAGATGTTATATGTGTGATTTTTTTAATATAGGAAATATATGAATATCATTTTATTAATACTATTCAATATAAAGTTACTTGTCAGTTGTTGTTTTATTTACACCCTAATTCTCTATCAAATACATATGAAGTAAATAAAGCTAGTTTAAAGCAATTAGTTATTCTAAAACTATAATAATTTATTTAATCATCTTTCTTGAACATATATTTTCCACGCATAACTTTGGGAAGTGGACAGAGACTTGGGCATGGTACTTGTCCAGGAAGTTCACATAAACAATGTCGATTACATCCAAGTCCGAAGTTGGCTGGATTATCTTTCTTCTCTTGAGCAATTGATTCCGCTTTAAGTACCTCGCTAAAAATATTAGCGATTAAACTAATTTAGAATTTAATTGTAATTCATATGTACCTAGTTTTCCCTAAAACTTCGACTAGATGATCATAAATCTCGTTTTTCGATTTGTTGTCGATATCAATTAACATGTGTTGACCAGTTTCTAAAATATACATCAAAAAATAAATGTAATATATGTAAAATATGTCCAAAACCTACCGTAAAAAGCTCGAATAAAGGGAGTTGGTGTTAGGTTTTTAAATGTTGATATTTGTACTGTGGGGTTTTTATACTGTATTTGAGGCAAAAACCAAAATACGAAGTCTCTGAAATAAAGCAAAAAAATGAAAAATGCCAGACTAAAATAAATAATTTGCATACCTGGTACCTTGATGACTCTCACCGTGAACATTATAATTAACTGTTACAATCTTTATTTGATCTTTTAAATGTAATTTTCCTGCTTCTAAATATTGTAATGTTCTTCTGATGGGAGAGCGACCTTTCATAAACGGCATGATGGTAAAATAACAGAACTATCTAATTTATATTTAGATAAATAATTTATATTCACAAATAATTCACAAAAGTAACTTTTGGCTCATTCTCTAAACATATTTTCCAAAAATAACCAATTTAAAACTTTGATTTAAAAGATAAAAAGTGAGGTTGTGGTTGTGAAACCTGTGAAACTAGGTGGAAACTTGACATGAAACTTGATCAGCAAAATTTAGTCTATGGCTAGAGAATAGAACCTATGCCACAGAATAGAACCATTCTAACATTTTTATTTTTATTCTGTAGATTAAGCGTACTATTTTCCCTCAAAAAATTTAAATTTGTTTTATTTTCATATTTTAAAAAACTATTATAGTATTTAATAAGCCAAAAAGAAAATCGTATGCAGATTTTTAGGCTTTTTCATATATTTTTTTAATATAGTAAAAATTATATTTTATTCATAATCTTTTACTTGTTTGAATTAATAATCATAAAAGCTTATACCTTATTCATAGTTGCTTAAAATTTAATATGCAATGATTAATAGCCTTTTTTTCGTCATCGAGGAACTTGACCCGTTTTCACTCTATGAAAAATTCAAATAGAGGGAAATAGATCTTTCTTCAGAATTTCTTGGTCAGTCTTGTTTTTATTAGTTATCGTGGCGATTCTCTCTAATCTTTTAGCTTTATTACAAAATAAGAATATAGAGAATATGTATGATCAGACAAATGCCTTTAATCCTAGACACTTTAGTATAGTGGATAATGGTTTCTCAACTAATAATAAACCTAAAAATGTTTATCTGGAAGGAGCTTTACCTTTTTATAAAACTCAAGGTATTACTAAGGTTTGTGTAAAGAATTAGAAAATGACATATTTTTAAATGCTCTATTTTGAATCTTCAAGGTGGCTCCAACACCTGATCCTTATCCATATCACCACGAATCGGAAAAACCGACTATAATAACGGCTTTTCATGACGGGAAAAGCAGAATTTTTGAATCCATAAAACCAATGTTTTTGGTTTTGCGAACAATGGGAATATTTCCTGTGAGACAAGTATCAGACACCTTCGATGTGCCTATGATTTGGATCATTTATTCTGTACTCATTTTATTACTTATTATAGGTGAGTCTTCGTAGTACAGCACTGTAGTACAGCATGAAAAAATAAAACGGCATCTACTTGGCTAGAATTAAATGACGATCGATGACATTCCCCATATAATTTTACATACTTATAAAAAATGACAACAATTTTTTTCGATAGTATTGTATTTATACACGCAAAAAAGTTATGGGGTTTGATTTTCTCTCACAAGATTTTCTTTCACAACTTTCTGTGTGGCCGTGGGCTGAGTCCTAAAAATCAAAAGGCGTTTTTATGGTAATATTATGCCGATTTCATTCTCTAATAGATGGATGTTATTAATTTTGATTATCGTCATATTTTTTGCTGTTGTTAATCATATTTTCCAATAACTATTATCACCGTTTTCGTAGTATTGAACTAAATAAATTTTGTGCTTCTTGAACATTTTAAAACAGCAAAAAATATTACGCTAATTAAACTTCTACCAATTATAATCTATTAAAGATGAAAAGGAAATTTTATTAATATAGAACCGCGTTTTGATTTTTAGGACTTTTTAGGAAAAAATTTAACTATACCTATTTTTATGTTTTTCTTAATGTACTCTAAAACGCTATGGAAATTTGGAAAAATATAAACGGGATAAACCATTCTAAAACAAAAAAATTTATGAAAAAAAAATAAAAAAATAAATTTTTATATTTATTTTTTTTATTTTATTTTTTTATTTTTTTTTATTTTATTTTTTTATTTTTATTTTTATTTTTTTTATTTTTATTGACATTTTTCTCAAAATGTCAATAACAAAAAAGTTTTTCCTCTTGTAAAGACCATCCGGAAACATATACTGTATAACAATAATCAAATTTTAACATTAAATCGGTTATTATTCAACAGCATACATTGGCTACTTGAAGTTCATCAAAGTTAAGATTATTCGGAGCGCCGAGGGTCGTTTCGAAGAAGCAGTGATTGACTACTTGTTTACCGTTTATTTGATCCCGATCGTGATCAGTCCTATAGCCTTGTACGAGGCCAAAAAACAAGCCAACGTTTTGACGCACATGATGGCTTTTGAAAAAATCTACAACAAGATTTCGAAGAAGCAACTAGAATTGAATTTGAAGAAAAAGAGTTTGTTGTTGACTCTGGCTTTGCCATCGTTTGGAGTTGGTATTATGGTCATTACGCATTTGACCATGGCTAATTTTAGTGCGTTTCAGGTAGGCGTATTGATTTCTGTTATTATATTTTATTATATTTTATGATTTCCTTGACATATTAAAGAAAATCTTTCAGGTGGTTCCGTATTGTTACATCAACATTCTGACCTACATCGTAGGCGGCGCTTGGTACATCTACTGTGACGTAATTGGAAAGGTAGCCACGGTCGTGGCTGAGGATTTCCAACAGGCTCTGAAGAACATCGGCTCTTCGACCAGAGTGGCCGATTACAGGTCCATGTGGATGATGTTAAGCAGAATCATTCGAAACGTGGGCAACTCCTTCGGTTACGTGCTGACGTTTCTCTGTCTGTACCTGTTCTTCGTCATCACTCTGACTATTTACGGTCTGTTCTCGCAGATACAAGAAGGGATGGGTTTCAAAGATATCGGTTTGACTATTACGGCAGTGTCTGCAGTCACTTTGTTATATTTTATATGCGACGAAGCTCATTACGCTTCGGCTTGTGTAAGTTGATCAAACGAAACAGGTTTAACATTTCAGGAAATTATATACGACAAAATTTTGTATTGATTCTTGTTGGTATAAATTTGATTTGTAAAAATTATTTACAAATTTGGTTTTAATCAAATAGTTAGATGCAAAAAAAGGCAGCGGAAAATTTTTTCATCAAATTGAAAATAATATTTTTTATAATTTATCCCCATTTTAATAATTGAAAATTTTCGTAAACTCAATTTGTTTATAATTTTTAGTACTTGGCTTATTATACAGCGTTAATTAAATGTTTTTTTAGCCGACCATACCAACAGGTATGGTAGGCTATTAAGATCGGCAAAAAAAAGTTTAAGTTTTTTAATTTCACTCAAAATGAGTTATTTGGGTCATAAATGAACTAAATACAAAATATTTTCACGGTGTCTGTCTGTCTGTTTGTCCGTCTGTAACACGATAACTCAAAAACCGCAAAACCGATTTTAACCAAATTTGGCACAAAAATACTGTGGCACCCGAGAATCTGGCCATTAGTTTTTGGTGGGGGTGGTGGTTGATAAGGGGGTATGGGAGGGGGTTAAAAATTTTAAAAAATTGTAACTCCCAAATTACAGTAGCTAGCGAAACGCGGTTTTCAATTTAAGATTAGGAATAATATTTGCAACAAAATTTGTAGTAACATCAAAATCAGTCAGTCGCAGTTTTTGAAATAAAAAAAAAATGGAAAAATTCCTTTACTTTGAAACTAAAAGAACTGCCTACCAACTTTTTATTAACATATTTTAGTATGGGTGGCTATACGATACATGTGCAATAATTGAGTTTACGAATTAAAGTTTCATGAAAATTGGGACAAAAATAAAAAAATTAACGAAAAATTCTTCCGTTGCGTTTTTTTTTGCATCGGAATGTATATCATTCTTTATCTCCATAGGTTCGGACGTATTTTCAGAAAAAGATTTTACTCGTAGAACTGTCATGGTTGAATGAGGATTCCCAACAAGAAGTATATTTTTATATGAAAATTAATTTTTCATATAGTATATTTTGTTATTTACAGATTAACATGTTTCTGAGAGCTACAGAAATGAATCCGACTGATATGTGTCTATGCGGATTCTTTGACGTCAATAGAAATTTGTTTAAATCAGTACGTTTCATGCTTTTCCTAGAGCCAATGCATATATTTATATACTTTTTTAGCTTTTAGCGACAATGGTCACATATCTCGTGGTTCTTCTACAATTCCAAATAAGCATACCAGAAGACACGGCTGATATGGTCGCCAACAATTCAACAATATTGCCAAACAAAACGGCAACTCAGTAGTAATTTACAGTTTATTTTTTTTTCTTTAGGCGGTTTGATGTTTCTATTAAAATTTAACATATGATTGGTATATGGGAGTTCATATTCCAGAAGTATTTAATATTTCTCAAGGCCGATACTTAGAGAAATGTTATTAATTACCTAAAACGAACTGTTCAAGTAGGAGTTAAAGCAAACTAAAAGTATTTTTGTAACAATTTTATTGGCTTAATAGGTAATTTACAAAAATAATATTTTTCTTGTAACTGTAACAAACTTCAGGACTCGTAGATACATACATTTACTTAAGTTCTTTTTTATTTTCGATTAATTTTTAACAAAGAAATAGTGATATACCTGATACGTTTGTACTTTAAATTAAAACATTTCACTATTTCCGAATTGACCACAAGTTTTTTAAGTTATTTTACAAAACACTCGTCCAGGAAATTTTCTAAGGAATGATACAAATGGGGACGTACCGAACTTAAGCTGTGATCTTCGTCTGGATAACTCTGAAACAAGCGAGTTTTAGTGTTAGTACTAAATTTAAAAAATAAATTATTTTTAAAAATAATAAAGAGTTTAATTAAAACAGAATAATTAATTCTTACAAGCTGCCTAAATAGTATGTCATTCCTTTCCAAAACCCTGGCCCACATCATCGACTGTTGGTAGTGAACGTTATCGTCGAAAGTACCGTGAATCAAAAAGTACTCCTTGTCCTTTAATCCGGCGTACTTTGTCAGTAACTGACTGTTTGTGTAACCCGCAAGATTATCCTCGGATGTTGGCAGACCCATAAAGCGTTCTGTATATATCGAGTCTGAAAAAGAATTGATTTATTTTATTATCATTCTAAGTATATCATTGAGGGTGAGTCAGAAAAAAAAATTGGTCCGCCCAAAGGCTTGGTCTGTCACAGATTTGGCCCACAAACGCAAATATTTCATCCACAGGCCAAATCTTTTGATTTATGGGGGCTATTTATTTACTATCAAAGTCACTGTTTCATAGGTTATCCATGACATATTTCTATTCCATCACTGACAGATGACTAACAGCATAGATAACAGTAACTACAATGCCAAAACAACAGCTTTTTATCTACATAATTTTATGGAGTATACAGACAGCTTTCCCACAAGAGAACGCACCAAATTGCCAAACTGGTGCTGGTGCCGCATCGAAAATTCGTACGGCAGGCACCGGTACTGTTTTATTCACTTCCGCAGATGTGTACAAAACCTGTTGGTCCCAAGACGAAATAGCCGTCCTCACTGCCAGAATGATCCTGGAGGACGTCATCCCTGAAACTCGCATGATTTCCATTCGTTGTAACGACGATGTAAGCGATCTAGTCGAATATTTTAAGTCTATCATCAACGCCATTCGTTCCTGCGCGAAAAGTCGTAAGAAACACATCATGTTACAAGCTCTAACGGACTTGTTGGGTGGATACCTTCATCACGCGGTCCTTCCAATAGCCAGGAAAGGTTATTACGCCGGAGTTATCGATTTCGATTACATAGAAAAACTTATCCAGCTGTACGAAGAACTTAAATGGTTTCTTCGTACCAACGGACAAGGCTGGACAACACCTCTAATAGTGAACAAAGAGATAAATGCTCCTCCGGTAGATTTAGAGAAAGAATTTCCGACAAAGGACAGCAACTCGTCATGTTTAAAGCTGCTCTTTTATGAGCACGAACCTCTGAAAGCCCGAAAAAGACGAAACGTAAACTTAGAAAAAGGTATTTATTTTCCATTACCTTTTTTCGATTCGAAACACAGACCATCGGCGATTGTGGTACCGCTAAAGAAGAACGCGTTGAGAAACATAGAGTCTCGAAGAGCGGCATATGTCCTAATGAAGTACTACATGACGGCTAGCAGGTGCCTTAAAGAGAAACAAGCTAGACCTGAATTAGTGCAGAAATTCCAAAATAACCTGTTCACTTTTATAGATCACGAAGTAATGCCGAAATTGGGTGACGACAAGTTTTACGCCGCTTTCGGTGGAGTGGAACGAATTCTAAAAACTCTAAAACATTCAGGTGCCAGAGCAGGTGAAGTTTCTTGTAACGAAGATGAAGGAGCAGGCGAAGAAGAATTAGGAGCACTTCCATCAGATACTGACGGAGGACGAACCAAGATGTTCTTGATCGCGATGCTTATCGTTATTTTCGCCTGGTTTATCATCGGGACTTGTTTCATTTGCTATCGCATGAGAAACTCGAAAAAAGCAACTGATATAAAAGATAAAAAACGCAGTAGTACGGACGGTTCCACGAGTTGCTCATCAAAGTGGTCGTCTTTCCTATCAAAATCCTCCAGTCGCAGTTCAAGTAAGAACCAGTACTGTAAATGTTGCGAATCGTTAATCAGCGAAAAATCCGGGCAAGATTACGTATCGACGAGCGATTATAGCGAGGAAAAGACGAAAAAGAAACCGAAAAGACGACTTTTTGGTTCGTGCGGCAAGAGAAGCACTCAAAGTTCTCCCTGTATTTGTACGGGCAGCGATTCCCCCCCAATTATTGAAGCGAAACAGTCAGCTAAAGTGTTGCCTTCCATAGCGGAAATGTCGGAAAAATCGCAACCGAAAGAGAAAAAATCGAATTTATTAAGGAAAATCACGTTTGCGAAAGAGTCGAGTTTCTCTAGCAGCGAGGGCAGTTCGAAACCTTGCGCTCCGCCATGGTTGAAGATAAAGAACACCGTACCGTGTCCGGCATATTCCGATAAAACAACGAATTACACTTCTTCGAAATCAAACTCGAACGAAACAAATAATCTCGATACTGTACCTTTAGATCAGTCTACAAAAAAAGATAGTGATGTAGAAACTACGCAAACTCAGGAGACTCACGAAGATAAGTCGATGCAAAGCAGTTCGAATGAGCACAATTTAAAGAAGTGGTATCAGTCAAAGAAAAATGAGCATGAAACTTCAACGGAGGCGATGGAAGACTTGTCAGCATCGGAGCATCACTCTAAAGAGGAAGAAAATAAAGAGGAACCCGCAGATGCAAACTACGATACTTTTCACATGTCTGCATGTCACACCAGTATGAGCGGTGCGTACGATTTGTACAGGAAAAGTCCGGATTATAATAAACCGTTTATTTTCGGGTACGATTTTCAAACGACTACTTCTTCGGATATGAGTGAAGATGAGGACGATTGAAATCATTTTGAAACATACGAGAGTACTAAAATGTGTAGATAAAGCAATGTAATATTAATAATATAATGTACGATAGTGATGTGGAATATAATATACAAATAGCAAACTAAAGCTTTTCATTTCTTTAAAATTAAAAAAAAACATTAAGTATAAAAATTTCACACTTTAAAAACCAAACCTAATAATTTTATTTTTACGTGGTATTTGGTAATAAAATGCCGTTTCTTTCTCTAATAATCAGACATTTAAGTATTTTCTCAGTTTCAAGTAAAATGAAATACAAAGACAATCAGAGTAAAATTTTCTTTGTCCAACATTTATTGTTAGGGGATTTTTTTAATGTAAAATATTTTTTTTTAATAATTAGACTAACCTACGGACTACTTACCATACAGAGCCCAATCAGTAACAGGAGCTACAGATATTCCACATTTAAAAACGTCTTCAGTATCAGTAGCTAACGCCATTCCTGCAACGTAACCTCCGTAACTCCAGCCCCAAATAGCTGTTCTCTCGGAATCGACGTAAGGCAATTTCGCCTGTATCATTCTAAAACAATTCAATAAAAACATCCTCTAGTTAAATAGAAATAAAAATGCCCAAAAAATACACAGACTTCGTTACGTTCACTTGATCAATAACTTCCACACTGCCCAAATTCCGATATCCGGAAAATAATAAATTGTTTCCTCTTAAACCCGATCCTCGACCATCGATGGCAGCGTAAATGATACTCTTGTTAGCTGCCAAGTAATCTCCCCAATCTAGAGTGTATTTATCGATAACCAGGTAGGTATCTGGACCTCCATAGCTAATAGAACACAAAATTCAACAAAAATTATTAAAAAAAAACTAATTCACCACCATACACCAAGACACTTCTGCATTTAAACTAGTAGAAGTAGTTTTAACCATCTGCTGATGATGCTAACATGGTTAGCGAAAAGCGCGACTAGTACAAAAGTAAAATGTTTTGGTGTATTGTGGTAATTAAATCGTTTGATGATATACACACAACCAAACTTATATGGAATCACCTGTTATTTTCTATAATTTTTGAGATGTATGAAAATTTTCTGTTTATGAATAAAACTCAGTCTTAACCAATGACTTTTAATGAAAAATAATCCATAGAGCAATAAAAAAAATCAGTTCCCAAAATAAACAAAATGGTATTTTTTGGTTTCTGAAACGAAATTAAGATTTAAATTTTTAATGGCCAAAAAGCTTAAACAGAAAGAAAATTGATAATTTTAATATTCTTTGTTGCCACCTCTAGCCCTTATGCAAGCTTCTATCCGCGCTGGCATGCTTCTTGTTAAATTATCCACGTTGTCTTGGGGTATGTTTTCCCATTATGCTAATGCTGCATCAATAAGCTGTGCGAGATTTCCTGGATTGTTTCGATGAGCTCTAACCCTTCTTTTGAGCTAGTCCCACAAGTGTTCGATAGGGTTTAGATCTGGTAAATAGGCAGGCCAGTCCAAAACTATGACACCTTCCGTTTCAAGACGTTCTCTAGTCACTCTGCTGGTATGAGGAGGTGCACTATCGCGCATGAAGTTAAAATTATCTCCAATTGCAGCTCTCCAAAGACTAACGATTGGTTCTAGCACCAAATCAACATATCTCCGACCCGTTAAAATTTGTTGAAGTGGTAACAATGGAGTTTTTGCTCCTAGTATAATACCTTCCCAGAACATTACAGTTCCTCCTTTATATCTTGGTACAGATTTGGCAGCCTGAAGTCTCGCTCGTCTTTCTGGAGCTCTAAGAAACCTAATTAGATGGTTATCTGATCTTAGGCCAATCCTGCTCTCATCCGAAAAAAGAACATTTTGCCAATTCTCAGTTGTCCAGTTTTGATGTTGAAGGCATCAATTTAACCGGTCAATTTTATTTTGTCGAGATAACTGTGGGATCCGTAACTCTCTCCTACTGTAAAACTCTCGTGCACGAAGACTTTTTCTTATGGTTTCAACTGAAATGTTCACACCTGTAGCTGCCAGAAGTTGTCTTTGTACTCTGGATGAGAAACATTGGGATTTATTCTAACAATTTGGCCCACAAGGCGGTCTTGTTGTTCAGTTGTGACTCTTTGGCGAATTTGTATGGGCCTATCCTTGTGTGTTCCTAATTCCAAGTACCTTGCATGTGTTTTCGATACAACACCCTGGGTAACGCCTACTATCTCTGCTACGTCTCTCTGGAGCATTCCTTGTTCGGTGAGAGCAATACTTCTTCCCCTCTGTACATCTGTTAATCCAACATAAGGCATTTTTTAATTTTTTTGGATTGAATGAAAATTACCGGACAATCGTGATTTTTACTCCTGAACACAAAATTCAAAAGAAAATAAATCGCAGCAGTCGTTTATTCTTTATTATCATGTTTATATACAACAAAAAGCCTTATCTTAAAGTTGCATACCAATTTTTATCCTTGCAAGAAATTTAGTCAGAAATAAAGAGTGATTGCATATAAGTTTGGTTGTGTATACATCTAATAGAAAGTTACACAAATGAACCAAGATTATAGTAAGAGACTGAGAATTTAGGAACTTGAAATAAAGTTGGCAAGTTAAAAGGACCTCATAACGCAATAATCAAATTATTTAAAAGAACTTACACGTAAACCAGCATAGGGTACTTCGTATTACCGCTAGTGTCCAAATTGTGCGGCAGTTTCAACAAAACTTTGGCAGTAAAACCATCCGCCACTTCGAACTCCAACTTCGTCCTATCCGAGAGCGTCTTGCCTTGGAGAATTTCCACCAGAGCTTCGTTTTTCGTCCAAACCAGCTCAACGCTGCCATCGGAAGACAGAATGGTGGTGTCCGGAATATCCGGTCCTGCACAAGTCGCCACCAAGTGCGTGGAGTCTGTGCTGATTTCTGCAGTGTTGTAGGTGCATGCCGCTCCCGTATTTTTGGAAGTGAGACTGCAGGATATGCACTTGACTTCGCCTGACGTTGGAGACACTGAATAGATGTGCTGCACGGAGGAATCCGAAGGTAGTGTAGCTGTATAATAACTAAGAATAACATTACTTCCTAAAGTGCTTTACGGACTTTTTAAAAACTAGTATAGACACGAATAAGCAAGCGTTAGCATGCCGTTATTGTGTGATTTTACTGTGTTCTTTAAGTTTCATATTTGTTAAAGATAAAAGGTACTATACAGGGTGGTCCAAATTGTATTCGTGAAACTTCGGCAGCATATTCTACCGATAAAAATAAGTTAAAAAGTTCGTGTAAATTTTTGTCTTTAAACGATTCGTTTCGGAGATAAGGGTGAAGAAATTTCATTGTTATTTCGCTTTTTTCAAATAATTTCTGAAACTGTTTGTTATCAGTAAAAAACAATTTTTTACCTTTTACTATTATCTGACAAACGGATCTAAAACAGCAAGGGGAATTCGGGCAAAAAAAGTCGACGTTGTCACGTTTAATCTAAAAGAAAAGCAAAGTTGCTCAATATTACCTATAAATTGAATATATTTTAGTCCATTTCAGCATACATAATTATATATATGCTAATATCTTGACGTTGTTCTTATTGTATTAATGTATATTTATCTAATTAACTGATCTCCTTCATTCTGCCTATTATAAAAGGTAAAGTATTTCCTAAAAATAACGTCCGCTTAGGGCAAGCTGGCAAGACTGACAAAATTCATCATGGCATCCCGGATTCAACCAATCTGATTGGTCGAGATTCTCGCACGTCTTGCCGCCATTACCCCCAACTTTATGCCCCTCTCTAGGAATAGTAGAAACAGCCACTACTACTGAAAAATCCAGTGGCGGTGTATTATATTGTGTTTTATGTCTTTAACTTGATTTCTGCTTATTGTAATTAGTACACGCGTTTTAACAAATATTACTATATTTGGCAAATGACTAAACAAAATGTAGATACATTTAAAGTAAAATAATATTATAAACTTTACTGGAAAATATTATAAAACTTCCTGATATATTTTTATGAAACACCACACGCTCCTGGATATTTTATGAATGAAATCGGTCATGATTTCACAAAATTGCGATCCCCTTACCGTTGCCCCGTTGTTTCAGATCCGTTTGTCAGACTGTAATTTAATTTTTCATTTATTACTTTTTCAACATTCCAAACTACACTTTTTCAAACATGTCCTTTAAATCCTTCAATTTAATATCTCTTAGTAAGAAGTAACACTTCAATAATAATAATAATAATAATGCGCACATAGTGCACATACAATTTTTTTTATCTGTAGAATATTATACTGCCGAAGTTTCCCGAATACAATTTCGGACCACCCTGTATATTTTGGTGATATTTCTCTTACATTAAGTTATTGTTGTGGTTCCATCCCAATACCTCGCTAACCACGTAAGTACCGTTTGTAAGGAACTGTTCATTTGAGTTTTCCGCCGTGTTCAACAAGGCCAGATGCCTATAAGCGTCGCTGCCTTCAGTCTTCGACAATAGCAAAGCTAGTTGATTACCGTCCTGCGATACATGGGGTGCCGAAAAGAGTTCTACCCAGCCTTTAGTTTCGCTTAGGGATTTAATCTGGAAAATTAACACGTGTTTTAAAGAAGTTTTAGAATCTGGATGGTAGGTACTTACGACTTTAGGAACTGAAGAATTGTGCTGGTACAAAACGATTTCGGCGGTATTTTGGACCCTGTTCATCCAGACAGCGGCAACCGAGTCGTTGGTAGTCCATGTCACAGCTGTAATTAAGGGTTGCCTAAAATATCGGTTTATAGACTAGATCGATCATATGCATAACGTATGATTAAAGGGTTGAAATAACATAAGGTAAAGAAAAAAAGTGTAGGAGGCACCACCATCTGTTTGTTTTTTCTGTTTTAAGAGGGATATCTTTTTGTCCGTGCCTGTATCTGTATTAAACTACTGAGTAAAAAATATAATTTTTCGCAGTTCTTTACTTAAAAAAGGTCTGTTGGCGAAAAATGCCACGAGTCATGGTTTCAAAACACCCTGTATTAAAACGACTATTACAGTTAATTTTAAGATAATCCTTTTTATAGTATTTTAAATAGGTATGTAGATAAAAAATAGTATAGTCGATAGATAAAAAAAATAGTGGTTGTATTGACCCTATATTTTTATGAGTGTAGGAATTTCCTTCTAGTTTTCAACATTCAACTACGAGTAATCTTTCAAAAACAAAGTTAGGTATTTTGCGGTTACATTTATCATATGCATCGATACATTACATACGTACATTCACGATAAATTTGCCTTTATTAGCTTATTTATTAGCATAGTGCGATCCTATTTTAAAAATAAATTATCTACTTCCATTTCAAATTACCGCCATCAAATTACGAAGCGTTATGATAGATTACCCACGAACTAATAATGATCTAGCAAAGCTTTTAGTAATATTAAAATTTAATAACCATATGTTTATCGTATATCTAGTTCTAATAAATAATAATAAACATATTTATAACTACCAAATCAGTAAATTTGAAATTGAAAATATTATACAATAAAAGTTTGTGTAACTTGGTGTAACTATACAGGGCGAGTCTTAAAATAAGTGCAAATATTTTCAGGCGTGGTAGATCTCGATAAAAGAATCATATTTTCTCTTAACTTAACCACTGTGGATCTTTTCCAGGTTTTCTTCCTTGTAAATTTAATCTACTACCTTTGTTGCCATATTATCAAGAAATTATATTATTAAATTAAAAAGTAAAAAAATTTCGAATAATTTTTTCAAAAAATTCCAAATTTTCTTATGCGAAAAAATCTTATAATTATGTTTATGTACACACCCTGTATACTTAAGTTTGTAGTGATAAAAATAGTTGATTTTTAATAAATACTTACGTATTTGCTAAATTACTTGACACTTCTAATTCTGTTTCTTCGTAATCAGTTAGATCGACCGCGAATAGCTGTACTGTTGGATTTGTCGTACCTGCCTTAAGAAATAATAAAGAAATAAAAATATATTACGTTTCTTTGCACGTGTACCTTAGGATATTTGATGATATTTGCCCTGGGATACTGGAAATATAAACTCCCGGGTTCTCCATAGACCGGTACCACCATTATGGGAGTTGCCGTGTCGTTGAATCGGATATAAGCCAGCTTTTTGCCATCGGCCGAGAACCAGAAAGCCTTGTTGGAACCAAATATTTCCTCTGCAAAAGGCATTTTAATTTAATGAATTATTTAAAAAGGAAAAAATATATTCTAAGTTTTAGGTGATGCAAAACAAATATTTACAATTTTACAACAAATCAAAATACTTTATTTCAAACTTTGAACAGATATTTATTTCACTAACTATGTTACCATCATCACGATGTAAACAATTAATATTTTTAACTAAAGTTTACTAGTGGCTGTGAAAAATTCTTTGTAAAATCCGTATAAAAATATTTGTACCATGTTACCTTCATAAACCCAATCTGGAATTCCATTGGTAATAAACCCAGTGGTGTTTGTGAGTTGAACGACTTGGTCTGAATCAACAGATGGCTTGTAATAAATGTTATATTCTGATATGTACACCAGTGCATTGTCTGAAAAAAAAAATAAACGCTTATAAGAGCCGGTCAATAAATTAATTATAGTTACCAGAGCAGGTTTGTTATTTTATTGAAAAATTATAGGTGATGAGTCAAGCGCAGTTTATTAAGTTTCATTAGATATTTTACGTATATGGTATTTTGTCTATTTGTAATAATGATTTTTTAAGTCTTACCAACTGGAGCAAATTGTACTAGAGAAAAATCCAGTCCGGTCCCTAAGGCACTAGGGGCTTGCAGGATTTCTTTATTGCCTGTTTCTAAATTTATTATTGTATAGCGAGCCTTAAAACTATGGCGATACAACTGTAAAAAATAATAAAAAAATATTTGATTTATTTTATTTTTTTAATTATCTAATAAACTTACTTTTTGAAAATCGTGAGCTACCAATAGATATCGATTATCGGCAGATATTTGAAATTCAAATGCTGTTGAGAGGATCTGAAAAAAATATAACAAAATACTGTGAAAAATTATGTGTGAAATAAATTAAAAACATTATGTTTGCTATTTTCTGTTGATAAATGTTTATGATTAAAACTGCAAAATCTTAAAGAAAAGAAATAAAAAAATACATTGAATACAGGGTCTCCCAGAAATAAGTGCAAGTATTTTAAGCGGTGGTAGATCTCGATAAAAGAAACATATTTTCTCTTTATCGTTTTTCAAATAAGTCCAAAATAACGGAGTTATTTTACGTTGAAAATTTAAAAAAAATATATATTTTTGCTAAAATTTTGAGAACCGATTTTCTTTCTTATAAATTTAATCTACTACCTATGTTGCCATATTATCAAGAAATTATGTTTTTAACTAAAAACTAAAAAAAAATCCAAAATTTCTTTAAAAAAATTCCGATTTTTAAAAATTTTTTTTTCGTGAAAAACCTCATAGGCGTTAGGGGTGTTTCTTGGGTTGAATTATACTACCAGTTAAAATACTTGCACTTATTTCTGAGACACCCTGTATATTAAAATAAAATTATGTATTTACTATTTACTTTTGCGTTTTTTCACAATACATTCAACAAATACAATTATTTTATTTGGACACCGTGTATCTTGAAATGTGTAAGAAATGTTTTGTGTAAACACCAATCGTCGAATACAAGTAATTCGTATGAAGTGAATGTGAATGTAAGATATTTCGAGTATTTGAAGGTTCTACGGAACCCGAATTCCTATTTACTGAAATAGAATCAAGAATACCAAAGAGTATCATAAAAATGCCGACAGAAATTTCTGTAAATGGTACTTACACTATCGTTGGCGTGCAATAAAGTTTTGCTGGAACCAGAAGCTAAATCGTACAGTACCAAATCTCCATCCTCATTCGAATACGTGAACTTGCTTCCTGCAAATTAGAAACAATATTTAAATATTATGCCAAATAAAGCCATAAAAATGCTTATTTCAAATTAACTGCAATTTTCATATAGCGAGTGGTGCATCGTCGTTGGAAATACAGGGTGGCCCATCGAAAACGTCCCGCAAGGCATAACGGCCAGGGTATTCTTTTTTTCAAAAAATCCAAAAACACGTCAATTTTGTTTGTGAGGGGGACAACTTTTGCCCCAAAAACGATTGCATAATCTTCAACCCTCTGAGCGTGGATGTCATCCTCCAACTTTTTTCAAATGGGAAGGGGTGTCAAGTGGCGCCGCAATGAAAAGAGCTTTCTATTCTCTATATTTCTCCGCATAGTTTTTGAAAATCGGTCGAGACATTGAGAAAATATGAAGGATTGAAATTTGAAAAGTTTATTTAAACATTTATAATAGTATAACAGAGTAAATAATAAGGATAAATTCCTTCGACCAATTTGAGTTTTTTTCTTATTATTTCTAGATCTTTACGCATTTTTTCACTTGCCACAAGGTTGAACGATCAGGTGCGGTAGTTGCTAGATAGCTGTTCTGTGAGTTGTGCGTTGAAGTTCTTCTGAATATCGTTAAACTGACCTACAATAGAATTTCCATAAATACCAGCCCTCGTGAAAAATCCTGGGGTTGTCCTCAGCCCAGTACCGACAGTTGTGCCGATTAACTACATCGTTCAAAAAGAAAGTACACTCATCCGAAAAACACACATTAAATAGGAAATTATTATCATTCGCCACTCGTTCACTCATAGTTTCACAAAATTGCAAGCGACGATCAAGATTGTCTTCGTTGAGTTCTTGTACCAACTGAATTTTGTACGGATGGAACTTTACGAATCACGCCTGTCTCACTGGCTAATTTTCTTGTACTCAGCGTACTATCCATGGCAACTTGGCCCAATACGAATACCTCCATAGCTTCATTTACTACAGGATTTTCCCTCTGCCTCTTTTTATAACAGAACCAGTTTCGCGCAATTTTGCTACTAACTCGCGAACAATTTTGCCATAAAGGTGTTTGTCAGGATGGCGTTCATTGAATATCTGCGCAACCCGATTGCCACATTCATTATTTTTAAAATAAAGTTGGATTATTTTCACTTTTTCTGCAAGTGAGTACACCATAATAATTGTTAAAAAGTTTAACGATATTGAGAAAAACTTCAACGCATAAGTCACAGAACAGCTATCTATCAACTACCGTACCTGATCGTTCAACCTTGTGGCAAGTGAAAAAATGCGTAAACTTCTAGAAATAATAAGAAAAAACAGCAAATTGATTGAAGGAATTTACCCTTATTATTTACTCTGATAAATGTTTAAATAAACTTTTCAAATTTCAATCGTTCATATTTTCTCAATGACTCGACCGATTTTCAAAAACAAAGCCGAAAAGTATAGAGAATAGAAAGCCTTTTTCATTGCGGTACCACTTGACCCCCCTTTTCATTTGAAAAAAATTGGGGGATGACATCTCTGCTTAGAGGGTTGAAGATTTTGCCATCATCTTTGGGGCAAAAGTTGTCCCCCTCACAAACAAAATTTACGTGTTTTTGAATTTTCTGAAAAAAAAATTACCCTGGCCGCTATGCCTTGCGGAACGTTTTCGATGGGCCACCCTGTATAGGAAATTGTATGCAAATTTTGAACTGTCTAAATATTGACTCCACAGTTAATTTTACCAGTCACAGTTTGCTGAATACACATGCCAAATTTGAACAATAGTAGTCAGAAATAAAAAAAGCTGCCTCTAAATGACTTAAAACTGTGCAGTAAAAAGTGATTTATTAATGTTCAGACTGTTCAGTGCTTAAGTAATAAACTGGCAAAATATTCAAGTATATCTACCAGCAAACACATTTTCTATAAACACGCACCCCCTTAATGCTGAAAGTAAGTCAAAAACACCATAAAAACAAAGAAAAAATGTATACACATGATTCGAAAACGTTAAATATTTATCGCATCGTAAACCCAACAATATAAAGATGGAATTTTGTCGACATAGGTTGGAGGGCGAAGGGGAAAACGAATTTATACAGTGTGTCCCCGGATGGTCTTTACAAGAGGAAGCATTTTTAATTTTTATCATTTTCAGAAAAATGCATTTTTCATAAAAAGTTTTTGCTTGTTCTAAAATGGCTATTCTTTTACAAATTTTCTTACCATTTTAGAGACACAGGTGTCTGTAATAATATCGTATACCAGTATAGTACTAATGTATAGCTTTCATTCTTTCAGAGATGATTATTCTTAATCTTAAGGACTAACGTCATATTTTTTGCTGATTGAAAATGTCAAAGAAGCATAAAATTTATTAACTTTGATGCTACGGAAACTGTGAAGTTGAATGTTTTTATGAAGGATCATTTTTCTGAAAGAGATAATAATAAAAATGTTTTCCTCTTGTAAAGACGATCCGGGGACATACTGTAGACTGTTGATTAGAAGAACGAAAGAAGAATTGCCGTTTTACGGGAAGTTTTCTTCGAATAAATTAACGCTGGCACGCATTTTTCCCGAGGGCGAAAAAAGAGCTTAATTGAGGCCGCCGCATATAAAAATGTATAAAAACACTTTTGACATTCCGATTCGTATAATATATGGGTCATGATAGCGTTATGCTAATGGAGAGAGGACGATATGGAAATGAAAGGAAACCCTCTTTTCTGTCTATGTGTGGATAACACGGATTTTCTTTTCCATATTCATTCTACTGATAGGAAGTGCTGATTTTCCAATGTAGTCGCTTTCTATTTTTAGCAGGACTTAATGGGACTTCGGACATAAACGAATTTTGATGAGACGAATAAATAATGTAATAATGGCTTAAGATTAACATGTTACACTCAAAAAAAAAGGCATGCGTTAAATCAACCGTCTACGAAATAACTAACCTAACCTAACCAACCCAGCCAATTGTTGAATTTAAGTAAGAATCTTTGTAATAATTTTAATAATGGGACTAGTTTGCTTTGATAAATTAGCAGTAGGGAGGTATATAATTTATTAGTCAGAATTTGCCACTTTTTTTTGGTAGTAAATTGACTCAGTAGCACGAAAAACGAACACCTTAAAATTTTTGTTTTAGTGGATCGATTTTGATAATGTTTTAAGCAATTTGTTGCAAAAAATATTTTACTTTTTAGTACCTTTCTCTAAATTAAAAATAAAAGTTTTTGTCTGTCAATTATACGAGGGAAAACATAATGTTGATACTTTGGTGACAGTTTGAAACACCCTGTGGAATATGTTAATAAGGCAAGGAATCTAACAATCACTTTATCATCTAGGTGCATCTTTTCTCGAAAGTTTGTTTTTTGATACATGTCAAAAGCTTTATTTATTAGATATTTGTTTACTTTTGAAGAAGACATTAAATTTTGTTGTAATTTTTACATGAAACCCATTCTTTTGCTTTTGGTCCTAGTTATATCAAACTTTAAAATACTAATTTTGACTGTAGTCGTTTTAATGGGTGCACTTTTTTTATTGTCCAGAACGGCAAAAACGAACAAAGGAAACGTAAACGGAAATGGTTTGATAATAAACACGGACGGCCGTAATTTAGCGAAGAAAAGAAACAGACAAAAATACCGAAATGTATTAGGCAAGCAACCTTGCACATATCTGCGGGGATCACACGCGATTTCGGACTTCGTTAAATTTACATACTAACATGGTTGGGTAAAAGGAAAATATAACTATTTTCACATCTTGTAACTTCTTCATTTTTGTAGTAGGTAAGTTAAAAAGTAATGAAGAGATTTCTTGGCGTCATGAGGTGGGAAATTTGTCCAATGAAAGAATGTACGACAGTAAAGAGCAACAATAATAATTATATTCTGAAGTAGGGAGTTTTTCCATAGAGAAGACCCAATAATCTATACTAATCTATACTAATATATAAAATCCTTAAGTGACTGACATACTGATTAATCACTATCCTGCTCAAACCACTCAACGTAAGAAGCTCAATTTTGCCATACAGGTTGATTCAAGGGTGTAGAGGTTCGATAAGAAGAGATTTTTTGAAATTCCAGTTCCAATATATATATTATATATTACACCAGTAGTTCCCAAACTTATTTTTCTCGTGGACCACTTTCAAAATTTTACTGGTTTCGGTGGACCCCCTGCTGCTACATTTCTACCACATTCTTAAAGTCGCCAAAAAATAAAAATTGTGTCACTTCTGAGTTCTGTCCCTATATTCCGATATGTAAAATAAAAACCAAAAATGGTACATTTTATATCACTTTATTTATTAAAAGAATAGAATTACAAGAAAAAATATTAAGGTAATATAGGTTCAGGTCATAATTTTAATTAATGGGAAGGATGTATCTGATGGAGTGTCAGCAAACGATCAATGTTTGGCTTTATTTTTGTGAGCAATAACCGCAAATCCCCCCGCTCTGTGATGTTTAATTTGCCTTTTTTTTGTTAAGAGGTTTGTAACGCACTAAAACTCCTTTCGACAAGGTATGACGAGGGAAAAGCTATTAAAAATTTCCTTGCGATTTCCCACAGTCCAGGATATTTTTCGGGTATTTCTGCTTGCAGCCAAAATGTTGGGTAGCCTTTTCTAAATTTCACCTTCAGCTCCTCATTAGTGCTTAGCTCGAGCAGCTCCTCTTGTAATACAACATTGGCCACTTCCGTTTCATCAAATGGATTTATGATCCATGGTGGTATATCCATCGTCAGTATATCTTCAAACCTGGTTTTGAAGTCATCATGCAGAGCACTTAAATGTTGACTGTAGGTATGGATATCCTCATCAATACATTCTACCTGCGACAAGTTTGGAAATTGAGAGAATTCGCGCCGACTAATGTTTTGCTTCATAAATTTCAATTTCCCAAGAAAAGCCGAAATTATCCCCTTTGTTTTTATTAAATTCAGGCTGTCCCCTTGTAACTGCAAGTTAATATCATTAAATTTTTTAAACAAATCTGTCAAATACGCAATGTCTGCTTTGAATTTGATCAAGTTTTCTTTTAAATCTGGATCTCTACTTTCTAAGAACTCTAATATGGAATCGAAAACAGAGTAAAATCTCGTTAAGCATGCACCTTTCGACAACCAGCGTACTTCAGTATGTAAGAGCAGTCGTTGGAAGTCTTCATCATTTTCGTCGCACAATTGAGCAAATAAACGCGTATTCAATGCATTGCTTCTGATTTTGTTGACAGCTTTTATTACAAAATGAAGAGATTGGTTCAACCTGTCACTTAAATGTTTTGCCACAAGATGTTGTCGGTGGATTACGCAATGAATAGCTGTAAGTCCTGGTATAATTCTTTTGAGATGACTTATAAACCCACGATATCGCCCGACCATTGCAGGAGCTCCGTCTGTTGCCACTGAAATAATGTTTGTAAATGGGATCGATTTTTCCGTAAAAAAATTACTCAGGACATTAAATATTGATTCGCCTTTAGTGTCAGTCTCCAAAGTTCTGGCAAATAGCAATTCTTCGTGAATTTCTTCCTCAACAATAAATCGGACATATGCCAATAGTAATGCTTCATTACTGGGTAACGTTGACTCGTCCAGTTGTATAGAAAAATGAGTTTTTTGCAGATGATTGCACAAAAAGCTTTCGATATCAGAGCTCATTTCATCAATGCGTCTTTGTACAGTATTGTTACTTAATGGAATTCTTTTTAGTACGTCAAATGGAGATTTGTGCAAAACAGTTTTTAAAACCTCTTCAACAGCGGGTAAAATTAATTGTTCTCCGATAGTGTGCGGTTTTCCAGATTTTGCTATAAGTAATGAGATATTGTAAGATGCCCGCAAGCCATCATCGTTACTTTGAGATGTTGAAGCGAACATACTGTGCATGGTGGGTCTCTTTCCATATTTTTCTTTCAATGTTTGAAAATATTTTAAATCTTTACCTATTTTATCAGTATGACACCTTTTTAGATGATCTTCGAGCTTTGATGGTTTCATAGAGTCATTGCTCAAAACTTTGTTGCATAATAGGCACATGGGCAATTGTTTGTCTGCCTCTGATGGAACAAAACCATATTTCAAATAATCGATACTATATTGTCGACATTTTTTCTTTGCTGTAGCCATGTTTCGTGTCAGTTACCTTACCTGTAAAAAAAAAAAAAATGTTTTAGTAACCAAGTTTTTTTCTGAATATAGGTATCACACCGCAGCCTTTGTCAGCACGCGGAAATAGAATTACGGCTTGTAAAGGGACCAACTAATAAACCGCTGAGACAAATACAGACGTTTTCACAAAACGGTAGCAATTTTAAAGTACATAATTTACCACTAATTTTTAATAGTATAAATAAAAATTGGTGTACTCAGTATCGAATACTGATCATATTTGTGTAGGAAAAATAAAAGTCGAAATCCCAAAATTGTCCATAAAAACGATAACTAACATTTTATTAAATCAATGAGTTCACGCGCTCCGTGTATTTGCGTATTTTTTGTCTGCGGCTTCATTGTTAAAACGTGACAAACTGGCATCGAAGTCCAAGCCCCGCCCTTTTCCCGTCGCCCGCGCACCGCTCGCTCTTTCCGAAAAGGAATAGTTTTGATAAAATAGTTACTTCAAAACCAATTTAAAATGATTATGAAATTACTGTTTTATAAAATTAGTAGTTATTTGCAAGAAAAATTACAAAATTAATTGCTCTGCAATATTGCTTATTCGGCCTTTTTAGAGAGGCAGTGTTTCTCTCGTGAAAAACAATTGAATAAAACGTGCTGTGTTTGTCTTCAAATCGAAAGAGGACAATTAAAATATCTGTAAGTTACTAAGTTACCTATCTATACAGGCCGTTGTGATCAACCGACTAGTACACGTAAACAAAATACTTAAGTACTATAACAAAAAAAGGTAGGTTACTTACTTTTCTCCGGCACTAGCAAACACAGATATAAATTTTCTCAACAACTTTTTCCAAATTCCGCCTTTTTTTCGAAATTCCGGAAACAAATGAATGCGTTTGCCTTTGGCATCAAGTATTTATAGTGGTGATCAAGTTCATGTCTGAACAAGCATTAAGCATTGTCGGGCGGATAGCGCTTTGCAAGTCTGTACACGAAATTGTACGTAATATCGAATACGCAAGTTTGGACAAGTAACAGTCGCTTGCCTTATTAAAATATTATCTGCTTAGATAGGTACTTAAAACAATGTAGGTAGGCCCTTATAAAAACTATGCTTACATTTTTGCTCTTTACTATCAAAAGCAGATAAATTTTCGTGGACCCCCATTAACATCTTATGGACCCCCATTTTTTGTTCACGCCTACGTAGACCCCCAGCAAGTCTCCCGTGGACCCCTGGGGGTCCACCTGGACCACTTTGGGAATCACTGTATTACACAATATTATATATTACACCCTCAAATATTACAATATTTTTTATTTTGTTTTTTACACATTTTAAGATTTTTTAAAAATGTATACAGGGTGTATCGAAAAATCTGGTCATTGATTAATCACGATATCCTGCTTAAAGCGCTTGACGTAAAAAGCTGATTTTTGGAAAACAGATTGACTTTAGGGCGTAGAGGTTCCATAAGAAGGGATTTTTCGAAACTCGAATTCTAAGAGGGTGAAACTATATCTCAAATATTAAAATATTTTTTATTTAAAAACCGGTGAGTTTTTCGGAAAAACTCTTAAACACGTATATTTTACTTTGTTGTTTTACATATTTTAAGATTTTTTATATATTTATCCAGGGTGTTTCATAAAATATGACTATTGAGTAATCACGATTCTGCTTAAACTGCTTGACGTTTAAAGCTGATTTTTGGCAAACGGATTGACTGTGGGGTGTAGAGGTTCGATAAGGAGGGGTTTCTTGAATCTCAAATTCCAAGAGGGTGAAAACGCCCCTCAAATATTACAATATTTGTTATTTAAAAAACGGTTAGTCTTTCGGGAAAATGCTTGGACAAGCATAATTTATTTGTTTTTTTTTACATATTTTGAAATTTTTTAAAAAATCATACAGGGTGTTCCAAAAAGATGGGTAATTTCTTAACCACGACTCTGCTTAAACTGCTTGACGTAAAAAGCTAATTTTTGGCAAACGGATTTTTCTAAAGTCAAATTCCAACGAGATGAAACTACCCCTCAAATATTACCATGTTATATAGTGATATCGCCATATTGTTTTTTCTCATGCTGACATAAATGTGAGAAAATTTTATCCAGTTTGTATGTTAATGAAAATTCTTGCTTAGCTTTATCATCACCATTACAAAAAATGATTAATTCGACGCGAACGAAGTCGCTGGTACACGCTAGTTAGTTTATAAAACAATAAAATTGATTTCAAAACACATCTTCTCTTGGCGGATGATAATCAAGGGCCAAAATGACATTACTCGCTAGTTTTTTTAAGTATAACAAACGGCAAAACATAAAAGTTTGTTAACTTTTTCTAATAATTGCAAACAAAGTTCTAAATGAAGCTTTATGGGTGATACTTTTTTTATGACTTGGCAATTACACGATATGATATTCTACTAATTAAAAAACTTTATTCTTAAGTCTACTGTTCATATTTACTTAGTAATCAAAATGGTAAATTATTCTTTTAAAATTATGGTGCCCTGCAACTGCCAACTCATTAATATTGATACTAACTCTTTATAACAAAATTGTGGAAGTAGAAACTAAATAAAATAAACTGCCTTGGTTTGACATGAGACCTCACAACTTTTTATAGTGGAAGAGTTTTCTTGCGAGAGGCCTTGGTGTAATAAATTGCGTAACACAATGTAAATTTACTAGAAACCCAACCCTAGTCAGCGAAAGAATCACGCAAGGATCCGCCGTGACGCCGATTAATTTAACGTACGCCAACATAAGGGTTCAGCAAGAACGTCCCCCACGTTTCCGACCGGGCAACCCTCCACTTTGTTGTTAACTTTCCGTCTATTTTTAAAGCCCAAACAGTGAACTAAGATTTATTTATATTATAATATATGCGAGCAAAGAGAAAATTTGCATATAAGTTAAACCATAAAAGTAATTTGCTAATGGTTTTTATATCAAAACTGTTTTTTTTATATATATTTTTTTCGAGATCTTAAAGATACATATAGCTGAGAGATAAATATATATTATGGTTTCCTGGTCTAGTGCAAATTAACATGTATGTAGATAATTAACACCGTGTAATTGTTTAACGTTCAGCTTTTTTGATCGATTTTTACTGAAGACAATTTCTATGAGAGACACTCCTGAACAACATTAGGAGTTTATTAATTCTTAAAATTTATTTACAGAAACTTGAAACGAACATATTATTAGGCCATTATATTAGGCCATATAAGTAAGATTTTGAAGGATTTTTTTTGAATGCAAAAATAAAACAGAATAAGTGAAAATATGTCCATATAAAACTTTCATTAATAGACTGATAAATCTATGACAAATCAGAGCAACTAGTACAGGTCATTGCCATTGAAAACCGTTTTAAAAAGGAACTCAAGAACTTGGATGACTCCATCCTTACCCTGGAATGGGAGTCCTTCAACGGTCTAAGTCTAAGACATCATTATGATGATAACACAAATTAACTTTTTCACTAAAAAATCTCTCAAAGTACCGTTGAAAAAGAATTAATAAAATTACCTGAGACCCACGTTCCGTTAAAGCTTTTCGGGTTGTACTTGTAACTGAGCAAATCCTCCAAATTGAGTGATTCTGCTGCCACTGCCTCCGCGTCGTTCGACCTGCCGTCCACCAGCACTACGATGGCCACGATGAGCGCTATCACCACCACTCCACCAACACCGCTTATTATCCAATTCCGTTTCTTTTTTCGGTCTTTCGATGTGATCAGGTCCTGCAGAACGACAATAAATTTATTTTTAGATACAATTAAGTCCAATTAATTCTACAGGGTGTAAAAAAAATATTGTACCAAACTTCAGTGGGTGGTATAATACAGTGCGGGGGGCACTGAAAACTTACAATGGCTATAATTTTTAAACCAAAAAAGATATCAAAAAAATAAAAAATACCGTTTCTATAATATCGAGGGGGAATACATATGACCTATTTTTTGAACCACCCCGACCTACCCTTTAGGAGGCACCCCCACTCACATGAAGATCTTAAATGGCAACACCCCACTTGTGGCGCCTTTTTGGAAAGCCCATGAAAAATGCTAAACGATGATCATAAAGTTTTTAGTGTGAAATTGAAAAACTACCCTTACACGAACAATTAGGTGGACATTAATGATAAAGGTGATTTTTTCAGCCTTAGTTACAAATTGGGAGCCAGCTAAATGACGCAAATGAAGCATTTTTCAAACCACCCCAACCCACCCCTAGGTGGCACCCCCTCACTTCTAATCTCAAGATAGCGATACCCCACTTGTGACACTTCTTTGGAAAGCTAATTGAAATTGCTAAATGATGGTCATACAGACTTCAACTTAATTACTGGTTAGTGACAAGAAATGTAGGTGTGACAATTTGAAAGAAATTTAAAATGGTAATTTATTTTAATAATTGCTCAAAATGACAGCCGTTTTGTTCCATACAAAAATACAAACGATTTTCAAATTCTTCTCTCACTTTTTGGAATGTCTCTCTCCTCTCTCCGCAATTCTTGCAACGAACCTGATTTTGTCTTGTAGACTATGGATTTAGTGTAACCCCACAAGGAAAAGTCTGAGGAGGTGACCTTGGCGGCCACTCGATTAGACCCCTTCTGCCAATCCATTGCCTTGGATAATATTTATCCAACCACCGCCTTGTGACACTAGACTAATGCGAAGGGGCTCCATCTTGCTGAAAGTGTATGAGGTCTTCATTAAGAGCTATAATAAATTTCTTTGTACCAGCTTTTTTTTCTCGCAATGGTTCATGGATACAAAAATAATTCATTCTATTGTTTTTGACACGTTTTGACACTTTTGTTTTATTTTTAGGCTCTATTTTTTTCGTTCTTTTTTATGACAGTCGTTCAGCATTTTTATACGCTTTCCAAAGAGGTGTCACAAGTGGGGTATCGCTATCTTGAGGTTAGAAGTGAGGGGGTGGCACCTAGGGGTGGGTCGGGGTAGTTTGAAAAAAACCTCAATTAGCTGGGTCCCAATTTGTAACTTATGCTGAAAAAATCACTTTTCTCATTAATGTCCACCTAATTTTTCGTGTAAGGGGTAGTTTTTCAATTTCACCCCAAAAACTTTATGATCATCGTTTAGAATTTTTCATGGGCTTTCCAAAAAGGCGCAACAAGTGGGGTGTTGCCATTTAAGATTTTCAAGTGAGTAGTGGTGCCGCTTTAGGGGTAGGTCGGGGTGGTTCAAAAAATACGTCATATGTATTCACCCTCGATATTATAGAAACGGTATTTTTTATTTTTTTGATATCTTTTTTGGTTTAAAAATTATAGCTATTGTAAGTTTTCAGTGGCCCACCCTGTATATCAAAGAGTTTTTATATGCCAAAAGATACTTCTTGAGGAATTTACAGTCTACTGATAAAAGTATGCAATATTTTGTTTACTTTTAAGAACGTTGATAAACTATTTTGACGAATGTTGATTATTTTGCCAGTGACTGAAGCAAGGCCCTTATAATCTACAGAAGTTTTTATCTTTTTCTACAATTACGTATGTTATTGTTACTGTTGCAAGGGTACTTAATTTATATTTAGGATTTTCAAAATATTTTTTCATATGCCAAATACTTTAGTAAATCAAGCTCAATATGTGAAAAATATACAAAACTTCCAGTTCATTCGATTTGTAGGTTGTTTGACTTTCAGTCATCTAAGTTTCGCTGATATTGTTACCATGAACATGCACTAACTTTTGACAGTACTCCTATTTGATAGGACTTCTAATAAAACAAAATTCCCATATATTGCCATACTTAAATACTTGTCATACTTGCACTACTTAAATAAAAAAAATTTGAATAAAACAGGCTAACTGTGAAATAACAAACATGATTTATTTTTTTAAATATTAATTAGCTACAACAATAAAGACACACGTGATGGCAAAATAGCACGAAAATATTGTAAAGAAAGTCATCGCTATTATCACGCATAGTAAAGTAATGGATATAATTAATGAGAAAAAAATATTCTAAATTCATTTTAAGTAGTTTTTATACAATGTCCATTAAAGTAAGTATATATTTTAAAAATGCACCCTATTTAATGCAAATAAACTAGCAACGCATATGTAAAAGTAAAGATTTACGACAAATACTTAAAGCAAGAACAAAAAAATTAAAATATACTTAAAATTTGAATTATATATGTTTCTATTGCAAATCTTTATTACACCATACAATTCAATGTTTTCAATAAATAAAAATTATGGAAATATGCAAATTTTAAATTATTATTTTATTTTATATGTTATCGATATTTATTCGAGATATAATAAAATTGATTTTGCAAACTTAACGTTGGGTTGCGAACAAGTTAAATCAATATTTCTTCTTGATGCAGAAGGTGGTTCAAGGTAGAATACGTTATTGAGATTGAGTAACCAACCAACCAACCACACAAATTTATTAGAATAGGAATGAAACAAGATTTAACGTTAGGTATTATACAGGATGGTTCATTTTTTGGTAGCAGGTAGCAGGTAGCAGATCTTTGACAATCTACTGCTATGATGTTATGATGATACGGTTAACTCTACAGTTACTCTCTATGATGAGTAACTCATTATCTCATTTACGTAGAAAACTAAATAATAAACTGTATATTTCTGAAGATATGAAGAGAGAGATTGGAATTATGTTGTTTTGCTTCGACTTTCTTAAAACTTAATTAATTTTTTGACACAAAACTAGGATTTGTCCACCAAAACACAAATTTGTCACGAAATTAAGTTAGACAAGATAATAAAATATCAGGACACATTTTTTGGGGATGAATTGTCCATTTAGGATTTAAATGTAAAACTTAAATTTCTATGTCTGCACTCTGCACCTACAATACAGGTCCTTGATAGGATGGGAACATAGTCCCTCCGGTTCTAAGCTTGCTTTCGCAAATAAAAAGTGTCGATCCAGAGCCTCGCTTTGACATAGTATGTGCTCCTCTGTTTCAGGATCTTTATCGAGAAGTCTGCAGCAAAGACTTCCTTGATACAAGTTGAGCTTGTTTAGGTAACACTGGACAGCCATATATCCTGCCAATAGACCTGTTATTATAATTCGCTTTTTATTCCTGCTAAGCGTTAGCAGTTCCTGTGTAGTTTTAGAAATAGGTCTTTGCTATGCCTGTGCCCCTGTCTGTTTCTCCAGTGGATATCCTGCTTTTCCCTGATTCAGAGTTTTTACTGTACTACGGGTTATACTTTTCTTCCACTTCAACACTCTGTGTTTTAAAAACAAAGCTTGTTTAACTCTTTATATGTCGGTCTGTTAAGTCCTGCTTCTAGAAAGTGAACCACCTTGTATAGACGATATGACTGATTATCATCTACCTGTTTTGTTTATAAATCGTCTCATTTTTTTTAAATGTCATATGATCCAGTATTTGTGTTGCCAAATCACACTCTTCTTGTATACGTTTCAGCGACAAACGAAAAGTGAAAGTACTTGTTTATTTTATTTATGGGGTCTTGGGGTCTACTAGGCCAAACAATTCTTTCACGTATCATGTGAGACAAGCCACGCATACCACGCAAAAGAATGGTTAGAAACCCATAAAATTATAAACAAAAATAAAACATTTACAAACGACTGCCTAGTTTGTAGTATTGCTAATAAAAAAAACTAGTAAAAATATTTTAGTCCTGAGAAAATATCTAATAGTTACGTGGTATTAATCTAGTATACAGTTAGTCTAAAATAACGCATTTTTAAATTTTAATTTTATTAATTTAAATTTTATTTTGATAGTTGAATATTACTATATAATTACATGGAAGAAGGATTTAATGACATTATGGTGTACAAATAGACAAACTGATAATGTACTTTGCTTCTATTTTTAAGATATTTTTGTTTAATCTACATACCTCCATTATTTATATTTAGCACCGTTATTGTGTATTTTAACTGGCTTAATTCACTCTAATAAGCCTATTAATCTTGTATGGAAAACTATGTTATACTTGTATAAATACAATGGGTAAACTGATGTGTTACAAATACCGAGTGTGAATGGATATGGTATTTGAGTTAGGTTTAGAAAAATATTTAAAATATCTTAACTTTTGTTATGGGATATTATTGGAAGTTGTATATTTTATCAAGTTTTATTTTTTGTCTGATTTTTGGTAATCTATTTATTTTCATATTTATTCTAGTTAAATTACTTATAAATTATGAAAATATACAGGCTGAGTCTTAGATAAGTGCAAATATTTTTAAGGGTAGTATATTTTTTATGATTAAATTATATAGTTTTCAGATTCTTCCCTATACTTGTAGTATAAGACAGTAAGACGGAATTCCTGTATAAAAAAATTCTACCAGTTACTTGCGATGTTTTACAAAACCAAGATAATATGTTAAATAGAATACGCGGAATGTATTGTAAACAAGTGAGAAACGGTATTCCCCATTCCAATCTTAAATAAGGTGGTAGTTGTAAATTCACTTGTAAATTATTTTCAAAATATTTGGCATCGTCTTCAAACTATTATTATTATTATACGGTGAAAAAGGTGAATTATGAATTGCTGCAGTAGGTACTGTGAACCTACTAATATAATTTATGGGATGTAATTCGCATTCCTGCAAGTGATCATTCAAAACCGCAAGAATATACGCCATTGCGCTAAGACTCGCAATAAATTTCTTATATCGTTCCATAATCGGGATTTAAAGCTGCTATTTATTATTTCTATTTAATTGTAGAATAATAAAATCTATAAAGGAATAAAACGATTTGTTATAAAATAAATCCCCACAGTTTGATTATTGAAATATCTTTATTGCCCAATTTGATGCATGAGAAGAATTTTATTGAAAGTCATGTAGCAAATGCCAATAATATTTATGATCCTAATTAAGATATGTCTCTCAATCTAAATATTACTGAAAAAATAGAAGGGCTTTAAATGAGTGACATTTAGATCCATTTTTTTAAAATTAATTTTTATTTTGTACGCCAACAATTATTTTAATTTCAAAAATTTCAAAATTTTTTCTATTTTTTGATATTTTTTAAAGAGGTTTAAGTATTTAAAGATATTCTTAAATGTTCTTAAATGGTTAAATTGACGTTTTTGTTGAATTAATACCTACGTTTTCATGTAGCCTTTATAATTAAATAAGTCAACAGACCAGTTTGAAATATATAACAACAACTAAACAGAAGGTTATAACACTTTTATATTAATATAAAATGAAATAACTTATTTTGCTTGATTTTAAAGAACTTAATACATATTTATAACTTATAACGTTCAATAAGTTTATTATTTCGTTTATTATATTTCTTTTGTTTTTTCTCTATTTGTTTTCTTGTTTCTTTCTTATAATAAATATTTTTTTATAAAATTTTGTTAAATAAGTTAAAATTACTTATTCATATTATAAATTTTATTCATTTTGGTTAAACCAGTTTTAGGTACTTTAAACTATTTATATCTTTAAATTAGCGTTTTAGTTAAATCTTCTACCTATAGAAAATATACCGCCAGTTAGTTCTATAATTTTTTATTTGGTTATTTCTGGAAGAAAAATGAATAATAGCAATATAAAGAATATTTTTATACTAATTTATTGGCCCGAATTATCTAGTTTTTAGGCAAAAATTATTTTGTTCTGTAATTCGTAACATGGTTTTAATTGTATTTTTGTAGATTTTTTTAAGTTAATATTTTATGATTGAATTAAAATTGAGACAATATCGAATAATAAAAAAACTAGAAAAAAGTTTATGGAAATACCTGATTACTTTGTCCGATTTCCATATTCAAGGTACCATTAGTATTAGAAACACCATTATTCTCGGGCATGGCTTAATAAAATAACGAAAAAAGTAAATTTAAAAGGAACTAAATAGAAAGCGAAAGAAAGTAAGAAATAAAAGGGCGTTAAACGATGATTTCAAAACAACACATCCTCGCGTGGACCGGCGGCGACGGTATTTTTCTCAGGTATTTTCTCTTGACCGAACGTCGACCGTTGTTTTCCTGCGGAACCGCGACACTGAAACTAAAACCGGTACGAGACGATGCGAGTGACAGCAGGCAGCAGCAGGAGGAGGAGAGACAATAAGGTGGCAAATCGGCGCGCAAAACGCTTTAAAATTTAGAACGTGCACCAAAATACGTTTTTCTAGTTCTTAAAACGGGTATTTTGATGGAAAACCACTTATATCGTACTCTATCTCACGTAAAGGCGTAACTTGAGTAAACACCACTTGAGATCTTCCTAAAGGGACAACTTTTATCACAAGAAGTGCTGTAACTGTGACAGTGATGTATGTATTTCGATTCGATGTAGAATCAGTGAAAGGGGGTTTAAGGTTGATTCTCACTATACCTTCCGTTTCCATTCCAGATCCATTCCATATCCGTTCCGTATTTTTTATTGTATTGACGCTATACGTAAGCTTCCGTTCCGTATCAGTTTCATACTTTTTATTCTACAATTTATATTATTACAAAAGTTTTATTTTAAAAACTTGTATCTTTTGTAAAACGTAATAGATTTAATTGAGAGGTGAAAGAATAAATAAATATCAGCAAAATGTTAACAGGTTAACAGAGCTGGTACAAATGTAAGAACTTGACAACGCTCTTTCCAATATGCTTCAGTCCGTCCACCAAAAAAATGTATGGAAGGAAAGGATATGGAACGGACGGGAAACAGAACGGATAGTGTGCATTCATTGCCTATTAGTGCCTATTCATTTATATGATATATTTTATGTAAACGGAAGGGAAACGGAAGGGAGCTGATATGGAAGGTATAGTTAGAATCAACCTTTAATCACCGCGACCTTAAAGATCACCGTGCCCTTCTTTCTTGAGTTATACCTCATCATACATCTTCCTGTTAGAAAAAAAAAAGAAAAGGGAATGGTATTTAAACAACAATCTCAACAAATTACTATTCAATCTGGTTATTTTGATGGAACACTATATGAGAAAAGTAATTTGGACTTCTAAACAACTATCTCGTCAGAAAATTTTTGGCAAAATTATTTTATTTCTCTTCCCTGTAAATATTTTGTTTCAAACAGTTGTTTCAATTATTATATTATGTAGTTGTTAGTATTTCTGTATTTCAGAAATCATATACTTCGCCATATCTCATGAAAAGTCAAACATTATTAAATGTTAAGTTCTCACGCACACATTGTTTATTGTGAATTAAAAAAAAACATGTAACAAATAAAACATTACATTAAAAAATAATTGTTTACTGCATAACAATGTAGAACGACAATAATTTTAATTTTATAATTTTAATTTTTTAAGTATTTCTGGATCAATATATAATTAAGAAAAAATTAGATACATCATATAATTTTTTCAAAAATACTAAAAATAATCTTTGTTCTATCAGGATTTTGTCTCTAACCCAGGATTAAAATATAATTTACTTAATTTTTAATGAATTTATAGACGCGTTTTCATCCTTTTATGATCCAATTCATTATTTTCGTACCTTATCTTTCTTTTTATTCCGATTCGTCTTTTAATACCTGAAAATCTTTTAAGAACTGCTGTTAAATGACATTTTAAAATAATTCGTTATCAAGATGAATATGTTCTCCAGAAAAATTTTAATTGTAAAGTTTGTTTCATGGCTATTATTTATTTATATACCTATATTTGATTATTTGTATTTGTAATAATTTTAATAATTATTGATTAGCATATTTTTGTTATTTCATCTCTTTAAAAGTTTGTTGATCGCATGAAGAAAAAAAATGTTGAAATTAAAAATAATAAGTATACAGGATGTCCCAGAAATAAGTGCAAGTATTTTAACTGGTAGTTCAATCCCAGAAACACGTCTATGAGGATTTTTTCGCGGAAAAATTTTTTTAGTTTTTAGTTAAAAAACATTATTTTTTGATAGTATGGCAACATAGGTATTAGATTAAATTTATTTAAAGAAAATCCAGAAAAGATCCAGTGGTTCTCAAAATTTTAGCAAAAAATCATTTTTTTTTAAATTTCCAATGTAAAATAACTTCGTTATGTTGGACACCCTGTATAATAGAAAAGATTGAACATAACACTTCTAAACTATTTTTTATAATATTATAGGATTCTATTCTAAGTCATCTTGTTTATGACATATCTCAATTCTTTCAACATTCTTTGGCTAATATTTACCTATAGAAGGAATTGAATATAATATATTATGTATTGACTTTTTTTATAGCAACGATGAAGCTGTCTCTTCTTCGCTTATACTTATACTGAGCTGAAGGTCAGAAATGAACGATACAATCTAAAGAATACTAAACTGATTTTTTTAATCATATTCCTTTGATCTCAAAAAAACTAAAAAACAAAATAGTTAAACAAATTTTTGTTACTTTGCATTATCTGTTGTTACTTTACATTAGCGTTTTAGCTAAACCTGCTAATCAAACGATAAGTTAATTCTACTATTATTACTCAGTTGTCTCCCAGATTTGATACAAATATTACTATGAAATAGCAATAGTTTTTTGCAATTATTTTATCTGAGCTATTTTTATTTTTTTTAAACTAATATGTATTTCTTTATGGTTGTATTAAAACCCTAATATTTTCTAAATGTAAGTACTTTATCTAAATTTATCTTATAAAAAATCTTCACATTACTGGTTAAATAACTTACTTGAACTGTGAAGTAATAAGACATTTCGTTGCTTTCCGTCCGTGTAAAAATCTCGTCAAATCGATCACTGATGTTCACTCTAGAATACTTGTACTGGTAACTTCTTTGTTTTACCATTAGACGCCAATATTGCCCAAATCACAACGTACCTTTTACTTTCCTTTAATATAAATCTAATTTTACACGATTTAGGTAATTTTTTTTCCAATGTGCACCAGCGCGCGGTCAAGAGATTGCAACTATGGTTCGTTTGTGTTGGCTCGTAGTTTATACTTTCTCTATCAGTTCGATAGTTTCATGGGAATATCGCAGAAACAGAATAGTTTTCCCATCAGAGGTGAAATGCGCAAAATATTTAGATACAAATGTTAAAATCGATTGATTCTTGTTAATAAACGTAACAACGAAAGAATTTTCATGGTTGTTTAGAGCGTTTTCATCGAAAAAAACTGTTTAAAGAAAAATACAGTGTGTTGCTTAATGAAATGGTAATATTTAATAAGGCGATGCTTGGAGCGAAATATTCTAAGAAAAGAATTTTATCCTCTACTCTTAGGGGTCACCAATTCTTAACCAAAGAGAAGTCCCTCTCCTCTCCTCTCCTCTCCTCTCCTCTCCTCTCCTCTCCTCTCCTCTCCTCTCCTCTCCTCTCCTCTCCTCCTCTCCTCTCCTCTCCTCTCCTCTCCTCTCCTCTCCTCTCCTCTCCTCCTCTCCTCTCCTCTCCTCTCCTCTCCTCCTCCTCTCCTCTCCTCTCTCTCCTCTCCTCTCCTCTCTCTCTCCTCTCCTCTCCTCTCTCCTCTCCTCTCCTCTCCTCTCCTCCTCTCCTCTCCTCTCCTCTCCCTCCTCCTCTCCTCTCCTCCTCTCTCCTCTCCTCTCCTCTCCTCCACGCGGCTCAGACAGTAAAGCCAAAGCCTCCATGTCTCTCCTAAAAAAGACTTACGGTATGACGGACGTTAAGTCCCGAAGGAGATCCCGTCGTTTTTATGTCCTGGTGCACCAACACTACAGTGCCTCATCCACGTCGGTGCACTTGGTGCACCGACACTTGGTTCCACGACACTACAGCCAGGGACAAGACATTGAGATGCTCCTTAGACCTAGCCAGAGCGCAAGAGGGGTCCCCTCTGGTGTGACGTCTCCAAGGTCAGTTTTCAAATTTTAATTTAAGCGCTCAGGCAGAATTTCTCATTTAAAAAAAGCAACGAAAGGGCTTTTCTCTGATTCAAAGAAGCCCTGATAGTTTTAAATAACTGTTTGTAGTTGAGGGTTGGAACCTTTGGTGTTACACAGCAAAATAAAAACACTAAATCACCACAATACACTAAAACACTTTTACTTTTACACTGGACGCGCGTTTCGCTAACCATGTTAGCATCATCAGCAGATGATTATAAACTAAAGTACAATCTTCAAGTTGAGCGTTTATATACTCGCTCAGTTGGCACCGAGTGGGCGTGGCAAAATCGAGCCAACCGAGTCGGAGCCCACTGAGCGTAACAGTTAGATTTCCGCCACTAGAGACTAGGACAAGTCTATGCGCCCAATTGTTTCGGCTGTAGGTTCTCCGACTTATAATTTGGCAAAATGGTTATCAAGGGAGTTCGAAAATTTACCTGATCATGAACCTTCTTTCTCAGTTAAAAATAATATTGAATTCATTAACAAAATTAAAGATATAACATTGCATGAAGGTGAAATTTTGGTCTCCTTTGATGTATCTTCGTTGTTCCCAAGTGTTCCAATTCCACATACTTTAGGCTACTTGAAGGAATTACTGAACGCAAATGGTCTCGACAACAAAACTGTGACTGAATATATTGAGCTTACATCGTTATGTATGAAACAAAATTGTTTTCAATTTAATAACAACTTTTTTGAACAGCGGGAAGGTACAGCAATGGGTAATCCATTGTCTCCATTTTTGGCTAATTTATTCATGAGCAGGTTTGAAGTGGAGGCTAAGAATCAGTTTGAGTATTTTCCAAGAGTTTGGTTTAGGTATGTGGATGATATTTTTGCTGTTTTTGACACACATTCAGACACCATAGATAATTTTATTTCTAAGTTAAATAATCGTTTTCCTTCCATTAAATTTACGCATGAAATTGAGAACAACGACAGATGTATTAGTTATTAGAAATACTAATAATTGCCTGGAATTTGATATCTATAGGAAAAATACGACCACACGCAGATATATTCCTAATGAATCACATCATAGTGTTGAACATAAAATGGCTAGTTTAAATTTCTTAGTTCATAGATTACTTAGTTTTCCACTTTCCAACGAAAGATATGAAACAGAAAGAGATTACATTAGGAATGTAGCTGAGTGTAATGGATATTCTCCTTCACTAGTTGATAAATTAATTAAAAAACGTAGGTATAGGTTAAAGATTTCTGAAAATTCGACTTTTGAAGTGGAGAAAGATACGTCTAAGTATTTTTCGATACCGTTTGATAGAGAGTTATCCCGTGGTCTAAAAGGAATTTTTAAGAATGTCAAATATAAACTTGTGTATAGTGCTAATAATAAATTACAACAATTATTAGGTAATCCAAAAGATAAAACAAACTGGAAAGGTCGGGTATTTATGAAATTTTTTGTAAAGATTGTAATCAGAAATATGTTGGGCAAACTAGAAGATCAATATTAACTAGATTTAAAGAACATCTAGCTCAGATAAGATATAGTAGACCGGATAAATCTTGCTTTGCCGAACATAATGTTTATAAAGAACACTGTATAGATCTTAATAATTTAAAATTAATTAAACAAGTCTCAAATTACAGGCAATTAAGATGCATATGAAAGCATCAGAATTAATAAATGTAAAGATAGTATGAACAGAGTCAACGGTCCAATTCCTTCAAGTTCTTTGTTCCTACTACTCTAGTGGCGGAAATCTAACTGTTACGCTCAGTGGGCTCCGACTTGGTTGGCTAGATTTTGCCACGCCCACTCGGTGCCAACTGAGAGAGTATATAAACGCTCAACTTGTAGATTGTACTTTAGTTTATAATCATCTGCTGATGATGATAACATGGTTAGCGAAACGCGCGTCCAGTGTAAAAGTAAAAGTGTTTTGGTGTATTGTGGTGATTTAGTGTTTTTATTTAACTGTTTGTACCATTATCATAATCATACATATTATCGAATAATCGATTTATCGATGTTTTTATTTATTCAAATATTTTTATTTATTGATTTATCCATTTACCGATTTATTGATTTATCAATTTATAGATTTCTCGATTTATGGATTTATCGATTTATCAGTTTACCGCAACCAAACCTAGGTCAGTTTTCAAATTATAATTTAAGCGCTCGGGCTGAATTTCTCATTTAAAAAAGCAACGAAAGGGCTTTTCTCTGTTTTAAGGAAGATCTGATAGTTTTAAGATTTATCAATTTATCGATTTATTGATTTATAGATTTATCGATGTATTGATTAATCGATTTATTGATTTTTTAATTTATTGATTTATCGATTTATTGATTTATGGATTTAAATTAAATTTGTTTTTCCTTAATGTTTCTTCAAGCCAACTAAAATTGATTGACTGGAAATAAATTTTTTTCTCGGTATTTTATCAAGACGATGAAAAATATGACGTCTCCTAGGTCAGTTTGCAAATTTTAATTTAAGCGCTCAGGCAGAATTTCTCATTTAAAAAAAGCAACAAAAGGGATTTTCTCTGTTTTAAGGAAGATCTGATAGTTAGTTTTAAGTAACTGTCTGACAAATTTAATTTAAGTTAGAGGAAAAACAAATTTAATTTGAATCGATAAATTGATAAATCAAGCCAACTAAAATAAGAACTGAAACGATAAATCAATAAATCATAAATAAATAAATGTATTTCATTTATAGACTTACTCTGACTTACATCCATCCCAAAACTGAAGATAGCAAAGTTAAAAGTTTGATACGAACAGTTACGTTATATTTTTCATCGTCTTGATAAAATTACCGAAAAGAAAATTAATTTCCAATTCTTATTTCAGTTGGCTTGAAGAAACATAGGAAAAAACAAATTTAATTTAAATTCATAAATCGATAAATCAATATATCTATACCAAATATATATATATGTAAACACATTTTTAAGACATTTTAAGAATCGTTATTCGGATTTGATTGAAATTTTGGGTGACTATATGTTTTGCTAAGTAGTTTATAGAGGTAAATTGTGTCTAATGAACTTGATTCCAAAAATACGAAGTAGTTCTAAGTCCACGGAATATTGGGACACCCTCTATATGTTTCATTTATCAGATAAATAGGTAGTTAAACTAAATAGGTAAATCATTTATACAGCTTGATAACTGGAAAGTTATAAGTTTTTATGCTTAGAGTGTTATGCTTCTTCAATTATTGGTATGGTTTAACAAAAGCAAAATAAAAACACTAAATCACCACAATACACCAAAACACTTTTACTTTTACACTGGACGCGCGTTTCGCTAACCATGTTAGCATCATCATCAGATGATTATAAACTATGGTTTAAATAAAACTCCCAAGTAAATAAGTAATCAAATTTATATATTTACAATAAAAAATCATACACTCAGCCTTTTAACAAATAAAATACCTTAATACAAACATTCATTACTTCTTTCCTTCAACCATAATAATATGGTAACCGAACTTAGTTTTAACAGGAGGGTCCGTGTAAATAGGATTATTGACGGAGGAAATAGGCAAAGCAAATGCAGCTTCTTGAAAGGGGCCCACCATCGAGCCTCTGGTCATCCAACCCAAGTCACCCCCTGACCTAGCCTTGTCCTCGCTATAAGCTGCAGCTACCTCAGGAAATTTCTGTCCCGCCTTAAGTTTTTCTAGGGCTTCGAGGCATTTACCTTGTTTTTCGCAGAGAATATGTCGGACTTTTACAGCCGTACCGCCTTTCTTTTCCTTTCCTATAATAAACAAATCGATAAAACTCTTCAAATGGTCTTGTAAGCTTAAAATAATCACTTGCCCTTTTCTTCAGACTCTGAACTTTTTCCTGGTTTTGAACCTGCCTTTGCATTTCCCTTTTTTGGGGCCATAATACAATATTTTTTATTTTTGAATATTCCTATATCTTCTAAAAAAGTAAGGTTAAAATTTTATTTGTGATTTTATTATTGTAAAGCTACAGATTAAAACACTCTGTTAAAACCGTTAAAATTCTCTGGGAATTCGAAAAAGCCAAAAACAGGTAAAAATACAATTTTGGTATTAAACATATTTGAATCGCCCTGTGTATCTATTTAAAAATTAAAATTATTGAAAAAAGTAACAAAAAACATTCCCAAAGTTTATAACTTGTGTATGTGTTTTGTGGTTTATTGTGGTTTATAACTCCAAGCATTTACAGGGTGAATCGCAAGCGTCGCCTCTCCGACTAGACGAATCTTAACAACCCCATCTGTAAACGATGGTACCTGAGAATGCGGAATTTCGTGGTAGAATTGACCGGCGCCTCGTCATCATTTAGACTACCTTGACAGATATCCTGTGCAGACATCGTACGACTGCAAACAATTCCTAACAACAACTCAAGAGGGCTAGATTATAGAAGTGTCTAGTCCTAGCAGTCAACTATTAAGCTTGACCAATCAGGTTGGTTAGCGTGGTTATTTGGAGTGTGTTAAGGTGCGTATTCATTATCCGAACGAACGAACGAACGAACGAACGAACGAACGAATGAAAGTGCGGTATATTTGGACGGGGACTGAACGCATGCGGCCGTTCGTTCGTTCGTTCGCTCGACCATCCGTTTCGAGTCGGTACATCAAAGGCGTTCGCCAACAAATGCCTCCGGTCTTCTCGTGCGGTCCTATCGTGCGGTCCCCGTCCATACCACTAGCGAACATTCGTTCGTTCGTTCGTTCGTGCGGATAATGAATACGCACCTTTAATTCATTCGAGTTTGTCAAAAACTCTAACGTGATTGGTCGGGCTTAACAGTTGCCTGCTAGGGCTAGACACAAGTTAAATTATGGACTGGCCAGTTCCCCCTGCGAGTTCCCCTGGTTCCCATAACGTCGAATTCCTCAAGCGCCAGAAAGTTAGGAAGAGTTTACATCGCACGCCGCGTCTGCGAATCCCAAATGATTTTCTTTTGTTTTTTATATAAGTACTTATTTTATGTCGGGATTGAGCGGTGAGATATTAAGGCAATGATAAAATCAAAAGTGTTTTACTGGTTGCCTGGTAGTTGTAAATTTAAAAATTATATTTTTTTCTTTAAAAATACCTACCAATTAATTATATATAGTATATATATAGGTATATCATAGCATTAAAAAAAAAATGATTTCGTAGCAATACCGTATAACATTCTCTGTATGAAAATTAATTTTAAAATAAATTTTAATAGCGTTTTACCCTGGTTTTACCGATTATTGGAAAATAACGGTCAATTTGCGGTCAATGCATTATTTTGACAGTCCTATTTTAAACGGAGTGTTTAAAGAAAAGTGAAAAATAATGTGAAATTGTTATATTTTGGTACTGAATTTGGCTTTAAATGTTTTAGATATATCCAGAACGATAATATACACAGTACAAGGTATTAAAAGTGATTTGAATCATCGTGATATTGACCGTTAAACGACCCGTAGTATGTCCAAATGTTCAGAAGATGTTCTGAGTTGTTTTCAGAGAGAATTAATCAATATTTTTATCAAACAGGTCTGCAGTGAAACAGTTTTTATTATGGTAAGGTAATAATAATGGAAATATCTCTTTCTATCAGTGTTTAATTTGCAGTAAAGAGCCTTAAGATATATTTGTTGTGTAGGGTCGCGTCAAACTTGCAGAGACTTATTTAAGAAATAGAAAGTACTTACCTTGTCCTGTATTTTTATTTTGGAGACTGTGTATCTAGTGTTTAAAAAATATGAAGCTCCTACAATCTACAATTGTATAGTCCTCCGACAAAGGAGTCAATATTTCATAATTTTCAATATTATTTGTATGTTTTGTATTATCTTTTGTTTGTTTGTTTGTGTACCTTGTTTTTTTTTTACTTTGTTTGTTAGTTTACCTTTGTCTACAAATTGAAAAAATTTTTGACAATAAAGGCATTTATTTATTTATTTAAAGGATACACCGCAAGACAAGATTCCTAGAACCTCATCCAGTATTTTGTGAATACTTATATACTCTTTTTTTATTATCCTGTGTAATGTGACCTGTGTAAATACTATTGTATGGCAACATCAATAAATGATTTTGAATACTTTGATCTTATGACAATAAAGCATTTTTTATTATTATTATTAATAAAACCAACAATAAATTCTCCTAAAACTTTTATTAAAAATACAATAAAGGGTTAAATATTGTTATTAGATTAAAATGTACATTTTAAATAACATTATTATAACAGTCATAACATTAAAAAGTAATCAAACTTACATATGTATATTCACTTGTATGTACCAAATAATCTACTCTTTTTTAACAGATTTAGAATTCCGACCGCCATGCTTATAGTTTCCTTTTCTTTTCTGGCCGCCCTTGTTCTGTTTCATATGCTGTCGCCTCTTAACAATCTCTTCCGACGTTTTCTTCAAATGTTTTTCCTCCTCTTCGCCCTCCAACACCCGCAATTTCAGCTTGACCTCGTCACCGATTTCAAGTTCGCCATTTTCACCCAGCCCCTTAACAAAGTCAGCGGCGTTGTTCTCTTTGGCAAACCGAATAAAACCTTCCTGGTCTCCTTTTTGGAAGTCAATATATACCACTTCTATATCTTCATTGACTTCTTTTACCTTAGCTTTTATTTCTTCTCTGGATAGTTGCATATTCTCGGTGAGACTAGCAAAATGGGCTGTGGCACCTAATGGGAATTCTAATTTTGTTGCCTGTTCTTTTACAATTGCTTCCTTTCGGTCACTTTGCTCTTTCTTTTTCTCCTGGATGATTTTTTTCTTTTCTTCATAGTAAACGTTCTGCATTTTCCTTATTAATTCGGTCTCTTTGTATTTAAGGCTTTCGAGTTCAACAAACTTTTTGCAAGCTTCTAATTCCTTGAAAACTATGAAGCAGGAGCCCTTGAACTGATGCTCTTTTTGTGTTCGACGAATGACTGATTCGAGTGGGCCATATGGTTCCAAAAAGGCTATGATGTTGTCCAGAGTTTCATCTAGTGGAAATCCCTTCGCGTAAGCTACAAAAAAAGATAGTTATTACAAAGTCCTCAGGTTACCAAAGACTTGCTTTTACCTGATCTTTCTCTAAGGGTTTTGATAAATTCTTCGTTATTTTCTGGCAGTGGCTTCTCTGGATTTCGTCTAACTTTGCTTTTATCCTCATTTAGCACGACTATTTTATTTTCGGACTTCTCCACGGCTTCAGCTATCACTTTAGCGTCATTGGAAATGCTTGCGAGGCGATTGAATTTCAGCATTACCTCTATAGGTACCCAGCCATCATCTTCTTTGATCTGTTCCTGTAAAAACTTATCCCTTGGAAGGTTTATATCACCAAAGTAGTATTCTATTTGCTTGATTATTTTCTGTTCTAGATCGTTTGCCATCGTTAAAAACAATTGTTTAAATAGAAATTGTTATACACGTGGTTGGAGTGCAATATAAACAGTCGGCAAATGAAAAATGCAAATAAGTGTGCATAACCTAAAAAATTAATTGCAGTCAGTGTTGCCAATGCCATTGAGATGGAAATCGATATCGGTCATATATTTTATATATGATGTCTTTGACTTAGTATCGATACGTCTTGATATTTTTATTTCGCCCAGTCCTAGTTTTATCTGTCAGCTGTTAACGTCATGTTACCGTCTTCGTCAGCTGTCAGTTTCAAAATGTCAAAAGGTCTCAACGTGGTTTTTCGCCGGATGGTGGAATTTTTCGAATTACACTTTTATTTTGATTATAATAATATTTTAAAAGAATGGGCGACGTCGATAGTCAGAAACTATCAAAAAAGTAAGTTTTCTTCTTTTTAACACGACATTTTAAAATACAAAAGCCATTCCAAGTTCTGTAAATATGATGCAAGGACTGAATATTTTTAGAAAGCGACTGCTTTCGAACGTTTTAGCCCGTCCTAATTTGTTTAAACGGTAGGTGAAGCACGTCTCACTTAAATTTAATATACCCGCTTTTATTTTCAGTGAGCTGAAGCGAAGACTGAAGGCTGAACAGAAGGCCAAGGAAAAAACCGAAAAAGCAGCCGCTGCTCCACCCGTCAAGACCGAAACGGTTAAAAAAGACCTGGAAGACATCAGTCCGAACGAATATTATAAGTTAAGAACAGCCGCTGTAGCAAATTTAAAGTCTATGGGAGGTGACCAGCATCCGTACCCTCACAAGTTCCACGTTTCAACGTCTTTGACCGAATTTATCGAGAAATACTCCACGCTAAAAGAGGCCGACATTTTAGAAAATGATAAACTTAGTGTTGCCGGTCGTGTTCACGCGATTCGAGCCTCAGGTGCTAAACTAATCTTCTACGATTTGCGCGGTGAAGGCACCAAACTCCAGGTGATGGCCACGGCTAAATATTTCGAAAGTGAAGCAGCATTTTTAGAAGACACTGATAAAATTAGAAGGGGCGACATAATCGGTGTTGAAGGAATGCCAACAAGGACTAAAAAGGGTGAACTTTCTATTATTCCTACCCGAATTAAGTTACTCTCTCCCTGTCTGCATATGTTACCCCATTTACATTACGGTCTTAAGGATAAGGAGACCCGCTTCAGACAGCGGTATCTTGATTTAATCTTGAACAATAACGTAAGGAAGATTTTCGAAATCCGAGCCAAAATTATAGCATACATAAGAAAGTTTTTCGATGGGTTAGGATTTTTAGAGGTGGAAACGCCTATGATGAATATGATAGCGGGCGGTGCAACAGCTAAACCATTTATTACACATCATAACGAGCTTCATTTAGATTTATTTATGAGAATCGCGCCAGAATTGTACCACAAAATGCTGGTGGTTGGTGGTATGGATCGGGTTTATGAGATAGGAAAACAGTTTAGGAATGAAGGTATTGATTTAACTCACAATCCTGAGTTTACGACATGTGAATTTTATATGGCGTATGCGGATTACAATGATGTGATTACTATTACCGAGACTCTGTTGTCGGGTATGGTGTACAGTATTCATGGCACTTACAAGGTACGATTAAGCATATAATAAGATTTTTTTATGTGACAATGTCTGTTTCTAGATCAAATACCATCCAGATGGTCCGGAGGGTGACGAATACGAAATAGACTTTACTCCTCCCTTTAAAAGGATTCCCATGATTCCTACGCTGGAGAGGGAGTTAGATACAAAGTTTCCCCCTGCCGAAGACTTGAATAGCGATAAGGCGGCGGCGTTTTTGAGCGATTTATGTATCAAGCACAATGTGGAGTGTCCGGCGCCCAGGACATCGGCCAGGCTGTTGGATAAGTTAGTGGGAGAGTTTATAGAAGAGCGATGTATTAATCCGACGTTTATTACGGAGCATCCTCAAGTAATGAGTCCACTAGCAAAATGGCACAGGTAAAATACGTTTTTTTTTAATAATCAACTTAAAAATTTAGGTATTTCAAAGATTTTTCTGTAAAATTTTCAGGTAAAAATATTTAAAAATATTTTCACTGTGAATCAAAATTGTATGTTTACTTTAAAAGTGCATTTTTTTATATAGAATGATGTATATTTTTTTGTTCAGTTGATTTCTCCTAAAATTGCTATTGCAATTTTTTTTATAAAATTGCAATCTATATTTTTAACTAATTTAATCATTTTCTCCGCTATTTGAAGAAGAATAAGTACCTTTTATTTGTCTTTCACCTTTTTTTTACTTAATAAATACAAATACGATTGATTTGATTGACCCAGCTGAAATAATTATAAGAAAATTAATGAATAAACATTGACTTTGGATAATAAAATAATTTATGTAGACAATAGGCTGGGATAAAAAACTGCGGTCGTTTGTGTCCCAAAATACAGGGTGTTTGATATGAAATAGTGGTAAAAAACATATAGATTTGATTCACCCTCTGAATACCACGCAATAAAGTGTATTTTAGTGTAATTTAGATTTGAAAAAGACATTATTAAAAAGAATAGAAAGAAGAAATAAGTTTAACAGAAGTTTAAGATTTAATTGGTATAGAATATAGCTCAGTATTCTATTTAAAAATGTAGTGTTTATGTTAGTGGCAAAAATATATATCCTGTAGGTATAAACTGATATGAAGTTTTCTTGAACACTCTTTCAGTTTAAAATATTCATTTTTGTAGTTTGATTTCACTGATATAGTCTTTTTGTTACACAAACATTTTTTATAAATGAATTAAGTACTTTATAGATTTTTTTTATTCTTAGTATTCAACATTTTTTCTTTTTCATATATATTCTAGATCTATCCCAGGCCTGACTGAACGTTTCGAACTATTTGTCATGAAAAAGGAGATTTGTAACGCCTACACGGAACTGAACGATCCGATGGTGCAGAGGCAGAGGTTCGAGCAGCAAGCGGCAGACAAAGCTGCGGGAGACGACGAAGCTCAACTGGTGGATGAAAACTACTGCACGGCACTGGAGTACGGACTACCGCCCACCGGTGGGTGGGGCTTGGGCGTCGACCGACTCACTATGTTCTTAACGGACAACAATAATATCAAAGTGAGTAAAACTCGCAAAAAAAAGAATATAAAAATAATCTGTCATTTTAATTCACGGGCAAATTGTATTTTTTATGTAGTCTGTCGAAATCTTTCCTGATTCGTCGAACAGACTTTAACTGCTTTAAGCTTGCTTTGCTTGTATTGATACTCATAAAAATCATCCATATAGCGCTTGTAATTCAAACAAATGGCATTAGACCAGGTGTATAAATAACGTTTCAGGTCAAGCTTTACCATATCCCAGAAGTGGAGTTTTTAATTTTTTTTTCTTGTTTTTTGGCTACTTAAAACAGTTGTTTTTTAAAGTTACTTATGTTTTCTATTCAATAACCTTAATTTTGTAGAACAAAAACTGCTTTAAAAATTGGTACCGTTTTTTTTTCTTCAAAAACGTTTCTAATGGCAATATCATGAAGGCTTCTCAAAAACACCTCTAATTTTAAACTCTGCAATCTTTCAGAAACATTTTTTTTTCTTTTTTGTGAACCACCTGTATACCTGTTTTTTTCACAGCTAACTTTCTTCCAATCTAACTTAATATACAGGTCGATCCGAACTGAAACTTCGGTAGCATATTCTGCAGATAAAAATGAGTAAAAAAGTTCAAATAAATGTATGTCTGAAAATGCTTAGTTTCGGAGATAGAGGGTGCAGAAGTTTCATTTTTATTTCAAATAATTTCTGTAGTAACGTCGATATTCGAATAAAAATTGATGTCTGGGAGTTTTTTGACATGAGAAATTTAATTTTGATATCAATATGACTCCTATTTGTAGGACGCGTCACATACATGTGCTTTAACTGTTTTGAAAAGTAAAAGTTGATAACTTTTCGTTCGTACCTGTAACTTGTATAGAACTACAGAGTGAAAAAAATATACATTTCTTTGATTTTTTACGTAAAAAATGAAAATGTAAAAAATTTATACAGTTCCGACCACCCTGTATAACCTGTCCAACGACAGTAACAGTTTAATAAGTAACTAAATATTTTGAAAATATTGTTTAAAAAACTTTTAACTATAGTCTGTCCAGCGGGAGAATCCCTAACAGTGACAGATATATTTGTCACTTTAATTCACAGGTAAATCTTATTTTCCGAAATTTTTTGAAAGTCTGTCGAAATCTTCCCTGGCTTATTGGACAGACTATAGGTGCTTTTAGGGCTCGAACACACTGCCGACCAGGTCGCACCGGCCAGGCCGCAGCTACCTCTAAAACCATTAAATCAAATGATACCGCGCACACTAACGTCCTGGCCGTCCGTTGGTCCGCTTGTTGCCAGTTTTCTTCCAAATTAATAATTTTTCAGATGAAATCCCTCAAATTCAACGCACAATATTTTATTTTCTATAAGAGTGTTTTAGTGTAGTTTTTGCACAAGTGCAGAAAATTCAAAGAAATAGTATACAGACTGGATCAAAGGGAAACTTAAATCTAGTCCCTTAAAATACTGTTTTTGTCCTTTATTGATATAATACTGAAAATCTCACGAGTTACATGTCTCACTCTACACATATTAAATTACATAGACGTAGGATGTAGAATATTCTGTTATGAAACGACTGATGGAATAGCAGGCATCGCGGATTTGAAAAGCATGGAAATAACGACGTTCTCTTATAGTCGGTGTTGGAGATTTTACTTACTCCATTTACCACACCAGTATTTATTAACGAAAAATTCAAGAATATTTTAAATGCATTATTTAATATTAGAACATTTAATAAGCTCATGAATAGCAACTTCGCTTTTTAGTTAACTGGGATATTTTAACATTTCTGAAACAATATTTTCTAATTGGTAAAACGTAAAAAATCGTTAGATCTGACAACTCTGTTGAAACTGGTCGTTCATCTAGCTGCAGCTATAAACGCAATATATCCGGCCGGCCGACGGCCAGGTCGTTGCGACCTGGTCGTCAGTGAGTTAGAGCCCTTAAGATTAGGAACAATCAATTTTTGAGAACAGAATATTTGAGCAGTTTCTTTTCTTTTATATAGGAAGTATTACTGTTCCCTGCCATGAAACCAGACGATCCCAACAAGAACAAAGAAACCGAGAACGATCTTGAAGAACAGGAAAAGAAATAAAACTAAAAGGTTTACTTTAAGTATTTATTTTATTAAGTATTTTTGAGCAAAAAAATATATTTATCAAAATTACACTGGGTTTTTTTTGGTATCGAAAAATATATAAACGTATGCAAAATATTCGTTAAAATACACTTAACATTGCAACATGTGTTTACCAAGTTATCGACTTATAAATAAAATTGTGGTTTCGCTACAAAATTGTTTTGTATTTAATAAATTGTATAAAGATAATAATAATAATAATAGGAATACACGCGTAAGTACTGGAGACAATGGTGAAGATAAAGAAAAATAATAATACTGAACTAAATAACAGCATGTAAACAGTTGCATTTAATAATTGTAAATATTCAGAATATATATTTTGTATACAAGTTTAAATAAAATAAATTAAGGTTTAAACGTCACAAATACATGTATGTCATCAACGTCAAAAAGTCTTCTCTAATGACTAGGTTTATGACATTTGTATAGTCTGTCCAATGAGAGGATCCATGACAGTGGCAGATGTCATTTTATCACTTTAATTTACGGACAAATTGTATTTTCTGTCATTTTTCTTGGTTGTCGCCTGTCAAAGTCATCCTAGCTCATTGGACAGACTTTATAATCATTTTTCGATTATTTTAATAATACAGGGTTGTTCACCACATACCACACGGAGTATTGTAGCTAAACGATTTATTTCAATCGTGGAATCTAAAAATAGAATAATATACAGGGTGTTCCATTTAAAAGAATACAATAATTATAATATTTTTTACTTTTGGGACACTCTGTATCTTGTAAAATTATTTTTAAATTGTAGCTCTAATAGTCCTTCAACGAACCCAAAACTTTCAATTCGTTAAAATCTAATCGTTTAGTTACAATACTCTGTGTCGTATTTGGTGAACAACCCTGTATACTAGGGATAACATTTTTATATCGATTTTTTCTAGTTATCGATATTTAAGTACCACACTAATTTCATGAATAAGGTATTTTGTCATGTTTTTAAAACGTTTTTTACTTTTTAGAAAAATTTGTCTAAAATTAGAGAGCACACTAAACTCACTAGTAAATAATTAAAATATAGTCTGGTCCAGCGAAAGAATATACAGATTATGACAGTTATTGTAGTTGTTTGTCATTTTTATTCGAAAGTAGATGAATGACTATGAAAATTAGAGATGGAAACTACATATCGACATTTTTAAAATGTCGATAATTTAACAAAAAAAAATTACAAATAACACAATTGATGATTCACGTGTAACTTTTTAGTTTGTTTTAAGTTATATACATAAAAATCATATATAATAAAGATAAAATTTTGATACATAAATAAAAGAAAATCAGGTAATCAGATCTAAGCGTAACACATACATATTTACTTATACAAGTTAAATGTGATCAGAGAGATCATCGTCTTCAATTTCCAAAGACAAACTTTGCAGTTCTTTCTGCAAGTCCAACAACTGCCTCCTCATCCTTATAACCGTGCTTCTGAGATCCTTATCGCCTTGGATCAGATGATTTATTTTCAATATGGCGATTTTCTGGTATTTTTGGTCGATCACCCACCTGAATCACCATCAAAAAATAAAATAACTAAGTTAAATAATATATTTTTGCGTTAACGCGGCAACGTAGCTACTCCACAGAGTAAACCGGCGGCTCTCAAAATGTAAACAATTTTTTAAACTGTATGAAAACCCTGTATATTAATTTGACTAATTTAATTTTTTAAATTTGTAGCTATACTACAATTTATTAGACAAAATTTCCTATTTTTAGAGTATTATATTTTTTTGTTCAGTAACAATTCTTTATACAGAGTGTTCCTTAATGACTTGCTTTAAAGGGGCGACTCTTGGACCAATTTTAAGAAGAAAAAAATCATATGAACGAATGCCTTACACATCTTAACTCTTGAGATACAGGATGGTGAAATTTTCTAAAAAAAACTTTTCATAATAATTCGGAAGGTATTATATGGGTATTATAAATATTTTTAAGAAATTTGAAGGAACACCCTGTATATTAAAATAACGATTACAATTAATTTCAAATAAACCCCTTTTTACCCTTTTGGAGCCTACCATACCAACAGGTATGGTAGGCTCTTAAGATCGGCAAAAAAACAGTTTTTTTAATTTCACTCAAAATGAGTTATCTACATATATAAAATGCTAATGTTTATCTGAGTCGTCTCTACTGAAGTAACGACTTGCTCTAGAAAGTTGCTTTTTTTTACTAAAAGATAGCTAATTGGCTCTTCTAAAAACTGTCGTCGCCGGATTTTTTGTTTTTCATTTAATTAAAAAAAAAATAAAAAGTATTTTTTTCCCCTTATGTCGTGGCGGATGCGCCAGGCTTCAACTAGTTTGGGTCATAAATGACCTAAAACAAAATATTTTCATGGTGTCTGTCCGTCTGTCTGTAACACGATAACTCAAAAACCGCTAAACCGATTTTAACCAAATTTGGCACAAAAATACTGTGGCACCCGAGAATTTGGCCATTAGTTTTTGGTGGGGGTGGGGGTTGGTAAGGGGGTATGGGAGTGGGTTAAAAATTTTAAAAAATCGTAACTCCAAAATTACAGTAGCTAGCGAAACGCGGTTTTCAATTTAAAATTAGGAATAATATTTGCAACAAAATTTGTAATAATATCAAAATCAGTCAAAGTCGCAGTTTTTTTTAATTTAATTTTCATCACTAGATAAACATATTTTTCTTACCTAAGGTACAATTCGTTCCACAGTACTAAACTAACAGGTGCTATACTAGGCCATATTGCCGCTTTGTTCGGTTCATAGATGGGATTTAGAAAGTTCGTTATAACGTCCGGCCTGTTTAAGTACGACCAAAAACTAGTAGTACCCTCGGAAAGCTTTAGTTCTTGTCTGTCAAATTCCGAATTTCCTACAAACGTACCTAAAAAATAACGTTAAATAAAACTAGCTTCATAAAGAATGGGTTTAAAAAATTACCGAAATTACTGTAATAGGAATTTTCGAAAATAACTATCAGCAACTGGGTGGTAAACTCAAAACTCGAGGCGAACTGATTGTGCAGCTGATGAATGCAGTCCAGGAACAACAGAAACGTCGGCTGTTGATTTTTCGTTCTCGAAGTGGAGTAACAAAATTTGGAATGTCTCGTTTGGAACGGATGGCCTGCCTGAAGCCATTCCCTTTCTATTAAAGCCTGAAGCCCTAAAAAATTTATATACAGGGTGGCGCACTTTATTCGCCTTCGGTTGATTATACGAAAATGGAAAGATGTAGAAACAAAATATTTTATGGGTATACGTGGGGAGACAATGTGCACAATTTAAAATTATTTTGAAACATACAGGGTTGTTTCACAACTAAGATCAATAACAAAGTTGTATTTTTTCTTATGGAACAGCCAGTATTTTATTTCATTTTTGGATTCTTGGGCCCAAAAAAAGGTATAAAATATGTTTAAAATCTTTGGTTTTTGAAATATTTAAAGATATTTAAATATGCATGCTACAAGAGGGTGGATTATTAAGACCCTATATATTGCTTTTCAGAATAATTTTTTGTGCTGAGTTTAAAGATAGAGGAATAAGCTTTACTGACAAATTTTATTGCTTTTGTTATTTATACAAGATTACCAAAAATTGCTGATCTATTTTAACTATTTATTTCACATAAAAACTTCGTTATTTCAAATATAACACCCTGTATTTTTTAAAATAAATCGTGGCAGATTCAAATGCTCTTTCAAATTATATTAGGATTTCCTATACCTATCTAGCTCAGATTTTGAATAAAAAGCGATTTTTCAATAAAATGGCAATCAGGATGGCTGGTGGCTGACAGTTAGTAACTATTTTCAAAACCGACATTAGTTAATTATGGATATTATTATTTAGATTTATAACAGTTTACTAAAATTTACCTACAATAGTTTAATAAGTATGAAGAAAAATAAAGCAGTATCTGCTGGCGGAACGAATGGATATGTTACTAGTAATTTATTTTGTGAGGAAAATTGCTTCTTGGCCTCAAGGGCTCAAAGATATCCAAATAGGAATCTTCCTGATAAGCGTTCCTTTGAAAAACTACTTATCCTATTTCGCAGAGCTGGTAGTGTGTTTTATAAAAAAAACCTATTAGGCAGAAACCTGTCGTTGGAAGTGAAGAAAATGAATTTGCCATAATTGGCTCTTTTATAGACAATCAAAAAAATAAATCAAAGAACTACTTCATTCTTCTTGATAAAATGATAAATACATATTTGATAAATATTATCTATTAAACTATTGTTGGTAAATTAAATAAAAGTAAACTGCTAGAAATTTAAATAAAGTCCATAAACTAATTTCGATCTTGAAAATAGCTACTAACTGTCACTAGAAACTTGCCATAATGACATCAGCCCTCTTGGTTGCCATTTTATTGAAAAATTGCTCTTTATTCAAAATCTGGGCTAGACAGGTATAGGAAACCCTAATATAGTTTGAAAGAGTATTTGAATCTGCTTATGCAAAACAGATATTTAAAATAGACCAGCAATTTTTGATACCCCTGTATACATTAAACGAAGCAATCAAATTTTTCAGTAAAGTTTATTTTATTTTGTGTCCAAGGATCTAAATATGAAATAAAATACCAGGTGTTCCATAAGAAAAAATATAACTTTGGTGTGCTTCTTAGTTCTGACATACCCTGTACATTTCAAAATAATTTTAAATTATGCACATTGCCTTCCCACATATACCCATAAAATATTTTGTTTCTACATCCTGTACACATTTCTTAATAGTTGTTTTTTACAGGAGCTGTAGTACCTCTATATTTACTTATTTCTCTATAGAAAATTAACAAACAACTTACCTCTAACTGTTCTACAATCGGGATTTAAGATCACTTGTGCTATAGATGTCACCAATAGAGTTGCGTCCAGACCTGAAGACCCGTGAACCAACACGGAAGCGCCATCTTTATCCAGACATTGCGCCACCAAACAGGCGGTACTCAAAAGGTTTTGAACGTGCGTTAACCAATGGCTATTCTCCAGTCGGGACAGCCATTTGTCCGTCGATATTTGTTTATCGTAACAAGCTATAAAAACAATTTTTTTTAAATGTAAACACCCTGTATGAAAAATTGTGACATTAATTGGGCACTGAAAACTTCGTCATTTAAATATATATTAATAAAGAAATATCTAAATACCTTCCATCAGTCTACTAAAATGATCTAAAAGCGACCCATCACATTTAACCAGTTTATCCAAATTCTTAAATATTTTCTTCCACTGTGTATAGTGTCCGTCGGGTTCGGTACCACCCCCTTTACTTTTACTGTGACTGACTAAATTAGGACTTCTCGTATCAATGATGTATCCCTTTTTATTCGGTCCTAGTACTGCATTTAAAATTTTCTCATCAGCCCTGGACCTTTTATTATTGTTATTTAACAGTGGTTGACTGGATCTCAATAAAACTGCACCTAAATAAATATAACGAATCTATAGTAACTATAATAAGTTTTTTATTTCAGTGTTTGATACCCTGTAGTATTGAACATTGAAGTTTGGTAAACTATTTTTCTTGAATCCTGTATATTAAATTGAACTTACCATTTTCGTGCCTGTAACTGAGAATAGGAAACCTTCCACCTTCACGAAAACTGGCCGCTGTCACTATAGTATTATCGTCGATACATTTAGGAACAATCAACACAGAACTGTAAGTTTTAGACACTGTGTAATTCTTGTTAATGTGCGATATCCTCCACTCATCTGTAGCAAGTAACTTTGCAAATTCAGTCTCAGGCCTAAATAATGTAAATCCATCCTCTAATATATTGTACATCGGTCTATAGAAAAAGGCATAAGATAATTCTGGTTTTTGTAGGTTTGATAATCTTTCTATCGAAGTGTACACATTATGATAGTCTTGTGTGTTTGCTATGTCTAATTGTAAGTGCCTGAAGTCTTTACATTTTAGTACGATGGTTCCTCCGTTCTGTACAGGTCCTGAAGTTGGTTTCTTTTCTATCGAATCGATAGCTTGAATAAGCAACTAAAAAATAGATATAACGCTACAGATTTTATTCAGAGAAATAGTTTAAAGCTTTCCAAAGCCTTTCCTAAGTAAAATTACGTACCCACAACTCTTGAACGTTATCTTTTCTAGTGCTAAGTATCAAATGGTGTCCAGTGATGCACAACGTCCCGTCGATGGGATCGTGAAAAGGACTGTGCAGAATAACTCCGTCTAGCTTGGGAGTCGTGATCAAGTCTGCAAATTCCATAATTTCGCTCTAAATTCAGCGCAAAAATCCATTAAAAATTTGTATATTTGGCATATTTAAGTGAGGTTAACTGCACCAAAGAAAAAAAAGTCAATAAAAATCTGACGTATGACCATAGATTAATAAAAAATTTGACGTACTATCGAGCTAATAAGCATGTAGTCGGATCGAATATTTTATTTTAAATAATTTTAAATTCTCTGTTTAATTTCAAAGCGCTAAGACAAATATTGGTAAACACGGATAGATATAAAATATTTTAGAAAGAATTTTGAGTTATTTAGTTTTCATAAAATTTTTTTATTGAATTTAGGAAGTAACCAGCGTGAAGTCATCACTTTTATTAGTAAAAATATGATTGTAATTATCACAACCAATAAGTGTAGTAATAAAAATTAAATATAATTCAGAATTAGATTAGATTAAATTAATAAAAAATTCTGGTAAATTAAATAAAGATTTCTCACAAAAAAACCATCGAGGTATCAGAGCACTAGAAGGATCGATAATTATTAAAAAAAATTAAATTATTAACTTAAAATATGAATTTCAAGCCTTAATTATTGAAGGAAAAGATAAAATAGTACTGTAATTTTCAAAAAATCATATTAAACCTTGCAAAAACCCCACACATGCGCTATCCATCCCCGTCCAAGGGGTGAGAAAACTGAGTCATGGCCACCTGAGATCTTCGGGACCTTAATTTCGCAGAAGGTCCTCGCCAATCGTAAATATAACTGTTAGATTTGCTTTTTTGCACGACCCGCAATAGAATTCTAAATCAGAATCGTATTCTGCATGATTTTTTCGCTTAGTAATACCCGGTGCAAACCCGTTGTGAGACACGTGCAGCAGTAGATGCAAGGAAATCGATATGATTTGCGAAATATCTGTAAAATCGGCTTTTAGACCATTTTTCTGCTTATTTTCTGAATTTAAACGAGATATACTCGTGTCGGAACTAAGTAGAAATCACGGGTAACGTAGATATTTCGATATTCGTTTGAATTTCGCCAAAAAAATCGCACAAAAATGTAAGTAATGAATTTATTAAAGGCCTACAGGTGTCGTTCATCTGATTTTATGTTAAATAATCGCAAACCAACCCTTATACAGCAATATTTTTAATTCCAGGCTTTGCAAAATGAACAAACCTCCATTTTAATAGACTGATAAAATTAGAGAGGAAAAAATCATGTTGGAACCATACTCTCCCAGCTCACTTTGGTTGGTTATTTTGGGTTTTATCATAGCTTTTGTCCTAGCTTTCGGAATAGGAGCTAACGATGTAGCTAACTCTTTCGGTACTAGCGTAGGCTCTAAGGTACTGACTATAGTCCAGGCATGTTGTTTGGCCACTTTTTTTGAAGTTGCCGGAGCTATTCTAATAGGTAAGAACCTAATTACATAGATAACGTTATTAGGACGTCATATTAATGTTAATGAGTGACCAATATGCATGTTGGTCAATATTACGTCATTTTAATGGCTTAAATACCGTATGATCGAAAAAAACGGCGTCCACTTGGCTTGGAAATGACGATCGACGACATTCCCCATATAATTTTGCGGTGACGCCGTTTTTTTCTCCATCATATTGTATTTTTTTTTCATTATTTACTAGGTTATAAGGTTTCGGATACAATGAGGAAAGGTATTTTGGATGTAAACGTGTATAAAGATGGTGAACTGGAGCTTATGATGGGTTCAATTGCTGCTTTAGCTTCTAGTGCCGCCTGGTTGATGGTAGCTACATTTTTTAAGCTACCGATATCGGGTACTCATAGTATCGTGGGTGCCACAGTGGGCTATACGCTGGTAGCTAGAGGATCTGATGGTGTACAGTGGTTAACTCTTGGAAAAATCGGTAAATATTTTGTATATAGACTTAAAATAAAAGTGGGTCTCATATATTATTAAGTTATGAAAAACTGCGATGCATGTCAAGACTTTTAATGCAATAAAGAATATTTTATATTGTTTGTTTAAAATACAACTAAGTATTATGTGTATATAATGTAAAAATAAGGTTAAATATTATGTATATAGACTTAAAATAAAAGTGCGTATCACATATTTTAAAGTTATGAAAAACTTTGAAGCATTTTTTGACATTTTTATAGTAATACATTGTACAGGGTGTCCCATTTTCGCGTGTTTAACAGAGTTTCTCGTTTATGAGTAAAAGTTTCTTCCTATATCTTCCATATCAGCTAACTTCCCTTCCGTTTAATAATATATTAAAATATATAATAATACAATTAAATGAATAGGACAATGCACACTATCCGTTCCGTTTTCCTTCCGTTCCATATCCTTTTATTCCATATATTTTTTTGGGGGACGGACTGAAGCCTATCGGAAACAGTGTTGTCAAGTTCTTGCATTTGTACCAGCTCTGTTAATATTTTGCTGATATTTATTTATTCTTTCACCTCTTAATTAAATCTATTACCCTTTTCAAAAGATACAAATTTTTAAAATAAAGCTTCTGTAATACAAATTGTACAATAAAAAGTATGGAACTGATACAGAGCGGAAGCTTACGAGTAGCGTCAATGCAATAAAATATACGGAACGGATATGGAATGGAAACGGAAGGTATAGTGAGAATCAACCTTTAAGGTGCTTAAAGAGCACTGTGCTACTTTTTTATGAAACTAAAGATGCTACACATAATTATTCTATCTCTTTCAGTTGGTTCGTGGTTTATATCACCCATTCTAAGCGGCCTATGCTCCATCACCATCCTGTGGATCATCGAACGTTGCATCCTACAGAAAGCAGACCCTTTGGAAGCCGGACTGACTGCCCTACCGTTGTTTTACAGTTTTACCATTCTGGTTAACGTATTCTCCATCGTAATGGACGGACCCAAACTGCTCTACATGGATAACATACCTCTTTGGCTGGCAGCAACGATCAGTTTATCCGTAGCTGTGTTATCCATGCTGATCATTTGGTTGGTTGTAGTGCCATGGCAAAGAGAAATTATTAGGAGAGAGATAATCGTAGAGTCTACCAAAGTTAATTTTAATATCGGGGAATCGTCAGGTAAGTCATTAGAACTAATTTAAAAAACTATTGAGTATTCGTTACATCAAGTAAATAAGTATTCGTTACTAGTTAAGTAACGAATGTTTATTTTTAAATACATAATTTTATACAAAAGTATTCGTTACTTAGTAACGAATACTTCCGTTAACTTAACTTAGTAACGAATACTTTTGTATTCGGTACATAAAAGTATTCATTACATAAATTGCATTCATTCAGTTCATATAACCACAGATTATACAGATTATAATCTTTGTTTTTTCTTTATTGTTTTTCGTGGTTCCAATTTTCGGAATCGGGCACTAGTTAGGTGACTAGTTTGCGCACATAGCACGCCCACTTATGGCCTCTAAAATTGTGCACAGCGCCTGACCGGCACAGTTATTAGAGAGATATCGGAAAACCGAATAGCGTCATCCAGTGTTTACGCGTACCTTATCATGGTTACGATATGCGCGAGTCAACGCAACACCCGCTAATAACGTTACCGCCTGACGTAATTTGCGGATCAATTACATCAAGCGCTCTTTCTAAATAACCTCTGATAACGTTTAAAAATTGCTTAAAGGGGCATGTGCATTTGACAACCGGAGCCGGCCGGCGAGATCTTTTATTTTAGGTTATGTTTGAATTGTTTTGAATTATTGCTTTAGTTTTATTAGGTAATTTGATATTTAAGTAGCTGGAATTAGTTTTAATTAAATAAATATGGCCCAAAATATGGATTCCACCTCTTCCAATACGAAAGAACCTATAAAGAGTCTTAGGTTTACAGCAGATGACGACTTAGCCCTTCTAAGAGAATTTGTTGCTTGTTGTCCTAAACCCATTGGCAGACGTTGAACAATAAAGCACTGGAAATAAGCACTTTAGCCCTTTAGTTTAAAAATACCTAGTAAACAAAACAATTTCAAAGTTTTAAATTCAAAGTTAGGTTAAGTTTAAATAGCGGACGTGACGCGATCAGAATTCTTTCCGATCCGATAACTATAAATGATGAGAGTTAATACCACCTCACGTAAAGGAAATAACACCTGGCCTTATTAACGTCCATGCACGCTATTCGGTTTAGCGATATCTCTCTATTACGCTGTTTATTGTTATTTTACGCCAGTTTATTTTTGCGCACAGGAAATTTGACTCGTTTGCACATCGTCATAAAAAACAATTTTCGTACCACGAATTAGGGACAAGATTTTTATCTGTAGACTTATAGGATACCTAATCTGTGATATAACGGATACTTATTTTATTATTTAATGATTACTTAGTCCAAAAACAGTCAAAATTTCGATGTATTCGTTACTTAGTTACGAGCATTAGTTTACAATATACAAGATTTGAATACACAAATATATTCATTACTTATTAAGTACCGAATACTTTTGTTCGTTACTTAGTACCACACCTTATAATCGAATAAACAGCGTTCTGTTGGCTTTGAAATGATGACCGATGACACTTACTATATAATTTTACATATAACTGACAGCGTTCTTCAATTCCAAGTCATCTCTAACGCCGTTATTTTTCGATCGTATGGCTCTTTCGTTATCGTTATTAATAAAAGTATTCGTCCAAAAGTATTCGGTACTGAATATACAAAAGTATTCGTTATTATATACTAATATTCATTACTAAAAACAGGCTGTTGGTATAAAATACTTTGTCTCTAATGATTTAGTAATAAAAAAAGTTTCAAACATTATTAAGATATTATCAAATTGTTTTGAGTATTCGTTAAATAAATACTTTGGAGAATTAATTACAAATGACAAATTGTACTTAATAACGAGTACCTTGAAGTATTCCCCACAAATAACGAATACTCCTTATAATGTATTCATTATAAGTAACAAATACTTTAGTATTCGTTACTTAGTAACGAATACTATAGAATTATCCTGATATAACGGAATATTTTAGACTATTTCTAATTACTATATGTATTTTTCGAGGTCAAGAATGATTTACAAATGATTTTGTTGTAGATACTTCACCAGAAGCTAGCCCCAAAAAGTCCAACAGAAACTCGACCTACTCAGACCGTCAATTAACAGTAATAGCTGAACATACCGAATTAAAACAGTTGGACAACCAACTTACGGCTTCTAAGTACATTTTTCCCGCAGAGTCTGCCGAAATAAACGGCTATATACAAGCTGAAGACACTGAAATACATTCTAGGTATGTGTAATTCCATAAAAAAATATTTTGTTTCGATTTGGTATCGATTAAAAAACTTTTTTAGACCTAAAGAACTGAAACTGAAAGACAGTTGTAACGCTGCATTGGCGAATCCCACGATGTCACCCTGCTCCAGTGGCGTGCCTCTGATAAGGGACAAAAGTTATGCTAAAGAGGGTGAATCCTCCACCTACGCTGTCCAGTTGGATACGTCTGATATAACCGAGAACAAGAGCGTGTCCAGACTGTTCAGTTTTTTGCAAGTTCTCACCGCCATGTTTGGCAGTTTTGCTCACGGAGGAAATGACGTCAGGTAAGGATCATTTGTTGCAAGATATCTTAAGAATTACTGTAATTATTTTAATTTACAGTATTTATTTTCCTTTTCCAGTAATGCCATCGGTCCGTTGATCACCCTGTGGCTGATTTACTCCGAGGGCAGCGTGGCACAAAAATCCGAAACGCCCCTGTATATATTACTATACGGGGGTTTCGGAATATCTGTCGGTTTATGGCTGTGGGGTAGAAGAGTGATAGAAACTATCGGGGAGGATTTAACCAAGATCACACCCTCTACGTAAGTCTTATCATCTATGGTTCTTAACATCAACGAAATGATATAAGAAAGATATACAGGGTGGTCCGAACTGTATTCCGGAAACTTCAGCAGCATATTCTGCAGATAAAATTAAGTAAAAAGGTTCTTATAAATGTATGTTCTAAAATGCTTAGTTTCGGAGATACAGGGTGTAGAAGTTTCATTTTTATTTCGATTTTTTCCAAACAATTTCTGAAGTAACGTCAATATTTGGATGAAAATTCGTGTCTGGGAGTTTTTTGACATGAGAAATTTGATTTTGATGTCACTATGACTCCTACTTGTAGAGGGCGCCACCTACATATGTTTTAACTGATTTGAAGAGTAATCGAAAGAAAAATGAAACTTCTATACACTGTATCTCCGAAGCTAAGCATTTTAGGACATACATTTACACGAACTTTTTTACTTATTTTTATCTGCAGCATATACTGCCGAAGTTTCCGGAATACAGTTCGGACCACCCTGTAGAATGATTTTATAAAATACAGTATATTTATAAATAAACTTATTTTCTAGGGGATTTACTATTGAAATAGGGGCAGCTTTTACAGTATTACTTGCTAGTAAAATTGGTATTCCTATATCGACAACCCACTGCAAAGTAGGATCTGTGGTTTTTGTTGGGTATTTTAGTTCCTCCAAGCAGGGTGTGGATTGGAGTCTATTCAGGTGATTAAATATATTTTTAAAAATTATAAAAACATACAATTTAATCAACTTCTGTATTCAGATTTTATTTTATTGTATGGTATTTTATATACAAGTTCAAATAAGTAAAATAATGGTAACCATTATATAGGTAAATGTCAGAGATACACGTATGTCATCAACGTCAAAAAGACCAATGTCTAATGACTATCGGTTTATGATATTTGTACGATCCACGATAACGACAGCTGTGTCTCTCATTTAAATTCACACACAAATTATATTTTCTGTCATTTTTTGGATATCTTCTGTCGAAATTTTCGCTGACTCGTTGGACCGACTATACAGGGTGTTTAAAAAAAATGAAATCTCTCGTGGGGAGATTCCTCACGTAAAAATAAGATTTGTTCTTCATATCAACATATGTCCGATTCTTCTTTGTTTCGTAGCTACAGATACAGGGTGACAATTTGAAAACGAACAGTATTTAATATTGCCTCTACCGATGATGAAAGAAAATTTGGCGAAACACGTCAATTTACATATCAAGGGGGACAATTTTTGAGGCATTTGTTGTAGTGTTACTTTCAACCCCTTGACCCCCAGGGCACCTACCCCTAAAATTTTAAATAGCAACCCCTATTTCTTTTACCATTTTTTGTGTTTCTTATAGAATTCTACATAAACTGCATTATTTTTTTGAGAATTTTATAAGGAACACAAAAATGGTAAAAGAAATAGGGGTTGCCGTTTAAAAATTTAGTGGTAGGCGCAATAGGCGTCAAAGGGTTGAAAGTAACACGACAACAAATGCCTCAAAAATTGTCCCCCTCGATATGTAAATTGACGTATTTCGCCAAATTTTCATACTATCATCGGTAGAGGTAATATTAAATACTGTTCGTTTTCAAATTGTCACCCTGTATATGTAATACAAAATATAGGGTTTTATGTTTATTTCAAAAAAGTGCTATTTTCTATAGACCATTGCAGTATTGTTTGGTATTTTATAAATAAATATTTTTTTCACGATTATTACGAGACAACTTTTTGGCACAAGTACGTAAATATAAATATTTGTCCGATTGGCCAATCAATGAGAGATAAAAATCATGTCAATGAACCTCATGTGTGTACAAAAAAAGATAAATTAATATCACATTGAATAAAATAAGCTACATATTTTTTATGTAGTCTTCTAAAAATAATTATCGTCAATAATTATCATCAGTTTTTTATTTATTAAATTTTATAATTATTAAACAATCTATTCCTATCAGTAAACCTTCAGACATTTATATTAGTGTTAGACAATAAAAACGTGATATATTTCAATTTCTTTATCTGTTCCTATATGGATCCCAGACTAAATTAAACATTAAATTTAAATGGATTTAATTGTTATAATTATCGTAGTAAGTAATAACAATTAAATTAGCAGAAATAAATAAGCCAAAACACAAAGGTAATTTCGAGATAAGTTTTATTAATTTAGTTTAACATGAATTGCTATTGTTTTCTAATTTTGTTACAAGTTTTTGTTAAACAAATTATTCAAAATTTTCACACAGGAATAATTATTATGAAAGATAACTACAAACTCATCTTAACGAATCATAATTTTATTTATTTACATTATTATATTTCACAAATTTTATCTTGAAATAGTTTTATTGTTATTAAGGTGGTATACAGGGTGGTCCGAACTGTATTCCGGAAAGCATATTCTGCAGATAAAAATAAGTGAAATAGTTTGTAAAAATGTATGTCCTAACTAAAACGCAGTGTCACAGGGTGTAGAAGTTTTATTTTTATTTCGATTTTTTCCAAATAATTTCTGAAGTAACGTCAATATTTAGATGAAAATTGGTGCCTGGGAGTTTTTTGATATGAGAAATTTGATTTTGATGTCAATATGATTCCTATTTGTAGGGGGCGCCACCTATATGTGTTTTAACTGTTTTGAAGATTTATAACTTTTCGTCCGTACCTGTATAAAACTACTGGGTGAAAAAATATACATTTCCGTGATTTTTTACGTAAAAAATGTCTCTTGGTAAAAATCGCTACGAGCAACCGTTCTCAAGATATTTAGAATGGAAACAGTCAGTACATGTCATTATTGACAAAAAATAAAATGTTGAATAGATAGTAATTTGACTGAAATAATAAATTTGTGAACTTTTTTTTTAAATTAATTATTTATAATCTTCGAAAAAATATGATAAAACAGTGTCTGTTGAACTTTTGGCACAAAAACATTTCAAATTTATGATTTTAGTCTAATAACTATTTAGTCAGCATGTTTAATTTACGATGTACTTAAACAGCCGTTAAACGGTAGCCTACTAAAATGCCGTTAATAGATATTGTGACGCCGTTCATGTCGGCGGAAAGTAATGCCTAGCTATAAGCTTCATGCAAGAGCACCTGTGGCTCCGTGGCAGAGGCTATCGGTTCGTGAGCGATTGGTCCGTGGTTCAAATCTCACGCCCACCAAGACTTTTTTATATTTTTTTTTGCTTATAACGTGATCATATTGCATTGGTTTCACTCTTTTTGGTTGGATTGGTTTAGTTATTTGGCGGGTTGGTTAGCGTGGTTATTTGGAGGGTGTTAATTCATTGGTTAGTTGGTTATTTGGTGGGGTTGGTTGGTTTTTACTAATTTATATTTGTTTTTTATATTTTTTTTATCAGTGTCGAGGTTAGTTGCGTTGGTTAAGTTGGTTATTTGGTGGGGTGGATAGCGTTGGTTAGTCCTTATAAAATTCCTATATTTCATAAAGCCGTCAAGTGCGTCACATCAACGACGTCATACCTATTAACGGCATTTTAGTAAGCTACCGTTTAACGGCAGTTTAAGTACAGCCTTTAATTTATGTCAATGATGATAGGTATTGCTAATTTCGATTCCAAATATCTCGAGAACCATTACTCGCAGAGATTTTTACCAAAAGATATTTTTTACGTAAAAAACGTCGTAAATGTATATTTTTTTTACTCAGTAGTTTTATACAGGTACGGACCAAAAGTTATTACTCTTCAAACCAGTTGAAAAATATGTAGGTGGCTCCCTCTACAAGTAGGAGTCATATGGACATCAAAATCAAATTTATCATGTCAAAAAACTCCCACACACCAATTTTCATCCAAATATTGACGTTACTTCAGAAATTATTTGGAAAAAATCAAAATAAAAATGAAACTTCTACACCCTGTATCTCCGAAACAAAACTTTTTAGAACATACATTTATACGAACTTTTTTACTTCTCTTTATCTGCAGAATATGCTGCCTTAGTTTCACCAATACAATTCGGAACACCCTGTATTATAAACATTGTTGAAATTTTTGTAATAATTTTTTTACATTTTTTTCAGGAATATAATTTATGCCTGGGTGATCACCGTGCCTATAGCAGCCCTACTATCAGCCGCCATCATGTTTTTACTCTACTACCTGAACTAACATCACCCTGTATTAGTAACAGAAAAAAAAGTAACTAAAAATAAACGATAGAGCTGTGTTGTTAGATCGTAAGTCAATGTTAACCAATTGGACTAAAAATAAGTATTTATTTATTTATTTTATGTAATAGTATGGATTTTATAAAAGAAATATTATACGAAGCGTTTTTTGTTTTTGTATAAAAAAATAATGAGTATGTATAGTTTATATTTTTATGAAATTATAAAAAAAAATATTGAGTTTGGGGGAGAAAAATAATATAAGTACAAAGAATGTTTTTTTTTCTTAATGAATGTTTGTTTTATACAGGGTGGTTCTGTTAGAAGATAAACCTGGATCACCCTGTATATTCTCGATGTTGTTCTGTTTTAAAACAAGAGCTGACTAGAATAAATTAACAAATTTTAACTGCATTAACAAATAATGAAAAAGAAAATCTAGTTGTCAATTTTTGTCTGTTCTTCAGTGAAACTGAGGATTTTTATTAAATATGATATGAAATATGATATTTTAAAAAATATGAAGTTATGATTTTATACGGACTTAAATCTTGTTAAATATTTATTATAGTAATAAATAAATTTTAAACCTGCTGCAAAGTATTATAAAAGTACCATAACAAATAGGACTGTAAAATTGTATGATTTTAGATGATCTCATAAAGTTGTTTGTTCTGTTATTCTTTTTTTATAAATAAAAATATCAAATGTATTTTTTTATGTTAAGTTAAAATGGTTTTACCATACGACCGAAAAAAAAACGGCGTCACAGATGGCCGCGAAATGATTATCGATGATAATTTTGCCGAGGTCAAGACCTAGACGTCAATTTTTGACAAGTTTTATGACAATTTTTAGTAAAAAACTAGTCTAGAATTGACTTCGCCAAAATTATCATCGATTGCCATTTCCAGCCCTCTTTGATGGCGTTTTTTTTCGATCATACGGTACCATTATAAATAGGACTGTAAAATTGTGTAGATTTTAGATGATCTCATAATTTTGTTTGTTATAATATTATTCTTTTTTTATAAATACAAAAAAAAACTTTTTATTGTAGCTTTTTGGAGAATTCAAATTTGTCATTTTTTGCTAAGTTTACAGTTAAAATATTTTTTTTATCGTTCTTAGTACAGGAAAATAATAAATTAAAATTCAAATTGTATCCTCCTGTACACAAAAATATATTTTCACTTTTTTTTCAATTGTAATACAAAGAAGCACAAACCAAAGAAACCAAAAAATAAAAATAAAAGAAAAAACGTTTTCAACAAAATTAAAACATATATTATATTATTTCTGTGTTTCATTTCTCAATTATCACAAACTATAATTCTATATAATATATAATTTTTATACAAAGTACAATTATGTTCAAAACTAAATAATTTTGCTGGCAAGTCCCTAAATAAAATAGATTAGAAATAAAACACTCACACGATCATAGTGAAGCTGTTCCGGGTTCGTATTTGAATATTACCGAAAACTGTTTGGCACCCAAACTTTTAGCTAGCCATTCGTTCTTCAATGACGCCATTTTTATACTGTCCACCTCGAATTTGGCGTTTAAATTCGTATGTACCGCACGACCCATTCCTTCCAGTACCACCAAATCGGCCTCGGACATTAGGTTGCACAACTCTGAAAAAAATATGACCATTTTAACTTGTTTTCTCTATCTTCAATAACAAAAAAGCAATCAATATAAAATACTTTTTCAATTTCTTCTTCTTCTTCTTCTTCTCCACTTCTTCTTCTTCTTAAATAAAAACAAAACTTCTACACCCTGTATTCAGGGTGGCCCATCGAAAACGTTCCGCAAGGCATAACGGCCAGAGTAATTTTTTTCCAAAAATTCAAAAACACGTCAATTTTGTTTGTGAGGGGGAGAACTTTTGCCACAAAAACGATGGCAAAATCTTCAATCCTCTAAGCGAGGGTGTCATCCCCCAACTTTTTTCAAATAGGAAGGGGGGTCAAGTGGCGCCGCAATGAAAAGAGCTTTCTATTCTCTATATTTCCCCGCTTCGTTTTTGAGAATCGGTCGGGTCATTGAGAAAATATGAAGGATTGAAATTTGAAAAGTTCATTTAAACATTTGTCAGAGTAAATGATAATAAGGATAAATTCCTTCGACCAAGTTGCTGTTTTTTCTTATTATTTCTAGATTTTTACGCATTTTTTCACTTGCCACAAGGTTGAACGATCAGGTGCGGTAGTTGCTAGATAGCTGTTCTGTGACTTGTGCGTTGAATAGGGCTGCACCGAGTACCGAGTAGTTCGGTGCTCGGCCAGAATTTTAACCGAGTAATATGTACTCGGTGCTCGGCCTTACTCGACCTAGTAGGCCGAGTAAAGTATAGTAATAGAAACAATCCATTTATGTATGTCCAAAACAGATAGAAATGAGACTAACAGTGGCAAATAAGTGGTAAAATAAACAAAAAGTTATTCATAACTTTAATTGTAATTAATGTATTTTAGCAAAGTCATAATAATAAGTAGGTATAAGTAATAACACAAACACAGTGAAATAATAATTTAATACTTATAATCTAAAAGAGGTCAGCACTGTCACTCATTTTAATATAACTTTAAAGGGTATTATTAATTGTTTGAATTATTTTTCACTTTTAAATTAGTTACACATATAAGTTTTGCTTAAAACAAAATCCACGTCGCCACCACACCTTAAAAAAATAAATTCAGAATCCAGAACATTAGAAATATCAGTTTGCATGGGGAACCACAGAATAAAACAATATCTCCATAAGTAAAACAAATCAGGTCATTGGTTTGTAGTCGGGGAATCCCAGCCGCTCGCCAGTGATAAAGGTCGCATAACTGGTTAAGACTATTAGAAACCCGACAATTCCACTACTCGGCAGCCGAGCACTAGGTACTCGGTCATTACCTTTAGCCGAGTTCTCGGTACTCGGTCAAGTTAAAAAACAGGGCTCGTTAAAACCCTAGCGTTGAAGTTCTTCTCAATATCGTTAAACTTTTTAACAATTATGGTGTACTCACTTACAGAAAAAGTGGAAATAATCGAACTTTATTTTAAAAATAATGAATGTATTGGGTTGCGCACATATTCAATAACCGCTATCCTGACAAACAACTTTATGGCAAAATTGTTCGCGAGTTAGTAGCAAAATTTCGCGAAACTGGTTCCGTTATGAATAAAATGCAGGCAGAGGGAAAATCCTGTAGTAAATGAAGCTATGGTGGTATTCGTATTGGGCCAAGTTGTCATGGATAATAAGCTTAGTACAAGAAAATTAGCCAATGAGACCGGCGTGAATCGTACAAGTGTCCAAAGGATATTAAAAAAACACAATTTCCACCCGTACAAAATCCAGTTGGTACAAGATCTCAACGAAGGCGATTTTGATCGTCGCTTGCAATTTTGTGAAACTATGAGTGAACGAGTGGCGAATGATAATAATAATTTCCTATTTAATGTGTTTTTTTTGGATGAGTGTACTTTCTTTTTGAACGGTGTAGTTAATCGGCACAACTGTCGGTACTGGGCTGAGGACAACCCCAGGGTTTTTCACGAGGTGCACACACAAAACCCTTAGAAATTGAACGTGTGGGCTGGTATTTTTGGAAATCCTATTGTAGGTCAGTTTAACGATATTGAGAAGAGCTTCAATGCACAAGTCACAGAACAGCTATCTAGCAACTACCGCACCTGATCGTTCAACCTTGTGGCAAGTGAAAAAATGCGTAAACATCTAGAAATAATAAGAAAAAACAGCAAATTGGTCGAAGGAATTTATCCTTATCGTTTACTCTGATAAATGTTTAAATAAACAAATTTCAATCCTTCATATTTTCTCAATGACTCGACCGATTTTCAAAAACGAAGCGGGAAAATATAGAGAATAGAAAGCTCTTTTCATTGTGGCGCCACTTGAACCCCCCTTCCCATTTAAAAAAGTTGGGGGATGATACCCCCGCTTAGAGGGTTGAAGATTTTGCAATCATTTTTGGGGCAAAAGTTGTCCCCCTCACAAACAAAATTGACGTGTTTTTGGATTTTTTGAAAAAAAAAAAAAACCTGGCCGTTATGCCTTGCGGAACGTTTTCGATGGGCCACCCTGTATACAAAAGGAAGCTTATACAGGTCCGGTAATAGGATATCTACGCATAGGAATTACATGCATTGGAATGAAACGCCTATAAAAAGTCTAAGCTTAAACAGAGATGGACAACAACTTCCCCGTTTCCACTTCCACTACGACTGTCGAGTTAGACAAACTCCAATAAGATACCAAATTTTGGAAATTCCGCCGCCTCCCATCCACCCATGATACCCATCCACCTGCCCTTTATCACCATTATTTTATTTCCCTTCCCGCGCCTCCGCAAAACGCCGTCACCTCAGTCCATCACAGAGTTGCCAGGTCTACCGGTTTCGTCTGTAAGCTACCGATCTACCGATTTAAACAAAAATCTAACGATATGTTCAACTGCGTCTTTAGTCTAATCTGACTTTATTATTGTCTACTAAATTTTATTTAGTAATCATAGGTCATCGTTCTGTCTAGTTGCAGAGTGACAAATATATTCCTACAAATCCTTATTACTCTTTATTAGGCGCGGTATTGGCGATATGCCCGAAGAAGTTGATATCTTTTGAAAAGATTTTGTTTCATTCATCTACTAAAGTTAAACCCATATTTTCCCCAAAAAAAATATAAACAAAAAACAAAATCTAAGTTAAGAAACAAACTGAATACGGATAAATATTTTAGTGCTTTTCCTTCCAAATCAAAAAATATATTAATATGAAAAAAGAGTTGAGAGTTGCTACAGCTTTCCCATTGAAATGAAATTAATTTTAGATATCACTGATCAAAATTTGTACAAAGGTAAAAAGTGACTGCTATCCCTACTTGTTATAGTTTTTATTAATATATTAATATTGTTTAATTCAATATATTTTTTTAATATTAAATAATATACCTCTACCTCAACACGGATTCATCCACTCCTGGATATAGGTTTCTCCTATCCTTTTCCATGACTCCCTATTTTGTGCTATATTTAACCACCGTTTACCTGCCACTTCCTTAATGTCACGCAGGGACGTGCCCCTGCCCACGCGAGCCTTATAGCTTATCTCCCAGGACCATACTGGGGAAATCACTGTCCCATCCCATTCTCATATCCAAACCTCAAAATTTTCTAATCAAAAGCGTGGCCTTGAAATTACCAAACCACTAAACCACGAAATGTCGAACCTTAAAACAAAACTACCCCAGGCGAGTAGAACGTATGATTCAGAATCTCGCACTGAATATAATATACCTACCTATTTCTAATTCTTGTTATATTTACTATATTTGTATTTTATTTGAGTGATCTCGTATTACGATACATAGGAATGCTAATTTTGGACTTAAATATTATATTTTATTTTGTTTCTGTCCTTTTGATTTTTGTTGCAGATCTACCGAGAATTTTGTTCTCGTATGGAATTATAATCTAACAAACCCGGCAACCCTGTTCGGCTACTCCTTTATAAAGTTTTTTCGGCCTATTCCTTTGTCGCCGCCGCCGACCGACCGGTCGGTGTCGGGGCGATCGTACTGTTACGTTTTTCGTCGGTTCCGTGTGGATAGAAAGTCACAATTTATTTAAACACTATTTATTTAACACTAATGAACAAAAATAATAACGATAAAAGACTTATAGAACTATTTACAAACGATTTATAACTAAGAATTTATTTTGAATTTTAGCGCGTCAACTGTATATTTATAACCGCCCTCTCTAGGCCACTGCCGCCGGCTTTTATACCGACAGGTAAAAGAAATCTAGAATAGTCCAAAGATCGTTAGGCGCATAGAGAAGGTTTTCGAATGTTCTCGTATGTACGCGTCCATTCTAGTGGGTCTCGATTCTTCTCGAACGAATGAATCATTGCGGTGTCTATGCGATGTTAAGGTCATCCAAGGGCGGGCCATATTGTGAGGTTAGGGTCGAGTCCACACCGGCTCGCAACACTGCCCCTTCTTAGGGCACATGCTCGTCCCGAGATTATACGGTGAATGAAGGTATTTGCAAAGCTGGCCCCTGGTACATTGCGAAGTCTGGTAGAAATAGCAGTCTACAGTTTTCTCTCCCGATCTCAGCTTTGGGTTGTAGCAGCAAACGAGGATCTCGATTCCCGTAAATCTGAACAAGACTTCAATCATGTTCCGGATTGTACGCCAACTCAAACCATCGAGTCCACACGCCAGCTTCGGAATGGCTAATCGTGCAATGTTGTTGTTTAGCAGGGCTTCTCTCAGTTCAATCAGGGTCTTCCATAGATTGAGATAAGTCGGCTTACTCGGGGACCATTCCTTGGTGACCAGGTAGAAGATGTGCCTTGCTTGACCATGTGCATTGTCGGTTAGCCTCAAGACGCTTCCAACCTCTGGATCCTGTCGGCGTAGTTCTCCGACACGCCCAAACTTCTCATTGAACGTCGCAGCGATTCCTCTGGACATCCGCAAATCTCGAGCCACACAATGAGCGAGCGAATAATCAGGAGGCACGGAAAAGAGGTCTCGTTGATCTTCTTTGGTTACACCATAGCGAGCCTTCTCACTGCTGTTGTATCGGGCCATGAAATCGTCAAAGGACATCTCCGAATCAGGGGGATCAAAGCTGCAGGTTCTCACGGTCCCAGCACGATCTTCTATTTCGCCTTGGTAGGGGCTCAAACGGTTGAAATGGACTACCCTCGGTTTTCCTTTTGGCAATTTTCTGATACGGTATACGACGTCATTAATTCTATCCATGACTTCGTATGGCCCTTCCCACGAGGATTGTAGCTTCGGAGATAACCCACGACGTCTCTGCGGGTTATATAGCCACACCAACTTCCCTGGTTGGTATCCTCCATGCTCAGCTTGAATGTCGTAGTGTTCCTTCATTCGGTCACTAGCACTTTGAATATTTAGGCGGACTCTCTGATGAATGTCGTCCATCCTTTGACGTAGTGTGTGGACATAATCTTCTCCGGCGACTTCTTCTCCCGGTCGGCAACCAAATTTCAGATCACAGGGTAGGCGCACTTCCCGTCCCATAACGATGCTGGCTGGAGTTTGCCCTGTAGATTCTTGGACGGATGAACGGTAGGCCAACAGGAACAGGTGAAGAAATTTGTCCCAGTCTCTTTGGTGGTCAGAGACTACTTTGGCCAGATAACGGTTGATAGTTCTGTTCATGCGTTCAACCATCCCATCGGATTGTGGATGTAGAGCAGTCGTCCTGGTCTTGCGGATGTTCAGGACTTCACAGACGCCTTGGAACAGATTGGACTCAAAGTTTCTTCCCTGATCTGAATGAAGCTCCATGGGAACACCAAACCTGCAGATCCATTCTTTAACAAGGGCATCAGCAATCGTGGACGCTTCTTGATTTGGCAACGCGTAGGCCTCGACCCATTTGCTGAAGTAATCCATTACTACCACAATGTATTTGTTGCCATCGTTCGTCTCCGGGAAAGGACCAGCCACGTCGATCGCTATTCGTTCGAAGGGACTACCAACATTGTACTGGCGCATAGGGGCTTTACCACGCTTTTGTGGCCCATTAATGGCTGCGCAAATGTCACATTTCTTACACCAGGCCCTCACATCTTCTTTGCAGTTCACCCAGTAGAACCGTTCACGCAGCTTGCCAAGTGTCTTGGTAACACCAAGATGTCCACCGCTGGTTCCATTGTGAATTTCCGCCAAGACTTCCGGGACCCTCTTCTTTGGAATGACGATCTGCCTTCTCTCTTCTTGTCCCTCTGGTCTCACAATCACACGGCGAAGTAATCCGTTATCTATTACCAATGAATTCCACTGGACCAGTACGACTTCACGTTCGGCGAATATCTGCAAACTTCCTCCCACGTTGGTCTCTGGTCCGCGTTTTTCCAGTTAATCACCAAGCCCAACTCTGGATCACTGATTTGGTCATTTGCAAGATCTTCGGTTTGCCAACTATCACCAACCACAGTCGTCCTTAAGACTTTCACTTCTTTCTCTTCTTTGCAACGATTTCCCATCTGTCCGCAATTCCAACAGCGAATCGGTCCCCCCTTCTTACTCATATACTGATCCAGTACTTTCCGCACAATCCTTTCCACTTTGGAATCGTCGGAACTCTCCTCAACAGCCCGTACAAATCCTAGAGACCTAGAGCATTCTTTCGCGGCCTCAAATTCCAGGGCACGTGCTAGGGCATCTCCCAAATGCGTTGGATGAGCTAAAAGAAGTGTTTGCCTTGTCTCGTTGTCACATAAACCATCAATAAAAGCCTGTACTTTTAAGCGCTCCATAACATTTTCGGGCATAGCAGGGTACGCAAGGCGAACGAGGCGGGCTACGTCGGCTTCAAACTCCTGCAGAGACTCATTTGACTTTTGAATGCGATTTTTTAGCTGGGAATGATAGACATGTTCCAAATGAGCTTGGCCGTACCTCATTTCTAAATGTCGTACCAATTGCTGATAATCTCCCTGTTCCGATGGTGACAATGTCTGCAGGATATCAGTCGCATCTCGCAGTGCGACAGTCAAAGCGGTAGCCTTTTCAGCGATTGTCCATCCGTTCGCTCTCGCAGCGGCCTCAAACTGGCAAAAATAATTGGCCCAAGCGGTTTTTCCGTCAAACTGTGGAGGCTTAATAATTGACTTTGAGATATACTTATTTTCGACTAGTTTCGGTGCCTCCGATGTTTCTTGACATTTTGGTGAATTGGCCTTTTCTATTTCTTGTTTTAAAATTTCGATTTTTCTATTTACATCTTCCTCAATCTGTGTTATTTTGTCTTTGTAGCTCCGTAGAATTCTCTATAATCTTTTCTTCTAATTCCCTGGAATTTTCTGTTATCTTTTCTTCTAAATTAAGTATTTTATTATTAAAGCTGGCCTGTATGTCTTTAGAATTTTCTGCGATCTTATCTTCCAAAATATTAATTTTATCACTGATTTTCTCTTCTAAATTAACTTCCAAGTTAATCATTTTACTATTCAAATTGTTCAAGTTGTCGTTTAAATTGTCTTGTAAATTTTTCAATGACGAGTCAAGGTCACCTTCCAGCTCAAAGCAAAATGTTTCAAGATCCTCACCTTCCTCCACCAAAACGTCTCTCAGTCTGGCTTGCAAAATGCTTTTCTTTCCATCTGTCTCGCACTCTCTCTTCCAATATGCATTTCAGTTCGGACACTTTCAAATCTTTCAACAATTTTTTCAGAGCCATGGTCAGTGTTTTTATTCTTCTAGTCTATCACACACGCCACACTTGACACCAATTGTTACGTTTTTCGTCGGTTCCGTGTGGATAGAAAGTCACAATTTATTTAAACACTATTTATTTAACACTAATGAACAAAAATAATAACGATAAAAGACTTATAGAACTATTTACAAACGATTTATAACTAAGAATTTATTTTGAATTTTAGCGCGTCAACTGTATATTTATAACCGCCCTCTCTAGGCCACTGCCGCCGGCTTTTATACCGACAGGTAAAAGAAATCTAGAATAGTCCAAAGATCGTTAGGCGCATAGAGAAGGTTTTCGAATGTTCTCGTATGTACGCGTCCATTCTAGTGGGTCTCGATTCTTCTCGAACGAATGAATCATTGCGGTGTCTATGCGATGTTAAGGTCATCCGAGGGCGGGCCATATTGTGAGGTTAGGTCGAGTCCACACCGGCTCGCAACAGTACAGTATTGCCATTTCATAGAATTGCACTTGCTATTTTAGAAATGATTTCAAAGTTCTGCATGTTACTTTTTGTTTCAGAAAGAAGTTGCCTAGAGAAAACATTCTTAAAATTGTTTTGTGCTTTATTTAATATTTCATTAAGTAGACAAGATAATGGGATTAGAAGATTCGGGATTTAGGATAAGCCAACATAATTTTGATTTAACAGAATGGCAACACTGTCCTTCGTCTTTCTATTTTTCCATTCTATTCTATTAGTAGCCGGTAGCCCCCACACAAGCGTCTTAAAGACCCGCCCCCTCACGCAGAAACTCTCTCGTCGTATCACTTCTATGATTACTTCCCCTATACAATGGTAGGGAAAAGACACTTTATCCGTCTCTGTTGTACTGCAGTGTATTTAGCCTTACCATCTTTTTTTATCGCATTGAAAAGCTCCTATTGCTAATGAAATTTTGCCACACGTGTATGAACTTTTTTACTTATTTTTATCTGCAGAATATGTTATCAAAGTTATTCAATTACAATTTGGACCACCCTGTATGCAGGGTGATCCATGCTAAGGAAAAAGCTCTATAGCAGGTTTCCTGTTTGGGGTTCCTAGTCTATTTTTTTTATAAAAATGAAGGAAACCACAGTGCACATTTAAAAGTATTTTTATAGATATACACAGTGTTTAAAATATATTTTTGGAGTAACGTAGTGTTTTCTGAATTTGCTGTATATAATAAATAAAACCCTTGATTATATATAGACAAGGATAATACTTTATAAAAAAATATTAGATCAAAAAAGAGTAACCTATAAAAAATTAGTAGTACCTTTTGGTATGTTTGTCAAGTCCAAACAGGGTCCCTTCTGTCCATTCTCCACTGTAACCAACCGCTTACTCTTTATACAATCCTTAATAACATGACAGTGCTCTGCAGCTTGCGCACAGTACTGCTTAAGATCTGTATAGGTAACGTCGTTTAAAGATGGATAAGAGTTTGCTGTCAGTACCACCTGTGTACCCAATGACAGTAACTCACAAGCAAAAGGAAGTATTCCCAATATAAAATCTATCCCGGCGTTGTCCACAAAAATGACAGCACACTTATAATTTTTTTTCTGAAATTGTAAAATGCACATTTATCTAAAGTAATTTAAACAAGAAAGAAATAGTGAGGGAAATGTATAAAAAAGAACAAAAAGATTAAACGGCTCAGCCCTCAACAACTCGCAACCGTATACACCAGTGTAATTTATATAAACAAAATAAGTAATTTATATAAATAAAAATAACTTACATATAACTTGTTCAAAAATAAATCCAAATCATCAATAAACCAAGGTCTACTCTCGATAGTTTCCATGGCATGATCCAGTCCAAATGTTGGAGATGTGTCCAATATATTAGACACAGCACTGGCGCCCCAATCAAAGACGTTTCCGGCTAAGACTCCTTTAACTAGCTCTTCCCATTTTTCCCTGAAGTCTTCTATCAAACTAATTTTCTTAATCCTATCGCTAAACTCCTTTAAAGCTTGTTCTGTTTCAGTCTCTTTTTGTAATTGCCAAGCGTCTTTAAAGTGTACCCGTAAGTTTTCCTCATTATAGTCTAGTAATGTTCTTACAGTAAGTGGTTTTAAAATTCTTCAAAAAAAATGCTCTAATTAATGTATGAACTGGATATTGCACGGATTACTTACAAAGGATTTAATTTGATTTTTTCTACTAAATTATGAAACTTCTGCGAACAGGCTCTGGCGTGTTCGGTCGCTTTCGGATTTTGTGGATTCAAATTCTCGGCTTTGTCCACGAATTTTTCGACTAGACGTTCTAACGTTACTAACCAGTAATTTCGCGCGGCTTCGTTGCTTAAAAGATCGATTATATCTGGCGTATAGTGGTCAGGATCTTTTAATACAGGACAAATGGTGTAGTTGTTCTTAAAATCCATTTTCATTTCACAAGTACATTTACCTGTTATCAAAGTATACTAACGACGGTTAAAGTGGTTGTGATTTAAATAGAAACTAGACATAATTTTTCATTATCTTTCTTTTCAATTAGGCTGTAAATAAAATGATGATAATCTAGTCCTAGTGTACAAGAGTAAACAAAGGAATTATACTTAAAAACAGTAGAAAAACTGTATCTGTTAGCGTCAATCAAGATAAAAAGGAATATCAAACAATCTGGTGTATTTTACAATCAAAATAAACTTAACAAATCATGTAACAGGCAATTTTTAAAATTAAATTCTTTTATTTACTTAAAAAAATAAACATTACTTATCTAAAAAAGTCATTCGCCATATGTCAACATGATGGGATATAAAAGAATATGACTTATTAATATCTATATATGATATTTATATGTAACATATCGATATTTTTAAATTATCGATATATTGTCGCCATCTCTATAATCTGTCAAATGTTTGACGTACGTCGAAAACGTCAAAAATAAAAAACTGTCACTTCAGGGCCATGTAAGTGAAATATTAAAAATGGTTCCAGCAAAAGTTTCCCAGTTATGACGGATGATGGCGCTGATCGTCAAAATTTTTGGACAGGGATTTTGCTTACCGACAATACGACGTGAGCTACGACCGGACCAGGACCAATCAGAATGATCAGTCTTTCTTGGACATTTGCCGCGGAAGTGTGTGTATTTCTGTTGTGATAAGTGTGGTTGTGTTTACAGTTTGATTTTTCGGTTTTGATATTATGTTAAAATTAATTTTGAAGTATTGTATCACCTGGTTTTATGTAATAGTATTTACTTTTTTTAGTTCTATGATCTGATATGTTATGATTTGTTAATGTTTGTTTAACAATGTTATACCAAAGAGGTTATACTTAATATACTTATCAATTTGCATAGCCTAACTTTTTTATCAATAAACTTTGTAGATTTTCAGATTATTTAATTCCTTTTGTTTCTGTTTGTAATTTTATTTTTAAGACATATTATGTGATTGTTTCACATAATATGTTTTAAAAATAAAATTGCAAATAGCGAAAAAAATAATTAAAATTAAAAAGTGTATTTTACAATTCCCCCCGACCCCGCACCCCTTTGGCTAACCTATAATGTCAGCTATGTCGAGAGATGGCGTTACGAAAATGGAACCGATTTATTACAAGGAACTTGGGCTTCTTTTTCGTTAGTATATTCTGTGTGTCACTTTAGCGCCTGTGTTTATCGCCGAGGTACGTGTTTTAATTTTTTTCTCATATTTTTGTTAATATTTTAGTCATCTAATAATATTTATAACTTATTATTGCAAATTATAATGTAATAGTTCAGGCGCTTTTAATTATTCCTAATATTGTTTTATATAAACTTGGATAAATTTTTAAAATGCGATTGCAATCTAAATCTCACCTAACAGATGCCATTTTTAACATTTTTCAGTTCTTAAATTCTACAAGAGTCCCTATTCACATCGAAGATGGGTAGGGAGGACAAGGCAACTTGGAAATCAAACTATTTCACCAAGCTCATCGTAAGTATACCCCAAAAAACACGCCGTTTGATTTCTGTATTTATATTGTTTATGATGACATATTTTTCGTCGCTCAATGGTTTCAATTCCATGCTGGTACTAGAAATAGTGGAACCCCCAGCATGTGAAACCGTTTGTGGACAAACCTACACTGAATTATCCATTTTACATGACTAGAAATTACTTTTATGATAATAATTTGGGGTTAAACTAGTTTTAATTCTTGTAGCAACTGTTGGAAGACTACCCCAAATGCTTCATCGTGGGCGCGGACAATGTCGGCTCCAAACAAATGCAACAGATCCGTATTTCCCTACGAGGCAGCGCCGTTGTCCTCATGGGCAAGAATACCATGATGCGTAAGGCTATCAAGGGCCATCTGGAAGCCAATCCTTCGCTAGAAAAGCTCCTCCCTCACATCAAGGGCAACGTAGGGTTCGTTTTCACCCGCGGCGACTTGGTTGAGGTCCGTGATAAGTTGCTGGAGAACAAAGTACGTGCCCCGGCTCGTGCTGGAGCTGTTGCACCTTTGTCTGTTGTTATTCCAGCCCAGAACACTGGATTGCCTCCTGAGAAGACCTCTTTCTTCCAGGCTTTGAGTATTCCAACCAAAATTTCAAAGGGTAAGATTTTATTTATTTTATTATATTCTATTGTTGAAAAAATGTTTATTGTGATGATACTTTTTACTAAATATTCCCATTTTCACACTGGTACTAGAAATAGTTGAACCCCCAGTGTGTTGGGACTGTATGTAGAATTTTTATGCTGATTTCTTTAGTAATTGTAACTAAATTATTTCTATAAGTTAGGAGATTGAAAATTGAATGAAATTTTTCAGGTACTATTGAAATTGTCAACGATGTTAACATCTTGAAACCAGGAGATAAAGTTGGTGCTTCCGAAGCTACTCTTTTGAATATGTTGAACATCTCTCCATTTTCTTATGGTCTAATTGTTGAACAAGTAAGTATATGTCAAAATATAAATAATTACCTTGTGATGAAAAAAATTATGTAGTGTTTTGATTTTAATTTGGTTAGCTTTTAATTGACTAACCTTTTTGTTTTTGGAGGTAAAGTTCAATAAAAAAATAAATTGGAGGGTTTTTAGCCAAGTTTTGATATATGCTGTCAAATGTCACAGATATAGATATAAACTATTTTTATTATTTAAGATAGGACACCCTATAGAAGGTGGCATCTCTCGTATTAGGCGGAAGCTCCAAGGAGAATGGTATTTTTTTGTATTGAAATTAAGTTTTTGAGCATATTTAGGTTGATTTAGATCATTTTTTTAAAAATAGACAGAGTTCTACAAGGTGTCCCCAAAAGATAGTTACACATCCAAGTTTTTTTTTTTTAATGGAACACTTTTTTATGAAAATGAGGTTTTTTTGACATATGTAAGATATTCTAAAAAGAACACATTTTAAATGTCAATAAAAAAAACTACCTAAATTGGAATATACTCTGTATACTGTATAGTCTAATATGGAGATCAAATAACCACTATACTTTAAATCAAATTAAAACTTGACCCAGAAAGTTATACAGGGTGAGACAATTAATTAATATGGAACATTGGTCACTTTTAAGAGCAAGTTATTCTTGTACTTTACAGAGAACAACACTCAGTATATTTTTCCGGTATTCAGTGGGGAATTCAAGTCTCTTTAAAATGCTATTAAGATTGCCTACACCCCAAACAAAGATTTTTCTAGATATTTTCATTTTTATGACTTAGTTACAGTATATCTTTTTTATTTGATAAAATCTAGGTGGCTGTGTCTGACGTTACTTTAACATGGCTGTCTAATTAGTTCAACTTTTAGGTTATCATTTTGTGTCAAAAAATTCTTATAAATTTGCCTAAAATGGAAACTTCTATAGTAAACGCCACGAATGTTTGGGAGTGATTCATCGCTTGATGAAGTTAGAGTCGACACGCGCGCTATCATTTTTACATCAAAAACGTAAATTTTTACCGCAGACGTAGGTTTTTAAAGGCCCTGTCTAATAATCTGCCTGCGCTCCTCCTACTTATTCTAAAATGCTAGCGTGATTGACAAAGACTATACTATATCGCGTTTCTTTGATTGATTCGTTTTTGTGCGTCAGTCCATTGGTGTGCTTGCAGTGGGACCAATGAGGCATTCCATTTTATATTTATAACCAAATATATGCTTTAACAAGACTTTGACAGTTAAAACAACAAATTATTACAGATTATATACTGATTATTATATAACTTGAAGCACCACAGCACTGGAATTAAGTTTTATGTGACCTTGAACAGATTAGTTCACATGGTAGCGACCGCTGAATCACTCCCAAACATTCGTGGCGTTTACTATATACATTCTACCGCAGAGAGAATTGATATGATTCTGTCAATTGGCGAATGCAGTGTTCAAATCTGACAGTGTCTGATACTTTTAGTAATAAGTAAAAAAACTTGATTAAAAAGCCTATAAACTTTTTTAATGAACGTTCTATTGCCAAGAATAAAAAAAACTTTACAGTTGGTTAAAGGTTGGACAAAATAAAATCATAGTAAATATTATATGTAATGTGTTTTTTATGATGATATTATTTTAAAATATAAACGATGAAAGTAGTGATCTGACAGATTCATTGATGTCAACTTCAATCTGAACCAAAAAAAAAGTTAGTCATTTAAAAGCGGGACAAAACAATTGAAATTTTACATGAATATAATTTTCCAAAGGTGTACGACTCTGGAACCATCTTCGCCCCCGCCATCTTGGACATCAAACCCGAAGACTTGCGCGAGAAATTCTTGGCCGGCGTGGCCAATTTGGCCGCCGTGTGTCTGGCCGCCGGCTACCCGACCGTGGCCTCCGCGCCTCATAGCATCGCCAACGGGTTCAAGAACCTGTTGGCCATCGCTGCGGTTACCGAGGTCGAGTTCAAAGAGGCCGCCACCATCAAGGAGTACATCAAGGTGAGTTGATTGATATTTATCAAAGAAACTTGCGTTTAAAGTTTTTAAAGATTGTATATTGTATATACAGATAAGTAGAAAGGTCTTAATACCTACAAGTATGCTAATATCTCTGCATTAACTTACTTAAACCAAAAAAAATATCCAGTCTCTTGAACTTAATGCAAAAATTAGCACACTTGTAGGGATTAAGGCCTTTTAACTTTTCTCTGTATGCTATTTTTAATTTATATACCGGGTTCGTTTCAAAAGTGGCTCACCACTATAACTTTTTTATTTTTTTAGATGAAAAAACGAGATTTGGTATACATTTGGATTTGACATATTCAATTGCTTTCAGTCACTTCCTGTGTCACCGGAAATAACTACAACTTTTGATTTTTAAATGGCACCCTCGGTATATTTTTGAAAATGATACTCTAAATAGAATGACATCATATGTCAACTTTTTGACATTTTCGCATATGGTTTATTTCAAATTGTAACATGCGGTTTATAACGATAATTTGACTCGAAATACCAAGTGTGTGGTACCAAATTATTTGTAAGAAAAAACTTTTTCCAAATCTGCTAATGGGCCACCCTTGTTCCAATTGAAAAAAATTAGATATGATTAAAAAAGACAATTTGGGCATCTTTTAACCAGCCAGGACAAGACACAAAAAATATTAAGACGATCAAATCTATTTTTCCAAGGCGGCTTGATTAAAAATTAGTGTTAACATAGCCGTGGCACTCTAGATTGAAATTTAAAATATGATGTGTTTGTAAGCCAAAATGTCAAAAGTTGACATATGATTGTCATTCTATTCAGAGTGCATTTTCTATTGAATTAAAGTAAAAATATACCGAGGGTGCCATTTAAAAATCAAAAGTTGTGGTCATTTCCGGTGAAACAGGAAGTGACCAAAAACAATTGAATACGTCAATCAATCCTAATTTATGTATACTAACAACCCAAATCTCGTTTTTTTATCTAAAAAAAAATTTACAAAGTTATAGGGAGAGCCACTTTTGGGACTCACCTGGTAGAACCCTACTTTGCTTTTAGCTCCATCTACGGTTACATAGATGAAGCAAACATGATATATATTGTGTGCAAAGAAAAATTTCTATAGAGAATTAATAAATTTGTTATTTTTAGGATCCTAGCAAGTTTGCTGCTGCCGTTGCACCAGCAGCTGCAGCGCCATCTGCTGCCGCTCCTGAGGCTAAGAAAGAGGAGAAGGAAGAAAGTGAAGAGGAAGATGACGACATGGGTTTCTCCCTGTTCGATTAAGAAAACACGGTTCTGCTTCTGTTTGAAAATGTCGGGTCTGGTTGTGTTTTTGGTCAGCCTGACTGCATAATAATAAAATATAAAAAGTATGTCTTGTTTTATTTGGATTCATCCTTGTTTTTGATTTTTTCTTATAAAAAATGTTATTACGGGTAGTATTTTTCCACCCCTGAAACACGTCTGAGGATTTTTTCGCGAAAAAAAATTAAAATTGAAATTGTTTTTTTTTCTTAAATTTTCAAAATAAAATAACTTGTTATTTTGGACTTACTTAAGCGGTAAAGAGAAAATGTTTCTTTTATTGTGATCTACCACCGAAATTGCACTATTTCAGATTCATCCTGTGTAATGCATATCAGTGTTTACTTTTGATTGCCTTCAAATAAAAACGTGTCTACGTAATATGCATAGTCGGAGGTCTTAGGGTCCTGTATAATTAGTTGCCTATATCTAACATTAGATTGTAGAATTTTATTATAAAACTCTTAATGAAACTGTTTTTTTTTAATTTTTTGTCTATACTATTAATATTTCGGTATATCCTTTGCTAATTAATCTTAACCACGTTTTGATAATACAGGGTATTCCATTATTCCGTAGACACAGAACTAGTACGTATTTTTAAACAAAAATAAGATATTTGAACTAATAATAAATTACTTCTATAAAAAAGTGCTTTGTTTGTCCATTAGACGGCACATCAAACTTAAAAAACTTATGTAAATAATATTCCAAAAAATGTTTTTTTTTGGGAACAGATATTTCAATTTTAAACAAATTTAGTGTCTGTTTTTTAACATACTGCTTACGCAAAAGAGTAAAAATGACCTGTACTTTACGTAAATTCTATTAGTAATGTTTTGTAACATCACAGACGTTCAATTTTTTTTGTAAAAGAGTTCTTGCAGTCTTGTCTTGCAGTATTTGCTACATTTTTGTCACAAAAGAATTGTTTTTTGAAGCGTTAAAATCTAGTAGGCGCTAAAAATCTAATCGGCCAAAACGTGGAATGTTATAGGTATTAATTTGTCTTTGCTTGACACATTACCACTACAAAGACATTTATTATGATAAATTTTATGGTTATCACTTATCACAGACTAAACTTAAGTTAGTCAAGTTAGTCTGTAATTGTAATGTGATTTAAGAATTAGAGTATATAAACATGTTGACTTCCAGTCGCGTTAAAAATAGAACGTTTTTAGAACATCTATTTAGTATGTATGGTCGAACATCATAAGTTGCTGTATATTTAGTTGCCTATACTCCAATCTTATAGAAGGCATTTTTACATGAAACATTCAATTTTTTAATTAATTTCAACGATGTTTTCATAACAATATGTAAAACAAATTAAGTTATTTACATATCATTAAGTCCCGATTATACCTGGTCAGTTTGAGTTAAAAACTTAATCGCTTATAAAACTATAGAGAAGGTGTTTTTTCAACGCATCATTACCGCTGATAATGCCAAGACATTATTAAAATATTTAATGGGTGGAATTAATTGAAGCAGGGGTTGTTTTTTAACGTGAAACGTATTTGTTTAAAAAGTAATTTTCCGCGGCCAACGAACAAATTATCGGCAACGATTAGAGCTAGCGGCGACATATTTTAATTATGGCTTTGAACGAATTCTAATTACGAATTAATAAACGCGCTTATGTGTGTAGGTAACGCACAGATTAAATGTATGTTTTTTTCCATTATTATATGCATAATCGATTGATAGAATATATAACGTGTCTACTGGAAAAATTAATAAATTATATGGTGTACGGTAACAAGTAATTTACAGGGTGTTACATCGTCTCCATTTATAATAAACTCTCTAAACATGGTATCCCAATGTTTCGTGCATTTAGAATTATTACATATTATCGAAATCAAAATAAGTACGGCGCAAGGACAGCTGGGGAATGACAATCGATTATTATTTTTGGCGAGGTCAATCTCTAGACGCCTCGGCAAAACTATCATTGATTATTAATTCCTAGTCGTCTATGACGACGTTTTTTTTCGATCGTATATAAAAAATAAATAAATTTGAAATGTTTTTGGACCAAAAGTTCAACAGAAACTGTTTTGTCATCATTTATTCTAAGAAAGATTTATAATTAATTTAAAAAAAAAAGTTCCCAAATTTATCATATATATCAGTCAAATATCTATCTACTCAACAGGTTTATTTTTCAATAAAAATATAATCAATAAATCAATAAATCAATAAATCAATAAATCAATAAATCAATAAATCAATAAATCAATAAATCAATAAATCAATGAATCAATAAATCAATAAATCAATGAATCAATGAATCAATGAATCAATGAATCAATGAATCAATGAATCAATGAATCAATGAATCAATGAATCAATGAATCAATGAATCAATGAATCAATGAATCAATGAATCAATGAATCAATGAATCAATGAATCAATGAATCAATGAATCAATGAATCAATGAATCAATGAATCAATGAATCAATGAATCAATGAATCAATGAATCAATGAATCAATGAATCAATGAATCAATGAATCAATGAATCAATGAATCAATGAATCAATGAATCAATGAATCAATGAATCAATGAATCAATGAATCAATGAATCAATGAATCAATGAATCAATGAATCAATGAATCAATGAATCAATGAATCAATGAATCAATGAATCAATGAATCAATGAATCAATGAATCAATGAATCAATGAATCAATGAATCAATGAATCAATGAATCAATGAATCAATGAATCAATGAATCAATGAATCAATGAATCAATAAATCAATAAATCAATAAATCAATAAATCAATAAATCAATAAATCAATAAATCAATAAATCAATAAATCAATAAATCAATAAATCAATAAATCAATAAATCAATAAATCAATAAATCAATAAATCAATAAATCAATAAATCAATAAATCAATAAATCGATAAATCGATAAATCTAATAATAAAATAAATATAAATGGTAATAGCCAACTTTGATCTGGACGCTGATCGATAAATCGATAAATCGATGAATCGACAATAATATAGTATCTAATGTTGTATAGATAATGAATTGTACGAAATCCTTCGTGCGCGAGTCCGACTCGAACTTGACCAATTTTTACTCCTAATAAAACAATATACTATTATTTCGACGTCTAAAATGTTAGAGGTCTCTATACAATGTTGTCGTTTTAATGGAGACCTCATATAATTTATAAATTCTCGTTTTAGCCAAGAATTTCAACGATTTAAAATCGACTTCGTGCCCGGTTAAAATAAATATCTCGGTGAATACGTGACTGTCTCTTTATTGCATTGTCCGCTAAGCGATTTATCGAAAATCTCCCAGAAAAAAGGCGGACGGATACGCAGATATCCAGATAAACTTATATTAGGATACACACAGATTGGAATGGAACGATCGATCCCTAGAGCAGTAGCAAATTCCTATATTGCTAGATACAGAAAGACTTTGAACTAACAAGCAAATTTAAATAATCGACTGTTTTATGTAAATGCACTTATTTAGAGACTCTGATTCTTGTTTCAAAATATTGTTTTTTAAAATGTAAATATACATGGTGTTTTTTATGAAAGATTTTTTATATTTTAAGAAAATACTCTCTTTTTAGTTGGGCTCATTGTTGACTATTGTTGGCTATGCGGGCCCAAGTTATCCCTGCTAATTTCCTAATATCATGGTCCCATCTCAGGTTCGATCTTCTTCTAGGTCTCTTAATTCCTCGTGGGATCGTGCTGTAATTTTTCTGGTCCATCTGTTGTCCCTTCTTCTTGCCAGGTAGCCTGCCCATGCCACTTGAGGGATTTGACGCTGTGGATGACTTCTATTGCCGTCTTTTGTCGTATCCACTCTATTCTTTTACGGTTTCTATTGGTTATTCCCAGCATATTTCGTTCCATTGAGCGTTGTGCGACCTGCAGTTTCCTTATAATGTCCGATTTAAGTGTCCAGGTTTCGCATGCATAGGTCATGACTGGTAGTACACATTGATCGAATGATTTCTTCTTTAGATAAAGTGGCATTCTAGATTTGATTATGATTGAGTTTCTTCCATAAGTACTCCATGCTAACTTAATTCTTCTGTTGATTTCTGGTAGTAGAGATCCCGAGCTGTGTATTAGTTGTCCCAAATATATGTATTCTTCTACTATTTTCTGTGTAGTGTTATTTACTTGAATGTATTTTCTGTCCAGTAGTTCCAGAACCACTAATGAATATTATATAGAATATTTACAAAAATATGATAAAAATTATATTCGAGACTGTAAAATGCCGACTATATCAAATAAAGACCTCTTTTTTAAGAATTAAAATCAAAAGTTTCTATGAAAACATTTTCGAAGTGACTTCTTTACGCGCTCTGAAAGTAAAAATTCAAGGCCGTGACACACAAGCTAGCGAGACAAAAAGTGGTAAGGACAGCCTACGGCTTAGAAATCCGCGTGTTTATCGAAAATATTGATACTTTAATACAAATTTTGTGGAAGCGAATCATATTGTTTATTAATTTTGTATTTTACGCGTATAAAATTATTTATTACACCTAAAAAAATATTTTTACTGAACTATACGACGTTCCAGGAAAAAAATCACCTCAAAAAAGTTACTTTAACAAAAGTGTCACATAGGATCTAATCAAATGAAAAAAATACGGTGATAAAGGTAGACCGACAAGGACGATGTAAACCAATGGAAGGACTTTTTTTAGCCGGGAGACAAGAAAATAATTTATTTTAACGACACCGAGGTAATTGGTATGCATATAAAAATTTACGTTACGTCAACATTAATATCTTCAAGCCTTAATGTTATTTTAAATTAATTTCCAGAGACGAAATACCTAATATTAACTCATATAATTTTGGAATTATTTAGAAGATGTATTATTCCTTCTTTAATTTTTTTATTCAAAGACTTGAACTAATTTATATGTTTTGATAACTAATTGACATTTGTGCCGACATCGCATTGTACTTATGCGTCCTCGTTGACCCCGCTGCCCCTACTAATTGACATACATCCAGTACGGCTTTCGAGTACTCCTCTGAGGAGCTTCTG